ACTTCGCTGCTACCAGGTTTATGTGGACCTCTTTTGTTCGGAAGTCCACACAGTGAATTTAATGCTTGTACACCCATATTTGTTCAGTAGTTGTGGGGACTACACACGAGTTGTCCCATGGTACTATGGGGGCCGAAGACGCTGTGGGGACAGCAGAAAGTCCCCACAACTCGGTCTTAATTTGCCTAACAATAAAAAATTCCCCATAACGCGGTGACGGCTTGCCCACGCAGGCCTACACTGTACCGTACGTTACCTACCGGTACTTACTGTGGACATTCTGTTGTACCGTATTCGTGTAGTTTAGAAAAAAATGGAGAAAAACTTGTTTTACTCGCACTGTGAATACTCTTTCAACCCAATCTTTTTGTAACGATTTCCTTAAGTGTTCCTTTTCATTTTGCAACGAATAAACCTAACCAAAAAAATGCCTCTAAAAAGCCTGCTTCCCAGAGAGGGGGAAACCTTGTGTGGACCTGGCTTAGTCCTCAGAAGGTTCACACAACCTGCAACGTGTGGACCTGCTTTGTTTTCAGGTCCACACAAAGATGGCAAGCTTGGCACATTATGTAGCATGCACCCATGTGCTTTATAGTATATTGGTGATTGTACACGTGTACTGGTACACGTGAACACTGTCTCAAAGCATGCATGTTTGATTATGGACATTGGCAACCTCATTTGATTATATCCTGCATGTAGGTGTATGAAGACATTGGAGGTACCGCTAGCTCGTCAGTGATGTTACCTTGGCTAGTGATCAATGTACATCCGAGCTGCTATTGATTCAATCTTTCCCTTAATTAATGTACATTTGACAGAATTCTCTATTCTCATTTCCCCACGGTAGATCAAATACCCGGTAGATTGATTTTTATACTAGGGACATTAAACCATGTGGCATCATTGCAGTGCAGACTGCAAACAGCAAAACACAAAACGCAATTTTAAAAAAAGGCTAAAACTCGGTACAAATCTTGGATTTGACATAAGGGTGGAATCTGTGTTAATAAGGAGCATGCACCCATTTCCGCGCAAAAACACATTTGCTACACAAAGATAATAATTGAAAAGATCATAAAAAGTCCACTTTGAAAATTCACACAATTATGCCCAGAAAATTTGATGTTTTTGTGCAATTACCGCACGAAGCACTTTCAAAAGCACCCATTGTGGCACCCCCAAAAAAAATGAATTTCTACGAAATACATACACATATGCAATAGTTGGAGTTAAACAAAATTGCAATATGAACATTCACATAATTGTACCCTGAAAACTCACTGTTAGTGTGTAATTACTGCTGAAGGAATTTTGATATACAAAATTTTAGTCTAAAACAAAATTGAAATGTTTCTGTTTAACTTCTGCGTGGAACAGTCTAGTACCCAACACCATCTACTTATGATTTATAGGAAATATCTGCCTGGAGCCACGATGACACATGGCTGGACAGACAATTGTGACGTGGTACATGTTAGTCGAAGCCAGGCACAATTAATTAGGCATAGCTATGAATGGAGAAACAGAGTCTGCAAAATGACATGTGGATGATTTTCAGCAATTTTGAGGTTTTTTTTTAAATTTGTGATGCTTATATTTAAAATGTTCTGTAAAATTGAAACTGAAATTTCATCGACAAGGTTTTTTTTTTTTAAATGTTAATTTTTTAAATGACACAAATTTGTGAGACATTTCAGAGTCAGTCTGATTTCAAAATTTAATAGCTTTGCTTTGGAATATCCAATTTCAAAACACAAAAGTGGCGTTTGAAACAGCAAGGTCTATATTTTACTAATATTGCTATTTGTTTTTGACTTCTTGCCCCAAAGTGCTCTGGATGAATATTCACATTTAGTTTAAGTTAAATGGAACTTAAACTATATTCTTCCATTGAAATGTTTGGAAATTTTGTAAACAGATTAAAGTGAATCTACATGTAAACGTTAAACATTACAACATCCGTAGTTAAATCTCTGAATGGCAATTCCAGCGTTACGAAAGGAAGTGTAATGTCTGTGACAGACCCAATTAACCATGATATCTAATGAATGATTGAGCGAAATGATCCCAACTTTCTAATTGCAATCTCCTTGAAAATGCCAAGAAATGATCCAAAACGCCTATAGCCTGCATTTATCCTTGACCATTACTACATGTACTATGATGGATGTTATAAGATTTGAAAAAACACATTTTCAGGTTTATTCACTGAGCTCTAAAAAGCTCATTCAGGGACAAACATGTACCGGTAACACAACGCTGGAATTCCCAAAATGTAAAAAAAAAAAATGAGTTGTGCTTGAAATACGCACATGTTTGCTTCATGCTCAGAACAAGTGATAAAGTTCACTGCATAGTACGTGCATAATTTGTGCAGCACTACAAGTACATGTACATGTACCTTACATTCTCTGCATGCAACCTGATAATCATTTAATTGATATACATGTACACACATTGATTCTAAAGTGTACATTGAAATAAATATATCGATAAAAAGAATTGATTTGAGGCTCTTAAATACGATAATTTCAGGGAAAATGTCTTTCGTAATTATGCAAATTGGTCCCTACCGGAACACATCAATACTGCATCATACAGAGTTTGAGGCAGTATACATGTTTACTGTACATGTACATCGTGTACATGTACATGTGCATGTATTACAGTATCACATGCAGTGAGTAATAATGATACCTTGAGAAGCAGAGGAGTGACGCTTGTCTGATTCACTGCACACTGCTAATGGTGTTTTAATTGATGGCTTGAAGTTATCTGCATAAATAATGCCCAACCTTGTGTGTGTGTGTGTGTCTCATGAGTGTGATATGGTACAGTATGGTTTATTGTACACGGATATAGAACATGTATCAGTATCTTACATTCATGGCACATGTACACATGTACACCGTACCGGTACATGTGCTTGGGTACAGGTACATGTACATGCATCTTTGGCTCAAAATGTGTACACTGCATGCATAACATGTGTACTGGTAGGTCCATTTACCCACATGCACATGTACATGTACATGTACATACATTGTATGTTGCGTATAAATATTTCGAAATGCAAAGTTGACATAATTTGTGGCTTGTTTTTTGTGTAGAAAAGTACCCATATGCAGCACATAAGGTACACTTACAATGAGGCATTCTGGCAGAATGAAATGGATTTTTCTCCTTAGTGGAGAAAAATGTCTGCTACACATATTTTATAGTAACAAAATTGTACAATAAAATTATATTAAGGAAGTTACACAAAATGCATCTTTCATTTTCATGGAGACCAAACTTAATATTTTAAAGGCTTTTTCTCAGTATTTTACTTTTTGAAATTTTGATTAATGTGAAATTTAAACAGCCATACGGTAACTTGTCATTGGGAATATCCGACTGAAGTGCAACAAACAGTATTTTATCCCCTTTCCTATTAAAATACCTGCAAACCCTCATATCGAGCTCTGCCCAGTTCTGCCTCATTTTGCTGGAACACCTCACATATTACAATCATCACTCATATTCTTAAAAAACAACAACAGAAAGTTAAAGAAATAAAATCAGACAGTTACATACAAAAACGATTGCTTTTAATACTGAAGCCGGAAATGGAGGCTTTACAACCTGTAGTACAGGTAGTGGATGACATCACGAGATACGGGTAGCGCCATTCATAAATTCCCAGAAGGTTCCGGGAGATGTGCCGACGCATCCATTTCATCACCTTCCGCTAAACAGACCGTCAGCAACAACCTGCCAAACAATCAGAGAGAGGAGAAATAAAGAAGGAAAGAAAAAAAAAGGATACACGATATTCAGCCTGGCCATATGGGAAATTAGGATGGGGGAAAGCGTTGTTGATTTGAGAGATTCTTTTTGTGGTGAGAAAGCGAGACGATGTTCTTGGTCAATTTCTCAGATTGTCAGGGCTTGTCCGTATGTTCATGAGCAGACACAAGTTGTATTGAGTGGGATGTCGTGTTGGATTTATTTTTAAAAAGAGCCTGTTGTTAAGACGTGTGTACATGTACATGTACATAAATGTATGCATGTACATGTACTGGTATATATGCACATGCACATGTACATGTACATTAAAAGTATTGGTTTAAAGGGCTCATGTATAAAATGTACATAAGTACATGTGCATCCAGCATGTAAGTACAGGTACTGGTAATTTAGTTTTTTAATTTAAGGGTGTTTCAAATCCTTTTGGGTTTTCTGCTGAGGCAATTTTCTATATTTTTGAGCCTGTCATTTTAATGTGATGTCATTTTAGGCATTTACATTTACTTTTACATAATTTACTTTATTTTTCGGGATAAACTAACTGTAAAAACCAACACATACAAATTACAATGCAATACAATTAAAGGGCAATAACAGAAAACAAAAAGAACCTGACAGCTCCCAAAGGATCGCCCAAAACAGACAAAGTCTCTGTCAAGCGGCTCTCCTGTTGAAACGGTTCACCCCAAAAAATGAATTGAAATAAATTAAATTAATTAAATAAAATTGATTTTAAAAATATATAAAAAAATATGTAAAAATGACAATAATTTTCAAAGAAACCTCAAAAAGAAACTGACTACGCACTTTAAATTAGATTAAATTAATTAGATTAAATTAAACTTAAAAAAAATACATAGATGACAAAAAAATAATGATAAAAGATCAATACAAATTGTAAACTCGTTAGGATAAACAAAAACAAAATGCACTGGGCTCTGGGTTAGGTGAAATGTCACCACAACAAACCAAGGGAATGTTGAAAGTAGCCAAAAAGTAGCCATTAGGCCCAAGCTCATCATATTCCATCAATATTTAGTCATGCCAGGACTCCTGGAGCTGGACCAAGTCCCCCAAAATCCAACAAAATGGGGGGATGGATTTTGATGGAGTTTGGGTGGTTGGGGTTAAACATGTACATGTTCAACCTTATTTCTCGCTAATGTAGAACTACATGAAACTGAAATCTTGTTGGTTTGTCTTTGCAGTTGGACAATGCAGATGAGCAGGCAGCCCAGATTAGGAGAGAGCTGGACGGCAGACTGAAACAGGCTGAAGATCTTGCAAGGGTAGGTCAACAGCTTGAGAGGAAGACTAACCTTCAGCCATGAGCAAGTTCAAGCGAGGTCCATAAGTCACCTAGTGGTTGATTCGTAACTTAACTTACGCCTTTGCACTAATGGCAATGTGCGATCGCCTATAGTCAAATGATGGTCAAAACGTCATCATGAAATGTATTGGTCCTGACGTGCAACAGTGCCCTGTGGTCCATGCAGTTCCAAATGTGCTTCTTGATGAGACTCAAAACCAAAAAAAAATTTAAGTGAAGAAACAAATTTAAGTAATCAAGTTCTCGCAGTGCAGACTGGTTCCCGCCCATCTGGCAATAAGTAATAGGACGGGAAACCAGTCTACTGGCAAGTCAGATCAGTTTGTGTGCAAAAACAGCCCATATAAAAGCCTCTTCCCCCCCCCCCCCCCCCCCCCCCCAAGGATACAGATGCCCAAATAAAAAAAGGTTTGCACAAGGTGAAATTTGTACTGAGAAAAAACAAATTAATGAAGAGCATGGACACTACAGTACATCTTTAAGACAAATACCATATTAACTTCGGCAACAATTTTGTCTACCTCCCACGATAGACCTTATGCGTAGCCGCCATCTTGGAAGGCAATGCTTTTGTACCCCACGGATATACACAAGCAGCCTTTTTTTGCATTCAACATTGCTAAATTAAAATCACAAAGAACAACCTTTAAGATGGCCGCGCATAAGGTCTATCTTGCATAATCCTCCAAAACCTGTACCGGTATTTATCTTCTTTTTTTTCATTTTGTGATCAGACAAAGAAAGGTCCTCGGTTTATCGTCAAGGAGATGGAGAGTCTCTTTGTGGAGGAGCTCAGGTCGGCTGTGAACCTCCTGATGGCCAATCTGGAGAGTCTGCCGGTCTCCAAGGGCAACACCGACTCCAAATACTCACTCCAGAAACTCAAAAGGTAGTGGAATGGAAAGGCAGTATTGTTGAACATTTTTATAAATTTGCAAAATTTGCAACACGAAGGAAAACAATGTGGATTCCGTGCATGAACAGTTGATTGTACTTTGTTAACACTTTCGGACCACTGTGTTACCACGGAATTCATAGTGACAAAAACTCACACACACACTGTTTGTTGTTACATAATCTGTCACCCAAAATACGTACGCATTTCTAGACAGGTAACGGATTATGGGTGGAAATAATGCCTAGAAACCCTGCCCAACGCAGCAGCTGTTGTCAAAGTGTGAAGCTTGTCCAGTGGTACAAGATCCTTCAGGTCAACAATTCAAAGATCACACTGCCTCAGAGGTACCACAGTGGCATTATGGGACTAGCTTCTTCTTCTTCTTTCGAGTTGTTGCTCATATATCAGGGCAATCATTTGTCAGCCATCTTCGTGAAGGTGGATCTAGAGACTCCAGTCCACTTCGGCTGTTTGGAGGAGAGTACAGGGGGCAGTCGTCAATTATGTGGACGGGTCTGTGCCTCTCCACATTCACATAGGGGAGGGTACCAACTTCCACTGATGCATACAGGATGCAAATTGACCGACTCTCGTCATCAGGCGGTTCATGCGAATTGCCTCTGTTCTATTGAGGAGGAGTCCAGGAGGGTTGTCCGACGGCGAGTCCGTGAATCTGTGGAGCGGTGATTGCATGGTTGCCCATGCGGTCCCCCATTCTGCTGTCTCTGTTTGCTTCTGGTTTCTCCATCCAGTATTGGCTGGAAGGCATCATGCACTGCCGCCTTGACGTGATTTCAGCCTCTGTGGTGCAGTATCTCCACTGCTGGTAACAATACCATGGAGGAGATGATCTGGACAGAGAGCTGCATTGCGACACAGTGAATATGCAGCTCCCTCGCGTCTGATGGTAGCTGGCTGAATACCTGACTAGCTCTAGTCTCAGAATTAGTGGTTTATCCACTGGTGTCGATGGCCCAATGCAGCAAGGTCCCAAAGACTTTCCCCCTGCAGCAATGTGTTGCATCTGGCAGGGTTAGGTTAACGGAGGCCGTGCATGAACAATATGTGGTGCTTTTTTACCACTTTCAAAAACTCCAGTGGGAACAGCATACCACGTGCATGCACTGGTTCATACGCGTATAGCGTGAAGTACGCATGACAAACTTATAAGTTCACAAACTAGTGCTGTCCATTTTTGAATAGTTTAGTATTTGATTATTCAAAACTGCACTTGACCGAATATTTGTATATTTGAAACTTGCCGATCAAGTTCACCAGCTGCACCTGTCTTTGTTGATGGTCAAAAGTTGCATACAAAGCATGCCGGTTAAAAAGTGCACGCGGTCTTGGACACTGGAGTGTTTTCCATTTGCAGTAAGTTACTGCATAACTGTCCAGGGACTTTACCCAGCTAAAAGAATGGGACAAATTAATACATGTATGTATGTGTCAACAAGAAAGTTACCGTCAGCAAAAAATAATAATCTGGCAATAAAAACGCAACTGAACGATAAAAATGACTCTACAGTTACAGTAAAGTGCGCACGTGCATAGTTCTCTCTTTTCGAATATTCAAACTGGCACATTTTTTTTTCGAATATTGAGTTGATGATCGAAAATTCAAATATTTTGTATATTCGGGACAGCCCTAGCACAAACTCATAGCATTTTCGCGTGAATGTCAGTGCATTAGAACGTCGGTTATAATGGTCTCCCCCACTCTCTCTTTGTTACCCTTGAGAGGGTACTTGTCCATAACGCTTCTGTCATATTTTCTAAGCCTTGAAGGAATTTGTTCATAAATTTGAATCTGTTATTTATTTGAATTGGTTGGACTGACAGTAGAATAATGGAATGCTTGTTGTCTGTTTTTGCAGGGCGCAGAATACAGCAGTCTCTATGATGGAAGTGACTGAGGACTCGGAGCCAACGTTGTCCAAGTCGGATGTCGTCCTGTCATTCACACTTGAGGTACGCAGCAACGTGTTTGAAGAATATCCTTATGAGGATTGACCTTTTGCGGTAGAATCGCGTTGGAATCGCTTCAACCCAGCTTGTGAAATATTGTCCATTTACATGATATACAAATGGTTGCGGAACGCGCAACATCTGAGACAAAACTTAGCGCACAAAACTCCATAGGCTTGTCTAAGGGGCGTGGCCAACTCGCAAACGGCGATAGGTCAATTATAGATGCATTTGCATAGGACACGTCGCATGTTTTCACTGATCTGCGTGCACTTTTGCACAGCTGTCCACTACGGTTGTCTCTGACAACTTTGTCTTTCTCAACTTCAAAGAAGTTGAATGAACTTGGACTTCATCTACAATGAACGTTGGCAACAATGCATAAAGATAGTCCAAAAAAATGTTGAAGAAGGCTGTGTTCAGGCCAGATCATATTCGTTGCGAAAGCGAACGCGAATGCAAATTTGTGATTTTGTGATGTCGGGGGCAAGTTTTTGCACTGCAAATTCGCAAAAGTTTCAACTCCGGCAAATTTCGTCATGAATGCCTCGGGTCGTCAAATTTGCATTGCATGCGCATTCGTACGAACCAGCCTTTTGGGGACTGTGTTTGCATGCCATTGATAACCTGGCCTCTCTAGCAAAAAGACACATGTAAACTATTGACGGAAATTCTGTCTGTAGCATCTGCTATTGATCCTGAAATTGATACCATCATCCCGCTGTCTTATCTCTCCGTCGTAGGTTCTTGTGATGGAGGTGCAGGGTCTGAAGTTCCTGGCTCCCAACAGAATCGTCTACTGCACCATGGAGGTGGACGGTGGGGAGAAATTGCAGACGGACCAGGCAGAAGCCAGCAAACCTGCGTACGATTGCTCGTCAAATTCTCCCTACCCTAGCCCAGTAGCATGTACTACATTGTGTTTCACTGTATCTTTTTCCAGATGTATCCATAAAAAAAAATACAGTGCTGGGGCGGTTTTGGGCGGTACATGAGTTAATTCTGGACTATATCCTTGGCCCCACTGCCACCTATAGGAAAACTACCATCAATTCCAGTGTTTTGAAAGGAAGTGTAATGTCCGTGACAGAGCCAATTAACCAAGATACAGGCATGCAACTTTTCCTCAGATCCGCAGATTTCCTCGTTTTTAACTTCTCATGAATGCCATTACAAATTGAAAAACACTGTACAAAGTCTTGTGTGCTTTGGAATTTTCTTGTTTTTTTAACTACTTTTCCCAGCTGCATGCCTGCATGATATCTAATGAATGATTCAGAGAAATGATCAAAAACTCCACGTCCGTAATCTCCTCGACATTTACTGGATGATGGATGTATAAGATTTGAAAATTACATATTCGGGTTTATTCACTGAGCTCTTAAAAGCTCTGTCACGAACATCACATAATGCTGGAATTGCCCACATCACATTTTCATGTACCTTTGACAGGAAGTTTTGAGACAATTCTCAAAATGTCCATTGGAACTTTTATTGAAACCAGACGCCTTGGAATGCCAACATTTGTGTTTGGGGATTTAATGCTACCAAACCAGAAATAAAGTTGCAAATCAATCGATTTTCCACTCCTTTTTTCCACTGATGGTAATGGGGCCTAGAGTTCAGCTAGGCAGTCTAGTATTAGGGCCCCATCAGGAAATTACTTGCCAAAAAAAATAAATGGTTCTTGTCTGGTGAAACTTTGCTGTCATAGATATGAGAATATTTCTTCTTTTCTTTTTTTCAATAGATGGGACACCCAGGGTGACTTTTCCACCACGCACCCCTTGCCTGTTGTCAAGATCAAACTCTACACAGAGAACACAGGAGTCCTAAGCATTGACGATACCCTCCTTGGCAAGGTAAGACTTAACAATTGTTGACTGCTGTCAAGCCGGCGAAGCTGCGCCCCGAGGGGGCAAAAACTAACCAATAAATTAAAAAGGATAAAGGTTATGAACTCACTTTACAAGAAATAAATCAAATCACTGCAGTGTAACCTTTTGATTACTGTGAGTTTTCCTGCCAAACATGAGATTGAGAGGTTGTACATGTAGAACACCCTTCATGTGCGACCAGTTGATTATGGTGTATATGAGATATGGGTCATCAGCGCAGTGTATATTAAGTGAAAACGTCATTTCTATAGACTGGACATGTGGTTGTTCTAGACCAATGAAATTTCAGTATCCAAGAAATGATATAACAATGCTGTATATTGCCTGTCGGAATCATAGTTTGCCAAAGTGGATACCAGTCTATCCGCTCTGTGCGCAAACGAGAGAGGGCACTGTTTGACCACTTTCGAGAGCCCTGCATATGGGACACACTGCATGTACGGTTTGTGCATGTATGGCATGAAGTATGCTCCGAAGTATGCTCCACTAAGTTTATTCTGAATGTGCACAATGCCATCTTCACGTGAGTGCCGGGTGTCTTAGGCGTTATGTTCGTATGTCTCTCCCAGTGGTCCCCCAAACTCTCCCTTTCTTACTGTGTAGGGGGTACTTGTGCACAGAGCCTATCCGCTCTGTTCACAAGAACCCCCTCACCGGCAAAGAAAGTACAGTTGGGGGTGACCGACCGACGCCATCTAGCCTGACTGCAATTTTGCCGCGACGCGCGGCTGTACCACTGCGTGTACATAGTGCAAATCCCCTGGTGTACGTGCGTCACACATGAGGAACGGTGCATGCGCGTCAACCAGCTAAATGTCTCGCCCATGGGACGTCGTTGCTCGGTAAAAGGGCGCCCTCTTTCGTTGGTGCATGGAGCCCAAAGGCCCAGTGCACTGATTCACTAAAGAACCCAGAAAAGGAACATGTACATGTATCAGGAAATAGCAGCAGGGTTTGCCCCAGTTTTCCTGCCAGTTGCAAGATACCGGTATGCTGATCCAGTGCTTTTTATTGAGGGAAAAAAAACAATAGTGTGATGAAGCAGTAAACGTGTGGTTTAAAACCGGGTAGGCCCGTGGCCGCTGATAATGGCCGGAGCCGGTAGCAAGGGCTATGATCAGTGACCAGGGTCCTTTCCAGTTTGAAACCAGATGCTTACAATTGCTCCACCATACTGTCACCTCATTAACCTAAATAAATGTTCGGTCAAAAACCATAAAAGTCAAAAGGTTTTGCTGTACCATTTTGTTCTACCATGGATCTGTGTTCAGGCCGTTTTTGTGGTGCGCCGCTCACCTGGTGTATTCACTTACGTGGAGATCATATTTTCTCACGCATGCAGCTTAAACTATGAGCATGTGGAGTGGATCATGAGGTCTTGGGACCAGTTTTAAACATCACTGTTTAAACACTGAGTGAGGTTTCAACGGTGGTTCAAAACCACCAATAGGAATAGATAAACTGTCCCAGGTATTCACGAACAACAGATCTTTCCATGTGAAATTTTTCAGTGGAATTGCTCAATGCTAGAGTAAACATGCACCTGGGAATCACAGTAGCACAGGATACCAGCATAAAATAGGAATCATCGTACAACGGCCACACAATAAAGTTTATGATTGCTTTTTTTAATATTGAGCCTCGGTGTTATTCACAAATTCCAATAAAAGATCTCTGCAGCTGCATATTATCATAATCATCCCAATATTTAGGATGCGATATTTACTTCTTTAAACGAAGAAAAATGTAATCTGTTTACAGATTTTCCAAGACGCTTTTAAAAGAAATTCTAAAAAAAGATCTATCCCCGAATTTGCACATTCATTTCACAAAGAATCAAGGATTCCTTTAAACCCATTTAATTTACGAAGCATTAACTAAAAGCAAAACAGTACTGTCACATTCCGGTCAATTAGGTGGGGTTTTTTTTCAATGACTGCTGGCTATCTGTTGCGTTCATTACATACGGTACAGTGTATGCAATTTATTGGATTTTTTTTTCATGTTGACGATATGCAGCTGGCCCAAGATTTTTGCTCATTGTGCTATTATAAATATTATTTTTATATATTTAAAAAGAAACTTTTTTAATATTGTTATTTTATTATTTAAGAATTTTTGTTTTGTTTAATGTTTTTATTGGTTTCATTCAATAACATATTTTTAATGTAATCAGGGCCCTTAAGAATAGCAGTTTGAGTAACTGAAAAGGCTAACCTGTTGAAATAAAACTATATTATTATTGTCAATAAAATTATGATTTGTAAAACACGCCTGTGTGCAAACACACTTAATAATATAATAATAGAGAAATTTATAAAGCGCAGACAATCGCAGAAAAATCCACCTCAAGGCGCTTAAACAAAGAATAAACATACAAACTGTATTAAAAAAAAAACTAATTCCAATAGAACCTGAAGATAATAAAAAACAATTCAAAAAGCTGCATGGGGGGGGGGGGGCTACAATCTAAAAGTTAAAAAGCGATTTACAACACTCCAGCAAACATACTAGATAAAAACAGGAATAAAAAGGTATTTGACAGTAAAATACAACGATCAAACCTTTGTACATGGAAAACACCAATAATACTACTAATTCACTGCATTAAAATACTGTTTAAAAAGATGAGTCTTTAGATGACTCTTGAACAAATCACAAAACTACTTGGGTAGTTGTCAGCCTTTGTGAAGTGGCTTAACTGAACTGTGCTTATAAGAGGTTTGCTAAACGTTTACAAATAAAATGCAAAGTCCCATCTTTAATCTAAATCGCAACAAAGGTGGCACAATAATTTTGTTCAGTATAGTACCGGTATCTAACAAGGAGTATCCAAACCCAGACGCAATTTGAACACAGGCATGATTATAGTGCTTTCTGTCAAAATAATTAGTTACTGATACTTTCCCTCAGCAGCCTATACTCAATGACTGCATGCAACAGTGATCAATGATATATAATTACATTTGAAGATCATTTACATACCTGGTTCTGGTAATAGTTTAACATGCCGTCTGGGTACTGGTAACTGTAATCGAGCAAAGAATGTTATAATCATTTGTTCTTTGAGTGACCCTAGTCATCGCAGACACTTCAAAAACCACTAGACTATTCTGGAGAATTTTGCTGGGTTGTGAAAAGTCTGGCCAACAAAATAATAGTTCTGCTTCTGATTACATGCCTTTCAAAAATAGGGAAGGTAGGTCTGCAAATTTGTTTTTTTGGTGCTGATTTGGTGCCAGAATTTTTTTTTTTGGTGCTGATTGACTGGGGTATTTAATTATATGCAGATTTCAGTCTGAACTATTTCCATTTACGCTACGTGTGCAATAAAGAAATTGCCACCAACTGTGATAAAAACTTGCCTTCATTAATGTAAAAAGTATTTACGGTCAGCAATTCTAAAAACTAATGGAGAGTTCAGGTTGCGTACACCATTATGTACAATACTAGTCACGACGGTATGCAAATCCTGCATTTTCTTCTATACAAGGTGAGTCAAAAAAGCGAAACCCAAGTGTCAGGACTATTGTTTTAGTGAAGTTCTTCATGTAGCACTTTCAAAATCTAGGATATGAAAGCCCAATTCATAAGCTTTCGTTTAGTACAAGAATCATTCAAATCACTCATGTACTTTTCAAGTTTTAAATTGTAAACACAACCACCGTTCTATCCACGGATCACAAAAAAGGTGTGCGCTCTTTCAGCAAAATGAAAACAATTCACACACTTCCCTATGTGATTTGTGATAAAACAATAGTCCCGACATTTGGGTTTCGCTTTTTTTTTTGCTCGCCCTGTACAGTGCACAACAAAGAGACCACAAGCGCCATTTGGTAGTGACCATGCACCTGCTTCAATTTGACTGTTTTCATTCCTTACAGATTGTTACCAGACCAACACCCAACAGCCCCAAGACCCCAGAATGGTACAAGATGAACACATCCAAGCAGTTTCAAGACCCAATCAAGATCAAGCTGGCTATCCGTATGGACAAGCCTCAGAATATGAAACATTGCGGGTGAGCCATACCGTTCTTGTTTAAAGACACGTAAGATCTTTTGTATTTTGTACCTACTGATTTTAATGATGGAAGCCTTACTCAAAGTGAAGATAGGACTGGTATACAAATAATGAATGTTTATGAGTGTAATGGTAAGAATAATTTCATGAGGTGACAGATGAAATGTTCCAATTCACGAGACTGAAAAAATCGGCCCATTTTTAGTTACTGAATTATTACTTTACAATTTCGAATATTTGGCTACCAGACAACAAATCTGTTTTCACAGTGTAGGCTGGTTCCCGCCCCACAATCAGTATCCATAATGGACGGACCAGGAGCCCATCTGCTTGCAAAGCGGATCTGTTTTGTGCCCAAAGCGAAAACCATTTTCTTCCCCCAGAAGATGGCAGACGTCCCAAAAAGAATAAAAAAGGTTTTTGGTTGGAATATAACATACATGTACAAATTGGAAAATTATGAGTAGGAAAATATTGCAGTTGTTGAAGAGCATGGGGAACATATGTAACTGAAGCTCAAAACAAGAACAGACTATACAGACATGACAGATGTGCAAAACTATCGTAATATCCGTGCAACTGCCTTTTGTTGGTTTGTGCACAAACTTGCTACACTTCACTGCGTACACAATAATGAAGCTCAATTATTGTAATTCAAACGCTTCACTCTTTTGACATTATGATGTCTACATTTGTATGTGTAGATACTGTATGCTAGTGGTTTCCTTTAGCTGGTACAATAACATTTATTCATGCTTTTACGTGTACATGCAAATTGAACATGAAGATTTATTTTTTCACAAACTGTGATTTGTTTGTGTCGAATTTTGAAATTCATGATTATGAAATGATGGTAATTGTGACTTGGGTTGACTTTTTGTGAACAAGTAATTGTTTTTTATTGGTTGCAATGGTTGTTTTTGCCATTGCTTTTTATTAGCATAAGATACACACAGGTACCGTGCATGTATGTCCAATTTGGCACAGTGTGTACCGGTACATGTGTTATTTCCCACAATTTTGATAGGAGTTAAAATATTATGCATGCCTGATTGTTTTCAAAAATTGGTCCAATGTAAAATGTCTCGTAACTTCTTTTTTAAAAAGTATTTTTGCATGAGATAGATTTCTGGCACATCTGATTCAGTTGCAGGATAAATTACTCCCTCACATTGGGGGGGGGGGGGGGTTTGAAGTAATAAATCCGCTATACCCTACATCATGAGATGCTGGCAGTCATAAAAAACTACCATTTGATCTGCTTGGATGGTTTGCAGTTTAACAGTTTTTACCAAGTTCCAGGGTCCCAAAAAATTGCCTTTTTTTTCCTTTCTTTATTTGGCATTCAACAATGCCTTCATACCAGGCTGTGACATAGACTTGAGTCTTTTCCAAAAAGCAGGACCCTAGAAAACAGGCTGCATATTCTAGTGGTATTATGTATGAATCCAAAGAGCTAATGCTTTGTAGTTAGAGCAGCATTATTGACTTTAGAATCTTGTAGTAGTCAGTCAAGTGGAGCCAGAGATATGAAGGTCTGCAATTTTCATAGGTAAATTAGCATAATTGTGATTTGATACAGCAAAACGAGTTTTCATTTTGTAGCTTTTCACATGCAGTTGCACGCGCATAATTTGCTCTTCATGTTGGCCCATCACTGGTACCGATAAGCTCATCACTGATTATACAGATTAAGTGGCTGAAAAGGGTGACCATTCGTAAACATTTAGATCCTTTTAGGAGACAAATTATTTTGAATCAGTTCTGGTAACTTGTGCCTCAGTTTGATGTGTTAGGCCACAACTAGGTCAATTAGCCTAATTAACGATTCGGGATGAAGTGACCTAAAATCAGGTTTTGATTGTCATGCATCAAGGAACCTGACTTCATACCAGTTTGCACACTGGATTGGCAAATGGATGGGACTATAAAAAAAGTGGATTCACAATTCCGATTCCAAAGTTTGCCCAGAGTTGCTTAGAAGCACTGTACATACACTGTACATACACTGTACTATACTTTAAGTTGAGCATTATAAAAATGATCCTTGGTTTCACAGAATGTAAATGGCAGTTGTTCCATGTTAAAAGAATTTGTTTGTTATTTTCCCCTCAGATGGATGTACTGCATGGGAAAGACGGTATGGAAGAAGTGGAAGAAGAGATTCTTTGTACTAGTCCAGGTATAGTAAAAGAAAAAAAGAAAACATGCAATCTGTTGCAGGGATTTGGCCAAGATTGGCACAGAGGATACATTAGTACTCTTAAAATTAAAAAGAAAAAAAAAATGTCCAAATTTTGTATGTACATTTAATTGAGGGTGAGTGTGGCCTAGTGGTTAGGGTTTGTGACTCATGATCAGAGGGTCAGGGGTGTGAATCCAGCTGCTGGCCATATGTTGTGTCCTCAAGGCAAGCCACTTCACCCCAACTTGCCCACTTACCTAACTCCACCCTGCGATGGACTGGCATCCTATCCAGGGCGAATAGATACATATACTCAGTCGTTTCATGCCACTGAAACCGGGGATAAACGCCGATTGGCCATTGGCTTGTGACAGACTTTACTTACTACATTTATAGTAATACTTTTCATTTTGCCATAAAAGAGGAAATATTTGTTGTGGTACAACCACTATACTTAAGGTTCCTGTATTATTTCATATTTATGCATAGGTGTAATTCTTTATCGATATGATAAAAGTCCATACTTCTGATAAAATGCCATTCACATAAAATTGAACAGTTCACTTTATTAATGATAGATGTGCAATGGTCAATCAACAGCTCCCATTGTGTCCTGACTGATTTGTGTCCCATACCATCAACGGTTTGTAAGTTTCTGTTTGGACAAATTGCGGTCTTGCTTCGCAGATTGGGATTAACTTGGCCTGGAAGATTTTGCATTGAATTAACACGGTTTATTGTTTCAAAGGCTTGCTTTTCCCCGCTGGAATCAGACTTGAGGCAAAACTGGACTAATACCTTTTACAAATTCCTGCTTTGTTTTGTCCTTTGTTGTGTTTGCTTAATTGGAAACCTACTATAAAATTATAAGGGGGACAGGGCTTGGAAGTTAACTTACCTCTGAAAAAAGGGTTAAGCCTTAAGTGGTCTGAAGCTTACAACTTTTAAGTCCATCCACATGTGCATGTGTGCTGAAATATTAACAGTCACTTTCCAAATTCTGTGAAAGTACCTTCGAAAAAACTTCACTTGCTGTCTGCAACTGGTTAAGCATTAGTTTTGGGCTCTGTTTAAAGACCAATGCTGAACTGGATTAAACGAACTGCTTTGTTAGTTTGGGAAAGTAGTATAGTTTCATGAACTGCAGTTTCTAAGAAAGCTAAAATTCCAAACAAAATAATTAACAGAAAATTTTAATTATACCAGCTCTATGCTTACACTCCTCTCCTCCCCCCACCCAAAAGCTTACTTTGCACTTTGCAATAAGGAAAGCCATTCTCAGAGATATTGCTTTGGACAGATATCTTAACAAGATTGAAGGCCACCACATGGTGCCTTTGCTATATTGGTACCTCTTGTCGTTTCGCTTTGCCATACTAACTTAACTTTGACTCCTGATTTGAATGAGGAGTCTGAATAATTTAAACTTTAATATTTGTCTTTTTCCTTTTCTTACCTGATTTTGCAAGCACTGTATGCACAGTGCCTTCTTAGGCTGACCGCAGGTCGATGTGCAGTTTGCTTGCGCCGTGATGGCACTAACCTTAGTCAAGGTGTTCATCGATAGTGTCCAAGATGGTATTTCACCGCTAAAAACTTAAAGACTAGCCGCACGGTATACTCTGTATGAAGCGCGAACAGCGACCTCACCCAGCGACAATATGCAAATCAGTTGGCAAGGAACAAGCGTTCGTTCTTGTACAGTGCATAGCCCACGGCTGGTGTTGATGTTTTTAGCAGGCAGATACAATCGTGAACTCTTTTGATGAACGCCTTGACCAAGGCTACAATCCTGGCCAAATCTCGCTGGGCCCCCAACCCCCCAGTCCCCGCTCAATGTTGTCTCTCATTGCGTGGTGTGTGCTCAATCAGCTGGAGAGAACAACATTGACCGGGGAGTGGGGGAGTGGGTGACCATGGCAGGCTAAGGTTATTTCCAAGTGTCCCAACCATATTGGCCGGGATGGTAGTTCTTTCGTGGCGCGAGCAAATCACACATCGACCTGAGGCCAGCCTTAGAGCTACAAGTAAGTTAAAGGAACACTCGTTGCAATTGTAAGCAGGAGGTTGTGGGTCAGAGGGCAAAGCTTATTAATCAATGAAGTTTTTCTCGCAAGCTCTTGGAAAACACTGACATACATAAGTAGCAGAGCGCAAAACCCAATATTACAAAATACTGTATTCAGAAATTCCCAAAAAAAATTAATTAACACACCCATATGAATAATGTATCGTACTAACATCTAATTTTGATTACCACAGCATTGTGTGAATGATACAAGGCATTGCAGTGTCTGCACATAATCTTTGTTGCCAAAAATTGGGGCGATTCACAATGCAGTGCGCCACCAAAAGTTTGTCTTAGAGAGTCAATTTTTCAAATTTGCCGTCGACGGAACGTGGTCCAGTTGAAAGAGTGTCAGTAGACAATTTGAGCTAATTTGTTATAGATTGGGGCATAGCGTTCTGCCGCCTTACAAAAAAAACCCACCATATTGATAAAAAGAAAAGAAAAGGGCAAACATACTCAAATCAAACATTTACAAAACTACTGACTGGAAAAACTAACAATTTCAAATGTTCCGCGCAACACCTCCTACAATGCACTGGGAAAAATTAAACTCTGTGGCAAACTCTTGGTGGCGCACTAGATTCTGAATCGCCCAAATTAACTCAACTTGAATTCAAATGCGGTGCAGAGTTCCAGACACTATCCGCAAGTTGGAGATCATGTTCACAAAAATCAACAATTACATGTACATGTATTTGCTCATCACTGGTTGGTTTTCATGTTATAATGACAGGTGAGCCAGTACACATTTGCCCTGTGCAGTTACAGAGAGAAGAAAGCAGACCCCAATGAGATGATGCAGCTGGACGGCTACACGGTCACCTACACAGACCCAGAACCAGGTCAGATCATCTGGCAATTCTAGCACAGACAGCATGGCTTGGCTGTGCAGGTTCCCAGCCACCCTAGAAATCAGGGAAAACCTTGAAAATCAGTTTCCATTTTTCCAGTCAGGGAAAACTAAAACAAAATTGGGAAAAGCACCAAAACTTGGAGAAAAGTGGAGCGCTGTGGTCCAGTGGTTAAAGTGCTTGACTCATGTGCTGTGCTACGTTGGTTTGAACCCTGACGGGGAACATGGTGGTTGTGTTCTTGGGCAAGACACTTTGCTACAATTGCCTCTCTCCACCCAGGAGTATAAATGGGCACCTATGAGGGTAGAGACCACAATGCACTGCTCTCAAGCTGATACGGAAAAATGGTCTCATTCCTGATGAACAGGGATAATAATTGTGAAGCACTTTGAAACCTTATAAGCACCATATTATTGTATAACTCGGGGAATAATAATGTAAAGTGCTTTGATCTCAGTTGAAAGCGCTATACATTTATAAGTAGCCATTATTATCACAACCACAAGTAGGACCTTTGGGAGACACTTTAGTGTCCTAAGTTATACCTTTTGGAGACATATGGAATTAGGGAGACATTTCAATGTCTGCCTAATGCCTCAGCTCCTATTTAGAGGAAACATTTTGTTGTCGCAAATAGGCTAGATCGGTTGCCCATGGTCCAATTAGTAAAAATACCAAAATGCGTGGAGGTAGGATAAGGTAAAATTGGCGTTGGGGGTCATTAAACTTGGAAAAAAATGTGTGCACAAGTCTATGGGAATGTCTCCCTAAAACCCAATTATCGGTGATTATTATTATTATAATTACCCAGGTTTGGACATTTGGGAGACATCCCCATAGACTTGAGCGCAAAATTGTTCAAACTTAAATGTGCCCTGGCCCAATATTCCCTAGTGGTTAGGGTTCGTGACTCATGATCAGAGGGTCAGGGGTGCGAATCCAGCTGCTGGTCATATGTTGTGTCCTTGGGCAAACCACTTCACCCCTACTTGCCTCTCTCCACCCAAGAGCATAAATGGGTAGCGGCGTTAGCTGGGGAGTAACCTGCGATGGACTAGCATCCCATCCAGGGGAAGTAGAAATATTCTCAGTTGTTTCATGCTACTGAAACCAGGGATAAACACCGGTCTGATGGGCTACATTGGTTTGTGACAGACTTTACTTTACTTTTTTACTTCAAATCAATTTTCCATTATCTCTGATTCTTACGACTTTATTGCCGTTTCAGACCTAGAGAGCCAGGGCGGACGTTTCTTCTTCAAAGCTCTAAAGGAAGGCGACGACATCGTCTTAGCCTGTGACGAGGAGGTTGATCGCCAGCTGTGGGTGCAGGCCATGTACAGGGCTACCGGCCAGACACACAAACCGGTACCCCCTACACAGATAGCTGGTGGCAAAGGTGCCAATGCTATCATCTCTAGACTACAGGGAGGTAAGGAAACCAACTGTTATGACTTGGATCATAAGGCTTTGTCAAAAAATTGTCTTGGGCTTTGGATTTCTGTTGTTGCATGCCAGTGGTAAACACCCAAAAGGTAGCCATAAAATATATGACTCGGCTAAAGAACTCTTTTGTTTGTATTTCACCCTTAAGGTTTCACTACAATAATTGCGTGCTCATAGTAAACAACGCAAAATCGGACACAGAGCGTCACCTTGTGACGCTCAGGAGCAAGGTGGCAATGGTTTTTTTTTCATTGGAAATTAAAGATTACGACCTCTAAGAAAATCTGTTCAATTTTACAAGAGGTAGCCACGATAATGTTTTTCTTAATATTCTCCCAAAACCACCCCTAAAACGGTTGCCAATCTCTGTGCCCAGGTCTAAATGTAAACTAAATCGCCTGAGTTTGAAGCCATAAGACACAAATACTTGATTTCCATAAATATTTCTGCAATCAATCCCAATTATAGGCCGCAAGGACCTTTTATTCAAAATTAATCGTGGGATCACAACAATGAGCTTGCTCACATGCATTCTGGTTGCTACATGTACATTGGTTGCTATGCATGTAGTACTTTGCCAGCTGTTGTGTAGTCTTTTTGGCAGTGCACAGCCAGATAGTAAAAACAGCGAATACCACGTGACTCACTCTCGGCCAATCATGATACAGAACCTGTGGACGAGGTGTTGTAAAGCTAGCTACCATAGTTTTTCGTGGTGTAGTCTCTTTTATCCCTGCATGGTAAAATAGTAGGATCAGTGAATACCATGTGACGCGCTGTCGGCCAATCAACAGACGCAATATGTCGGTGTAGTGTTGTGAAATGTCAAATTTATCGTTAAACAATCTGTATCAGAACTAAAATTTATTTTTGTGACACTTGGATCATATTAATGACATTTTCTCTCTGTTTTTTCGTCCTCTAGATGCTGACAGAGCTCGCAAGCATGGCATGGATGAGTTCATTCACAAGAGTCCCTGTGAGTTTGACCACTCGGCACTCTTTGAGTTACAGCAAGAACTGACTCTGGACCACCGACTCAATGACTCCTACTCGTGCCTGGTGAGTTGTTCAAAGCGGCTGAGTATCGCCGGATAACTACAGTGGACTCCATGCAGAAAGACCCACTTAAGATTGACTTCGGCCTGTGGGGAACATGTTCCGTCGTGGTGCAGAAGTTAAAACTTGTCTGCTCTTGGTAGTTGCGACTTTTGATATTTTTTAGTGTCAACTGATGCCGATTGTCTTAATATTGTCGCAGTTACACTCAGGTAGCAAACAATTGGCCACTGAAATGTTCTTGACAGTTGTAGCTCAGGCACAGCTTGACACCAAGAAGTCAGTCACCGACTGTTCTGAGTCATGGCAAAGTCGACCGGAGGGCGGCTTTAGCCCTGCGTCAAACGTCGTGCTTCTGCCGTGTCGAACTCAAATACTGACAAAACTTTCTATTAAATACAGCAGTAGCACGACGTTTGACACCAACGTTTTGATTAAGTTCGATTCTGCCGTGTAGCACGACAGGCTCTGTCGTGCTACACGGCAGTTACACGGCATGGTGTCAAACGTCGTGCTCTTGCCGCGTCGAATCAAATTGAATTCCAACCTGGGCTTAGGCGATGCGCATGCGTTGTCAGACACGAGGAAACACTTCCAAGCAAATGGACAAGACAGAAACAATCCCATGACTTGCAAGCATTGTGACATCATCGAATCTGGACCCTTTTACAAATTACATACCTACATCACTACCAACTCTTTAGGAACTATTTGAAAGATCTAGTCTGTTTATTTTACAGCATTTGGGCCAATCAGGTGCATGCAAACATAGCTGCTTGCATGCATGCAGTAATTTTCAGAAAGCCTGCTACCATTGTATGTTCCTGATGGAGCAACAATATAGGAATCCTCCTAAAATGAAAATCGTTATTACTGTTGCAGTCCTGATGATTTGAAAATCACAGGTGTGTGGAAAAAGGCACACCTTGATTTTTCTAGGCACGTGATTTTTCTAGGCATGTGATTTTTCTAGGCGTGTGATTTTTCTAGGCGTGTGATTTTTCTAGGCGTGTGATTGTGTGGTCCAAACTGGGACTGAACAATCTGGTATTTTTTTTAAATGTCAACAAGCACGTGACATGCATGGTGTAAACATGTTTGACAGAATAATATAGAGAGTCGAGAAAGTGACAAATAGTAGGTGGATTCCTGTATGGCAGTGGATTCTGACGATGATTCCTTAACTATCGATCGTGCACGCATGAGTCTCTTCTTTCTGGCAGCTTTGAAAGTATTAAAAACCGTAAAGTTAAGCCTCTGTCTTCCTGTCTCTGCCATTTTGTCTGGTAATTAAATGCTGCTGCTCTGTGATTTAAATGTGACGTTTAACACCAGTTTAAAATTCTGTCGCGCTTTTGCCGCACGGAAATGAATTGCATTCAACACGGCAGAAGCATGACGTTTGACGCAGGCCTTAGACTCACAACTTTCTCTTTTTCCATCACCTCTCAGGGTTGGTTCAGCCCCGGTCAGATCTTTGTCTTGGATGAGTACTCGGCACGCTACGGGGTCCGCGGCTGCCATCGCCACCTGTGCTATCTGAACAACCTGCTGGACCGTGCTGAGAAAGGCACCATGATTGACCCAACGCTCATCCATTACAGCTTTGCATTCTGTGCCTCACATGTCCATGGAAACAGGTCTGAACTAAGAAAAAGAAACACATGAAATTGTTTTGAAGGCTTCAATATTGGGTTTTGGCCTTCACAGACGTATTTTAGCAAACACTGTTGTTGACTGTACAGGGTTTATAAAAATACAATTGAAAAGTTGAACAAAGAAATTGACTGGAGCGGGGCTTGAAAAAGCGACTTCCAGATAACTGTTCCAGTGCTCTTACCAACTGAGCTATCCAGCCCTAAGTTGGCGGTTCACCAATTAGTAAATATCTCTCCAAGTAATCACCGTTTGCCATTTCTCATGTCTGTATCGTAACTTTAGCCGTGATCCCTGGCTGAATGGTATACTGGTTTATGGCTTCTGACTAGCGCCCCTTGAACAAAGATATTGTCTTATTGGGGAACCGCCAACATAGGGCTGGATAGCTCAGTTGGTAAGAGCACTGGAACGGTTATCTGGAAGTCGCTTTTTCAAGCCCCGCTCCTGTCAATTTCTTCGTTCAACTTTTTAATTGTTATAATTCACCTAGTCAGTTTCCCTGTGTGGTTTTATTTATAAAACTCGTTGGTGAATGGCTAAACCCAATATTGAATTTACATCAACCCAACGCAAATTCCATCTTATGAATAGTTTTGAAAGCTGTTGCAGTTCAAAATTGCTTTCATACTCTGCCCAGACATTTTAAAACCTTTTACATCACACAAGTGCAGAAAATGTTCTCGTTTTAAATAGTACATGAGCTAGACCTTTTGATGTTATATTTAAAGCATTGCATGCAAGATAATGCTGATTTTTTTCATTAATAACTAATATTTACCTGTATGTCTATAGGCCTGATGGGATCGGTACAGTCACCATTGATGAGAAAGAGAAATTTGATGAAATCAAGGAACGTCTTCGAGGTCTACTTGAACATCAGATCACGCATTTCAGGTACAACAAATACAAACCAAATCAAAAAAATACAATAATATGCAACACCGTCACTGCTGGATAAGAGTTACATGTTAATATACCAGATCACTCACTAGCACAACGAAGCAACATCTAATACCTGCATCCATGTTTCTGCCCCCCCCCTCCCAAAAAAAAAACCCCAGTGGATCATTAAAAATATATTCAGGTACAGTATCCAAATGCATTGATATCTTGAATTAAAAAAAGGGAAGTTTAACAAAAATAACTAATATCAGGCCTTTATGAAACGTTTTTGTTTTGTGAATGTAGGTACTGTTTTCCATTTGGGAGACCAGAAGGCGCCCTGAAAGCCACGCTCTCATTACTGGAAAGGGTAAGTTTCTGTTTCATAAGTTCCCATATCTCGTACTTGGTTCAGAGCTTGTCACGTTATTTGCTACTTTTACAATATCATCACCCGCTCATTAAAAGATTATCTCAAGACACAAAGTTCTATCCGGTTCCTTAGTGTGGCGTCAGTTCAGTTTAAACCACGCCCACTGCCCATTAAGTAGCGTTAGAACCATTGGAACCGGAGGCTAAGGCAACTTGAGTGTTTATCCAATGGGCATTAGTAGTCAGTAGTGCGCGCGCGAGAATGACGTTGTTACTAACAAACTGGATACCCAAGAGGTCTCAGATTTTGCATTTTACAATACATCTGTCCAATATCCAATAGCAGTGTACGTCTATTTCAATTTGATCTTTATAGTTAAAAATTACTTGCACATTTAACAATCAGGATGAAATGCCGTCACCTATCTCTGTCATGTCAGGTCAATATGCACAGTGCACATGCCAATATGTACACTCATACTGGAATCTGTGTCCTTGTGGAGACATTTCTTTGTTCTCGTGTACTAAAGTTTTTTGAGTTCGAAAGTACAGTTTCAAAATGCTCTTATTTTAACCAGAATTAATTTCCTTGGCTGAAATTCGGACTTAATATCCGTTTTTTGAAACTCTACCATTTACGACAGATCAACATACTTTGGAAATTCCTAGTTTTGAGTAAAATCCATATATCTATTTCGTGTAAACCTTCTGGAGAAGTATTCATCTATAAAAATTGTGTATACAATCGTATACAATCTTTTGTTCCCTATTGTGTGCATGTCTCCAGAGGGCACGGTGTATCAGATCACACACACACAGACCTCCTGTTGCTACAATTATAATACTTTGAGATTGAGGTTGCCATGGTAAAGTCGTATGTGTGTGTAGTAAAACAGTAAACAAAAAAAACATCAAATACCATATGATGCGCCCTTTGCAAATCAAGTTAACAATAGTTATTAAAAAGCTGTTTATTTTTTGATAAATATGATTTGTTTATGTGCATAATATGGGGGGAAGGGGACATTTTTATGGAATTTTTTTGTAACTGTAGCCTCCATCTAATTTCAGGTCCTGATGAAGGACATTGTGACCCCAGTGCCCCAGGAAGAGGTTCGTTACACTATCAAGAAGTGTTTGGAGAATGCTGCCCTCGTCAATTATGAACGAGTCTCTGCCTATGCTAGGATAGAAGGTAACAAGTGCACTCCTTACACCTCATGCGTACTGCATCTAGATTCCATGGGACGCATTCATGATACCGATTAACGCTTAGCAAAAAGTTTGGTTAACCTTAAAGCATATTTACCAGCGTATGTGTGCTAATGCTTAAATAATTCTATACAGCGTGCAAGTCTCGCCATTTCATGTTTACTTTTCATGTGAACGGTTTGGTGCCAAATGCTGACTAGTCTACACACAGACACCCGTGTTAGAATATCTTGATATCTTGATAAAAAGAAAATAAAGAAAAAGATACTCGAATTATACGCTTACGAACCTACTGACCGGACAAACTAACAATTTTAAGCGTCCCGCACGCCATGGCATTTGTCGACCGTCTCCCACAATGCATTGCGAAAACTTGACTCTCCATGGTAACGTCTAGGTGGCGCACTCTATTGGGAATCACCCGTATTGCTCTTCCTGTTCCACTGAATTACTTTATGTTTTCAGAGAAATGCGATTTTCTGAAAAAAGATTAGACGCTTTCAAAATGCTTGTTTCAAGATTTCAACCCACCTTTTTGAAAAATGTCAAAGAAAATGCTTGGTGAAAACATACACTACAAATTTATGAGTGGCAGGAATATATTAAGAGCTTCCTTTCCTTTCAGTCTTATATGATTAATCCTAACCCCCTAGGCCCTTTTGGCTAGGAAACATCCTCCAAATTGCCACCATGTTCAAATTGGATTCAGCCTCAATCCTCCAAAATCATCCGTTATTTCTTGAATTTGTTCAGTGGAGGGGTGACCATTGCCTCAATCCTTCAATCAAACAGTCACTGTTAATGGGTTGACGCAGGGCTGATGACCATCTGAAGCAGTGCAGATGATATCAGGCATAATGCAGGACTCAATTTTATGCATGGCTGAACATAAACAATGCAGAGTACAGCCTAAAAACTTGATACAATGCATCCTCAAAAATCAAACAACACTTTTCTGTCATTCAGCCTCAATCCTTCAAAATCCTCCAAAATCGCCTGGAGGATTGTTGAGGATTGAGGAGGGTAAGGGTTAAGTTTTTTTTTTTGCAATGACAAAATGTGGATTTAAGATTTGAGCCTTAAAAAATCCAGACATTGTTTTTTTTAATTTGAGCCGGAATGTGATCTTTTCCAATTGGCTTGAACTGTAGAGAATTGATGACCTTTTAACTCGAAACTTCTTGTTACATTTTCTTCGCATTATTTTCATTTCCCCCTTCCTTATATTCATACCTGGCATTGCATGTTTTGTCTGACCTCTAACCTTTGACCTTACCCATTCTAATGACCCAGAGGACGGTGAGGAGGGGCATGTTCGAAAAGGTGACTTTCGGTGTTTTGCTGTTCTCTTGGAATCTGTATTGCCCATTTTTGTTGTGAATGTGATTTGTTGGTGGTTGCAACAGTAATGTCTCAACATACGTGTAATTGTTTGCAATTATCGAGTTGAGCCATACCTGGTGCAAAAGCGATCACAAATGCATATTGATGATGCCTCACGTGAACGTGAATTTGTGGCACGATGGCAAGTATTTATGCTGCAAATTCGCAAAAGTTGAACACATTTAAACTCCGGCAAAGTTCACAGTAAATGTTTTATGACGTCAAAATGGCTTCGCATTCGCATGATGTATGAGCCGGCCTTAAGTAACCAGTCATGTTGCAAAATTGAAAATGCTGAACGCATTTCAACTGAAATGCGAACTGACCTTTACTGCAGCACTTACTAGACTGTGTTACTTGTCTTGCTTTTCCTGTGTAATACCCATTGATATTAGTGAATGTGATTTGTTGCTGTCTCACAAGCTAACAATACGCTATTTTACTGCCAAAAAGGGGTTCCTTTTCTGTAAATGTTCATTTTGAATTTTGTGTATACATGTACATGTATGTTTGTATTAATGTATATTTAATTGTCTGTTCATGAAACGAGTTACCGGTACAAGCATGCACAATTTCCATTATTCTTGTCTCCGTACTTTTTTTTTTATAAACATTTTGTTTATTTTGTATTTGAATTGTGACAACACCTTTTATTTGAACTTTCTATGCAAATATAACACTGTGGTCGATGTCAGTATTTTGTAAGTGATTTTACCACTGTATTTGATAATATATTGTTTTGTTTCCTAAGTAACAATCCTGAATTCTCATTGGAATAATCATTTTGTCTCAAACAGCTTTGCTATTTTTTGTTGCTTTTAACAGAAATTTCATTTTTGAAGAAACAAGTACAATTTTGTGTGATCACATTGTTGAAAACCCTTATTAAAAATGTGGATGTGCACCAACTGTAACTAACCAAAATCTGTTTTACATGTACGATTAATTTGATCTTCACATTGCACTTGAAACTTAAATGTGACATTTTACATGTAATGCACTAAAATCACACTTGATTTATTTTGAAAACCATTCAAGTTTATGGAATAATGGGATTCTTTTGTTTAAACATGTAGAGTGAGTGAGCAATCATTCATTGATTATGTGATTGATTAATTGATTGATTGGTGATCTGATTATTGATTGATTTGTTGATCGATTGATCACACAGAGAGTTTGAACAGTGAGGATCTTCCTCCGGAGAAGCGGCTAGAAGACGTTCTCCATCTCGCCGAGCTGTGCATTGATGTCCTCCAGCAGAACGAGGAGCATCATGCGGAGGTGAGTACTGTCGATAGAGATTATCCAAGCTCCCGGGCTGACAAGCCAAGTGAGTCTTTGGACAATGCTTCTTTTTTGGGGACTGAAGATATGTTCTGAGGAAGAGTTAGTCTTGGTTCAAGACTAGATTGGAGTTTGTTCCCCTAATGCATCCATTCCAAACCTGATCAAGATGCTAGTGATCGATGGAGGAGCATTCATATCTAACGGCATGAGACCAGCGCGCCTGCCCGCACTAATGTCTTGGGAATCCTGCAGTAGCCGTTTTAACTTTTTTATAACTAGGCTTTCCTAGGGAACCAATCAGCGATCGCGAAACGGTTAGGATGTATTGTCAGTGGTGCGCTCGTGCGACGGTTGTAAATCAAGCACCGCTACTTAGATACGCAACACAGTGATACCCCCACGCGAGCGACTACCGATATAAAATGGGAAGCAGCCGTTGTGTTCGCAGATATTAATATTTACACGAACGGTCTCATTTATTCAAAACGGCCATGCCCCCATTACTGCAAGATTCCCACGACAGGGCGAGAAAGTAAAAAAAAAACATTGTGCAAGGGTGATCTACAACAATGCAACCATCTATCGATCACTAACGTCGTGGGCCAAGACTACTTTGGTAGTAGAGGGTGCTATCAACAAGAATCCATTCTGGTCTTGGGAAATTTGGCACCCGAACCCGAGACATTCAGAGTGTACATGTACCTTACTCATGGGCATTACCTTCAATGATGCATGAGTGAGATACATGTATGCTTAGAGTTTCTCGGGTCCAAGCGCCAACGTTCCCAAGACTTGATTTGATTCATCTTGTTGATGGTGCCCTCAACCGCTAGGGTTGCTTTTACCTTGCCTGGTTGGCAGGGAATGGGAACCGGCTGCTTTATTAGTGGAAAAAACAAATTCACTCTTGTACCAAGACTAAGGAAGAATACTTATTAAAGAGTATATGACATGATATTCAGTCAACAGAAAGTTTGAATAGATTAGTTTTGTGCTTATGAAGTTAAGATATATTTTTTGTTCTGAACTGAAATTGAGTTGATGAATCCAGAAGCAACCCTGTGTTTTCCCTGCATGCAGTCGGACTGAAATTAGCATAATGATGACATTTCTGAGTGGTTGCTGATAGCATAATGAGGATGCTTGTCTCGGCCTTTGACACCGTAGACGCCTAGATGCAAAATGAGCCTCGTGAATATGCATGACATGCGCATGCTTAATGCATATGCATCAGGTGGGCAGGTCCTTGGCAGGTCACAACCTTCTTACCCCAACCACGCAAACCGTGAAGCGTGTGTATTGAAACACCCATCCCACCCGGCATTTCATTGCAAATCCTGTCAGTGGCTCATCTGTAATGCAATGTTTCCCCATAAGTTCATGTTCCGTTCATTTGGTGTGCTGCTGTTAAAACAAGGAACCCATATAGGCTTGAGGTTGGCCCGATGTCTAGATTCATGGCCCCACATTCCTCTGACCTATTCCTCTATGTTTACCTCCTCAAACTCCTTTCTTGGAAGCAGGTTCACATTTAACACTGAAACCCCTTCCCCCCCAAAAGACAAAAAAACAAACAACCCAACTAACAAACAATTGAGAACATAAGGGTTTACATACATGTATCAGTCTAAAATGTGCATTTGGAACCCTCGCTTTTATGTGATGCACAAACTTCCTGAGCAAATGAGTGATTGTTATCAAGCAAGAACACGTTAATTCAATATTTGGTTTTATCTGCATGAAAACTTGCATCCTCGATCCTGATTGGTCGATCCATGGCAACAACAGTGTGATATTATACCGTATCGAACGGTCCATATCGCACCCTGGGTATTGTGCTGTTCCAAGTTGCGAGCGACATTCCAGCTGCATGTGCTAAACCACTAAAAGGTGTGCATAAAGTGTGCTAGTTCCAAATTCAAACTGCGTCAAGTTTGCTTGAAGATAAGTTTGTTATTGCGCTCGTTATCGGCCTTCGCCCTCATGGTACCGGTATGTGGGACAAAGACGCACTAAATTATTCCGTGTTCCACTCATGCTCGCGGGATAACTAATATTGTCCTTCACCAACAAACATGTATTCTTTATAAACACTGTATACTCAGTGTTGTACCGAGTGATTGTGAGCAAAAATCACAAAGTACTCGGGTGGGACTCGAACCCAGGACCTCCTGCTTACTAGTGCAGACGTCTTACCACCCGACCACCGTGCGTGCCTGGTTCGGCTGGCTGGTTCAAATCTGACATGTAGTTAGTCAGAGGCTAAGTTTTCATGTGAACTGTAATAACGTCCAAAACACTGTTCATAGATTAGCTAATCTTTGATGTCACTGCATACCAGATTTTGGGCTAAGAAGCTCAAACTTCCGATAATTTCAGTATTCCTGAGACTGCATATTAGTAAAATAAATGCACTTCCCGTGTTTAAATATGAGCCTGCTTCTAGTTTTTCAATACAGGCCACAAGCCGTACCCACAGAGAATGTTGTACACGTATGAAAAAAAGCCTGAAATTTCGGAAATTCCACCAATTCCAAAATGATGTTGGCAAACTGACATTGTTTTGGCTTTGTAGATTAAAGTGTCAAGTGTGAAATACGTTGTTACTTGAAAATAATGTACTTTTACATCGGTTTGTTTGCATACAGTTGCTTTTGCTGTATACATTCTCTGTGGTATTGGGAAGGTCTCTCAGTCTTGTGAACATGTTTCCTCTTCCAGTCTGTTGCTGTTACTTGTCTGTTTCCTTGGAGAGTCTGCTGATCTCTTGTACATATAATTTCACTCTGCCATGGTCCATGCTGGAGAAACTCTCCTACCATCCCATGCAAACTGAAGAACAAAAATCGCACACAAGCTCCGGATAAGCACTAAACATACAGCTTTTATGACAGTATCTAAGTATGAACATTTACAATCCGAATTTTTTTTTTTCAGAAATTTTGAAATCATCTCACTTGACCTACTTTTACGTCTTTCCGTCCATTTACGATTTGTACGCTTTCAAGGGGCAGCTATGTTCGTGTCTCTTCGTGAAAACTTTAAATTCAATTATCGAGATGCCTGCCCCTTGCATCATTAATGTAATTAATGATAAATTAATGATGTTTTGCTTACAGAAGCATGTCAAAATGGTTAAGTACAATGTTTTAAAGCGAAATAGTGAAAAAACTTGAAATCGAAGAAATTGTCATTTTTTGACATGTGTCTCTTCGTGAAAAGTGACGAATTCTGACTCTACAATGACAAAATTCAGTAGACACTGGATAAGATGAGTCATTGAAATATGGGCCCAACGCCACATTCTCGTGAATCGTCATTCCCACAATACTTTATCAGAATGTCCATCCTCTCTCTCATGACATCCTTGTTAGTCATTTCTCTCAGTCTCTCTGTTCATCTCTTATTACGTTCTCTTCATCTCGACTGTTACTGCCAGTACCCCTCCCCCTTCCCGCCTTCCAGCATCAAGTGATCACATTTTTGTATCTGCCATTTTTGACCCATATTTCTTGTTTCTTTATTCCTTTCCCTCCACCCCCCAACATCCGCCTTCTTTATCCATTTTTGTCATGCATTTCGATGCAGCGCGACAAACGCAAAGAATCTCAGGTACAATGTGTATGCCATCCCTAATTTTGTTTTTATTTATTTTATTTTTTTCTTGCTTGATCTAAAACGGGCTGATAACATCTAAAATAAATGCTTTCTCCGTGCTTCTTACCACCCCGTTCCTGCTTTATAATTACTTTCCCGGGTCGTGATACCATGGCTTTTGTGTTAATGCATACATGTCTCACGATTTTAAGAAGAAAGTCTGACTTGTAAATTTGTGTGGATTTTTTTTTTCTAATTTGATTCTCTCTACAGGGGGTGCAAACGAAGCAAACCCACTTTTGACAGCAATTTTTACCTTCTTGTTGAGCATATTCCAAAAATTCAATTAAATGGTATTAAAATATCGATCTTTAAACATAAGTGACGAAAAAATGATTGCACATATTTTGTCTCTGAGATATAGTAATTTATACATTTCATGTGCCAAACCTAATTGTCCACGGACGGCTTTATTCCATCCACTTGACTGAGCTCCGGAGCTTGATTTGAAGACAAAAAACACTGCACTAAACTTACACGTGGACAACAGTGATTTTGGTGACTTGTATTCAAATTAGCGTAATAATACTATTCTTGTGATTTTTGTAAAGACTTTTTCACTATGTATGGTTGGAGAGCTTTACTTCACTTCATTATAAAAAAACTTCATTATGTCAAAAGTGGGTTTCCTTCTTTTTGCACCACTATGTAAAGCATTTTTATTTAAGCTTACTTTCACTTTTGTACCTAACCACTTACCACTTGCGCATTAGCCTGAATTTCTTGCTGTTAAGAATTAATCGTGACTTTGTTTCTAAGCTCACTAACACACAAAAGCAAAAAAAAAAAAAAACCTTGCTTGATTTATTCCTGTATGATTTTGTGTTCAGGTTTCTCTTCCAGTAATATACAAATGTAGACGTTATGTGTTTTGATAAATGCGTTCAGCATCACGTACTGGAAGCTTTGCGTTTCTGATCGTGTATGCGGAAAATAATGTACGCAGGCTTTAAAATGATAGAATCTGGGTACGCGATCCTTATTAAATATGTTGAAAAAAGTTATGTTTATTAAGTTTATCTCAAGTGTATTGATTATGGTTGTAATTTATTTGGCCTGTTATAAAACTTCTTTTTGATCTTGAACATTTTGACATGTCTGAGAAATGAAGACGTTTTCACCGCCCACCCTTCATGTTAGCGGTACTAGTCTGTGAAAAAGCCATTGATACTATTTCATGCACGTATAGTGTGAAATACGCACGACTTATATTATTCTGAATATACGCAAAGCCATATCGTCTTGGCATGAGCATCGGGCGTTGTCGGCATTGCGCAAAAATGTCTTTCTCAGTGGTCTGCCTCAACTCTCCCAAACAAACCATTGAGAGGGTACTTGTGCACGGAACCCATAACTTTGAACAAAGTGTGTTGACCTTTAAAGGTAATGGACACCACTTGAAAACAAACAAATTATTGTGCCGATGCAAGGAACAATTTTATACAATAAATCTGAAGCAGGTTGTACAAAACTAAGCTTGCTTGATACACTTTTTGAGAAAGCTGAAAATGCCTCTCAATTTTTCTCGATGCAAAGTTTCCGTTGAAAGCCCTCCCCTCCAAAATGTTCATTATTGCATTTTGTTAAATGTACCCTCTTGTGGTATGATCCCCAGTTTGTCACTCTGGAATATATTTCTCCTTCTCGAATGTGTACATGTACATGTAACTAAACTAATGTCGGTCAGTTGGGGGTGATATTTGAATAGAGCCTTTTTTCTTGCGTTTGTTCGGTTGGAACCCATCATGAGGAACTGATCATTGCTCTTTTCCTAAAAACTGCATACGAGGCAGTCTTGATCAGTGTGCTGGAGAATATGACCATCACAATTATGAAACAGAAAATTACCGGTACAGTGATAGAAAACATGGAAAAGTCGCTCTAATAGCAAACAGGGTTGTTTATGCCCAAACTACATGAACTAGATCAAAACCCTTCATGACGGTACATATGCATTGTGTACACGTACATTGTCCTTTTCTTTGATCAGTCACAGACAGTCAAAAAGTCAATCTTGTTCCCCTGTATACCGGTACCCTTTTAATTTTCCAGTTTGTTTTCATTCCACATTTAAATCACAATTAGCCAAACGATGTTTCGTTTTTGTAATGATCTGATATTACATGTACATGTGTACCGGTATGTTCAGACAAATCTGACGACACTCCTGAACGTTTCAGGGTGCCCCACTAAAGAATTTCAAGTTATTGCAATTTTTCAGGTCACTCTCTGTATGCTCTCCCTTTATATACTGCTGAAAACTACATTTCTTTCATAAAAGAACACAACTTTGTTAAAAAAAGATACAAGGCTTTTTGTAATTTGCAACGTCTTCAGCATTTTTATCCCCCTGGCTTTTAAGCCAAGAAAGGCGATCTTGTAATTTTGTGTATTCCTTCTGTGTGTCCGTGTGTTCCATTTTGGTTAGGTTAAAGGGAAGGTACAACATTTGCAAACATCAGAAAACGAAATGGTCAAATTATCACGAAATACCTTACTGGATTGTTGGGCAATGACAGTCTACCCTGTAAAATCTTGGCTCCTGGTGTGCTGTCATTTTCAAGAAAAATGGGATTTTTCCAACGCTGGTCGGCCGACCAGCGTTGGAGAAAACTGGCTTTTTTCAAAAACTGCTCCTAATTTCTCATAATTAGTTATTCCGCGTTTTCTTTGCAATTGATTACACACCTGTGAAGGGATACAAGCCTGCTAGACTGATTCTCTGACCTTACAATTCTCCAAAGTCTATAAATTGCTCCGTTTCATCTTAAGTGGGGTCGGGGAACCAGACTACAAGAACATGATTGGTTTTTCCAGCATCTACAAGCCGAAAACGTGAAACAAGTCATTTTAACAATATTTACTATAACATACTAGTCCTTCAAGTCCATTTGTTTCTGAAAATTGCAGCAAAAGCAAATGTTGTACATGTACATTCCCTTTAACTGTTTAGTGCTGTCATATGAAAAGTCAGACTTCACTCTCAACCAAACTTGATGACAACAATCTTGGGGCAGGGGTCTTAAAGATGACGTGAGACATTTGAGGTCGAAGGCTATGTAGGGGTAAAATGAGGTCATTGTTCATTTGGTTAGGTACACTGGAAAGTGTGCTTACTAACTGACTGTATAAATACTGCCAGCATGCCGGGGGATCGCGCAAGTTTAACTTGCAGTATTTATTTTTTTTTCATTTTGTGTGAAAAGTCTTTACTTGAAGTATGCACCATGCTTCGATGATAATGGAGTCACACACTGCAATATCTGGCTATGATATGTACAGTCTATCTGTCATGCAAAGTGAATTCAAATTGCAAATTAACATTATTTGAATTAAATGATGCCAATACTTTGTCAGTTACAATTTACTAAAATCCTGCAATACTAAAAATCCTGCTGTTTCTTCATTTACGCTATTCTCTTCCATCCTTATTACTTTGTTTTCAATTCTTTTCTTTGTTTATTTAAAAGAAAATTGGTCTTTATGATTTAATTTTTTTTCTGTATCTTTTGTAAATGTATCAAGTCATTGATGGTGTTTTATTCTTAGACGTTAACACAAGTTGAGAGTTGTTTTATTTGCATGGTTTTATTGATGAACGAATATTGAACTAACGACTGAAATAACAAACTGCAGTGTTCAATTTAAAACCTAGTGATATCTAAATATTAAAACAATTTACAAATATTAAGCGGAACCCAAACACCCAAAAAATATATTGCATATTTAAAAAAAATATGTATCACCAAAAATAATAATGACTGAAAAGCCAATTTCATAAGCTACTTTAAGATAAAAAAAAAATACTGAAATTGCTCAATCCGTTCAAAGTTTATCACCATTTAAACACAATGACCCTAAAACCTGTCTGGTCCAAATATGCTATTTCAAGAATCGCCGTCACAATTGTCTTAAAACATCAGCAGCGCTAAAACCTCAGTTTAAATGTTATAAACATTCAACAAAGTCCTTTTGAAGGCCCGTCATTAAAAAAGAAGTGGATTTTATAAATCACATTGTTTGCCTAAGCAGGGTTGTTAATAAAGATATTGTGTACTACAGTTATTGACAGTTGTTGAAACAAGTATTCTGTGTCATTTTCTGTGTTGTTTCAAACAGTCAGAATACCACAATAAATTGGGTTTTTTTTTGGGGGGGGGTGACGAAACAGGTTTGAGAGTCATTATGTTTAAATGGCAATATTATGTGAAGGGATTGAGCAATTTCAATATTTTTTTATCTAAAAGTACCGATACATGTAGTTTATTAAATTGGCTTTCCAGTCATCATTATTTTTGGTGCTACATATTTTTTTAAAATATGAAATACATTTTGGGGGGTTTGGGTCCTGCTTTTTTTAACTCACCCAGTACATGTAGATGTACATTAAGCAGTACCGTGTAGTGCACCTTACATAGTGCCATGCGTAAGGTTAAGCTGTTTTATAGTTCCTACAGGATTAGTTTTTGCAAGCAGTAACTGATTTGTCATACATATTTGTTGGCTCCCTTTTGCCCAGGCCTTTGCATGGTTCAGCGATTTACTGGTGGAGCATGCTGAAATCTTCTGGTCGCTGTTTGCTGTCGACATGGACAGTGCCCTGGAGGTCCAACCGCCCGATACGTGGGACAGTTTCCCGCTGTTCCAATTGCTCAATGACTACCTACGCTTGGACAGTGAGTGCTTTCGTTATCTTTTGTGAGAAATCTTCATGTTTTGTCCAATAAACCCTGTATTCATTTTATTTGGACTGTGATGCACGTTTGCAGTACAGGTTTGTGATCACAAAGCACGCTGTACTGTTCATACACAGCACTGAAATTGTCAGTACATTTTAAAATAATGTTTAATTACTCCGTCATTTTTTTCTTCTTCAAAAAATTACATATTCTACAAGTTCCGTATTGAGACATAGCTAAAAAGCATCGTGAGTGCCCCTTTAACCCTGGTTGACTGAGGCAAATATCAGACCCAGGCCAATTCCCATAGGATTTGTATTGTCACATACATGTATAGCATGTATAGTATTGTAATTGTATTATATTGTAAGTATAGCTGCTGTTGTCACAAGGCATAGTCTTGAAGCCTGGTAACAGGTGGTCCTCATGCTTTTTAGCTATATACATGTAGCCTCAGGCTGTTATGACTGTAATCTTTAAAACGAAAATACATATGGGCTGAAATTTGGTGGTTGTTTGGATACTAAAATGCTATTAAAGGGATGTCCTTTTTAGGTCATGTGATTTTGGTAACTTTTTCAATGTTGGATTGTGAGGTGTTCTGGTGAAATGAGACAGAACTGGGCAGAGGTCAAAATGAAGTTTTGCGGGCATTAGAAAAGAGAATAACATTCTCCTTACAATAATGTTTGTTGCACTTCAATCTGACATTCTGTTGACAAGTTGTGGCTGTTTTAAGTTCGCATTGATCAACATGTAAAAAAGTCACATACTGAGACAAAGCCCTCTAAAGTTTCAAGATTTGTATTTGTGAAAAGGAAAGATGACATTTGTTTTCCCTTGAAAACATTTTTATTCCACAATTTGTATACTATTCCTTTAAAATATGTGTAGAAGACATATCCAAGCTTTCAAATATTAATCAGTCTGAAAATCAAAAAATCAAAACAGCTCATTCGGTTTTTAGGTTTTTCCCCACTATGGCCTGTGCTGAGGTCCATCTCAATTTGCCAGAACGGCTGGAAATTTATATTTTAAAGATTTTTTTCCAACTATTGTCAAGATACATGTACAGAGAGAACAATAATTGCTTACCTGAACATTCTGTCTGACGAGGGTTAAAGGTTTAAGGGGTGCTTGATTGGTTTGCTTAACATTTGCAAATTAATCGCAAAGTTCCATCCTTACACTGCAACACCAGTTAGCATCAGGTAGCATCAACAGTCATTCGTTAAAGCATTCTTGTGGGAGATGTCTTTTTTTTTCCTTGCAGACAATCTGAACGGTGGGCGATTCCACCAGCATCTTCAGGACACATTCGCCCCCCAGGTGATTCGCTACGTGGATCTGATGGAGTCCTCCATTGCCCAGTCCATCCATCGTGGATTCGAGCGAGAAAAGTGGGAACCAAAAGGGTGAGTGCATGTAGGTAGGAGGTCAATTCTGGGTCAGCTTTTGTAAGGAGCGATCTGATTGGTCAGAAATTATGCCAGTCCATATTTGGACATGTTCATGAATTATTGATCCCAATGCTAAGCACAAAATTTGCTTAGTACCAAAAAAGTCTGGCTTATAAAAGCAGGTTACCAGCCAAAACTCAACATGATGTATATTGCTCATGATTGGTATTCAGGTGTTGTTTGCTTAGCATGAAAATCACATGGAGTTTTGGCTGGTAACCTGCTTTTACAATGTATAAGCCTTTTTTTGTGCTAAGCAAATTTTTGTGCTTAGCAGCACCGTGAAATTGGGCCCCGCTTGCAAGTAAAGCAAAACCAATATTGAGTGTTACATCCCCCTGACGCAAAATTCCATCCTTTGAGCAGTCGAAGTGAACGTTACCATAACTCTTATTTTTTATTTTTACAGTAACGGGACAGAAACCTCCGAGGACCTATTTTGGAAGTTGGACGCCTTGCAGACGTTCATCCGAGACCTTCACTGGCCCCAGGAGGAGTTTGCCAAGCACCTGGACCACCGCCTTAAGCTCATGGCTGCCGATATGATCGAGTCTTGCGTCAACAGGTTAGCCTGTGGTTGGGGGAAATAGTATACAAATATAGCACGGTTTGAGGCTGGATAGTCGATATTGGCTCCCTGAGTTAAAGTTGACAAACTAGTTCCCAGGGTGAAACCAAGGAACTAGGTTGTCAACTTCCAATACCGAGGGGAGCTAAGATCGACTATCCATCCGAACTAAACCATGCCTTAGTTGTTTTACTTTACCTCGTACATACATGTATTAACAAAAATTTCAGGAAGTGACGCATAAGTTTTCTTGGCAAAAAGCTGTTGTGCATGTGCAAATCCACAGCGAATCTGTTACCTTCCTGGCATTGAGTAATGCCGGTACCCACCTGGGTTGAGAGGAGTAATTGAGGTAAAGCGCCTTACTCAAGGGCATAACACGCACGGCAAGGCTCGAACCCACAACCTCATAATCATGAATCCTGTGCTCCACCGCCAGACCACACTTGCCCATAGCTCTCTACTAGCATATTAAAGTTTTGAACAATTGGTCATTTCATTGCCCCCCCCCCCCCCCCCCCCCCCCCCCCCCCCCCCCGAAGAAAGGACAAAATGAAATAGTTTATTTACTTTGTTTTGGTTTAGTTTCTGCCTCTAGTGCCTCGTCAATAAGACCCATTTTTTTTTTTACGTCCTTCTTCCTCAGGACAATGAAAGCGTTTGAGGTTTGGAACAAGAAAGGTCGGATCAACTGTGATTATCGTGTGCCCTCTGAGTTGTGTGTCATGATGAACGTTCTGACTGATGCTAAGGTCCAGTCAGCGAAGCTCTGCCCCGTCTCTAAGGACCAGGAGAATGTAAGCTGATTGGTTCGTGATATGGCTGGCTCCTCCCCATGGTAGTCTTGGTCAAAGGCTTCATGAAATGATTTTACACTGAAACATATTTTTTTGTAAATATCCCTTCCTCCGAACTGTAGGAAAATAACAGGACACCATTGTATTATGCACTTTTTCAACTTTCAAAATTCCAATACTGTTCCCTGACAAATGAGGGCGCTATTGCTGTGATACTATTTGTGCGCAAAATGAAATCCTTTTTTACAGATGGTTGCAGATGAAAAAATTGGAATGAAGTATTTTTATCATGAACACAAAACATACAAATTAAAAATTTGTAAGACGAAAAAAAAAATCAATTTTTGAACAGCATGGGGTATACTTCTGTAACCATTGCTAATTTGATAATGGCACGATGTTAAACATTAGTACTCATTATACAACACCTGAATAAATCCCGTCATCTGATTGGTGGATCGTTGATCACATGTCATTGAATTATTCGTCCCAACGCATGGTGCGCCCGCGGCACGCAGCGCACAGTGCAATGGAAGTTCTATTGCACGGTAAATAGAACTTCGATTACACGGTTTCAGTGCTGCCGGTGGTGGTGCTGTGACATGAATCTATTTCACAAAATGTGGACGTTTTGCGAGACTGAAACACCGAGATGAAATATCAGAACTTGTAGGTCAGCTGCTAACACAAAGAAGCAAATAAACTACGCTGCCAAACGATTGCACAAATTTGCAAAACACACAGGAACATTTGTTGAAGCATTATACTGATTCACAACTGAACAACTTCTTGTCGCGAATTTACTCAGGACTGAGAAGAGAAAACGCGGCACACTATATCAGATGACGAGGATTTATTCAGGTGTTGTATAAAACAACTAATGAATGTTTCACAGTCGTGCAATGGTAAGAATAATTTTATGAGGTGACAGATGAAATGTTCCATTCAACTTGGCTTCGCCTCGTGACATGGATATTTCATCTGTTACACTCACAAACATTCATTATTTGTATACTGTAATGTGAGTGTGAGCCAGCCTTGAATTGATGAAGTCAGTAAACTTGTCATGTAACGCATTTTTACGTCTCATCGACAGCACCAGTACCACACCAAGATTGACGAAGTCGTGAGCAGACAGAGCCATAATTTGATTGAGAGCTTGGTGGTTAAACTCCGGCTCGTCATGGAGGGCATGCTGTCCAAGCTAGCTCGCTATGATGAAGGCACATTCATGGCTTCCATCCTGTCATTTACGGTACGTACCATGTACAGAACCCAGGGAGCTTGGATTACAGTGAGGGCCAAAGAATTGCCGTCTCAGCAGAAAGTGGAAAAGAATTACCAAATTCCTGATTTAAAAAAAAAGGAAATCAGCTATTTGGAGAGAACAGAAAATTTTGAAGGATAATCTACAGCTTGTGGTAGCTGTTTGTTTTATTCTTACCCAAATTGTTCAATCATTTTCAAACTCTAATTAGTCCTTTTTGAGTTGATATTCACTTTTGACATCACGACCCACATGGAAAAACAGGACACATTTTAACAGTTCTGGAGAGGATGGCTCATTCCTGAAGAAAATTGGAGCCAGGCCATCAGATCAGTGGCAATGCGGTGCTCCTCAAATTATTGATGACATCATCACCTTTTGCCAAGTCTTCCATTCCCCCCATGGCTACAAAGTGAAAATGCCATGGAAATCCGTTCATGCAAACCAGAGATCAAACAGATTGTAAAAGGCTGTGGGTTTTTCCACCCATTCCAGTGGGATTGACACAGTGATATCAGTGCATCAGATTGTCATGGGCCTTTCACTCTGATGTAAAATACATTAACTGTGTAAACCCTGTGTAGAAAATGTTCGTTGTGGAAAAGCTAATGCACTATACTCTTCAAATATGTATCGATATTTGTGATGCTTTTTTTTCAAGCTGTGAAAAAGAGGGCGCTTAGAGGTTGGCTTTTGTTTGAGACACCCTGTCTAAGTAGAATGCCACTGCATAATGCAGAAGTTGCTGGTTGGAATCCAGGTTGTCGACAAGTGTAATTATGTAATTTGTGCAAAATCCAATTCAATATTTGGCCTGCTTCTCCTGACAGAATCCTGGTTCAGAAGTGGCCGATGACTACGCAAGCTTCGTCAGTGAGAATCTGGACGAGGTTCGAGAGTGCCTGCATGATGAGGAATTCATCTTTGCCCTTTTTGACGTGAGTCAGAAACTCTTCAATATAATTCCTTTTGTGTTGATTCAATGATAGATAATTAACGTCTCCAAGTGAACATAGGACTGGCATCAAAACTGCACCTGAAACGGTATAGTCTGGGGGCTATGGGGTGTCCGAGTGCACCCCCCCCCCCCCCCCCCCCCCCGCCCCGCCCCGAACCCACTGCCCCGAACCCACTGCCACCGACATTTTGTTGATTCTTGGCATGTCCTCAATAGAAAAAAAAGAATCAAGTTATGAGACCAAAAAATTGTGGGTACATTTTGTCTGTTTTCTCTAGTGGTGTGCATTTACGGGTAGAATGAGAATCGGCTACCCTATTGAAGTAACACACAGCTACCCGGGCACTTGTAAAATAATTCCAAACCCCAAAATTTAAATCCCGGCAGTTGTCTGAAGGGCTTTAAGGCTTTAGGGTGTAGATGTATACTGCAACTTTCACGAGCCTCATCTATGCGTATTAAAATGCACAGCGATAAGTCTGTTTTGCTTTTCCATATAGCCTGTTTTTCAGTTTGAAAATTCCCCAAAAATTGCATTCAAAACCTTTCTTTTTCATTTTCTGAGAAGTTAACAAGTAATTTTCAAAGTTGGTTACGGGTACCTGATCCCATAATCTAGAACCGGTTCCTGTCATCAGTTTTCTGAAGTTTTTTAGTAGCCACTGATCCTACGTACCTTGAACCATTTTGAGGTGTATATTATAAGTCTTTTCTCTGATGGTGTCTTGCAGGCCTTTTATACAGCCAACATGAATCTGCTGTGTGACTGGCTGTCAGACCGGATGGACCTGCAACTCCATGTGCACCAGCTCAGCACCCTGCTACGAGTTACCAATGTACGTACTACCAGCTAAACTTTGATAAAGGCAGGCATGCAACTTTTCCTCGGATCAGCTGATTTCCTCTTTTTTTTACTTCCCATGTGTGCCATTGAAAATAGAAAAACACTGTACAAAGTCTGGGGAAAATTTGAATTTCTTCTTTTTTTTGTGATTTCCCAGTTGCATGCCTGTAAAGGGACTGTGGGTTTGTGCATAAAGTCAGAGAATTCCATGTAGACAGTGGATCGCCTGTAGTATACGAATGCAACGTTAGTTTGAGGGGAAGTTGTGCAACTGTTGGTCTCAAAGTGTTGGCTGATTGGACTTCCTCCTAACCACTGTGTTCGATTACTTCCCTCGCGCTTACCCGTACTTGCGTCTTGGGTGTAGATGCAGATGCGCAATCTGTAGCAATAGACGAACGATCTCGAGGTTACTCGAAGTCGAGCCATAGCAACTGGACAGGGCCCAATTTCATAGAGCTGCTTAAGCAGAAAATTTGCTTTAATAGTAAAATTAGGTTACCGGCCAAAACTCCATGTGATGTACATTGCTTGTGACTGGTATTTAGCTGTTGTTTACTTAGCATAACAATTGCATGGAGTTTTGGCCGGTAACCTGATTTTATTAAGCAAGACGTTTTTGTGCTTAAGCAAATTTTGTGCTTAAGCAGCTCTATGAAATCGGCCCCAGGGTCAAGAGGTCATGTGGCAATTAAATCCCCTAAACAAATGGATTTGAGCTGTCAAAAGCAAGCCATGGTGGCCACTGTACGTGCTCTTCAAAGTGAACAAGAAATGCTGGGTATGTTTAAAACTAACTTAACTTTCCTCCCGTCGTCTAGTATTACTGTGAAGTGAAGCTGAGACACTTTTGAATACGCCCCGCTGCTGCAGCGTGAGACTTAGCTGCCATGTTTTCACGTTGTATTGTGGGGCACTTACCCAAGTAATCGACTCAGTGGGTCGGTTACTTGGGCCAGGATCAAGTAAGCACGAGAATTTGTGTGAGAGGTAAATCAAAGGCAGTCGCACTTGCGCGATTAAGCGCTGAGGAAGTAATCGAATGCTGTGTACATTAAGTAGAGGAAGGTAGCAACATAAGCCAGCATTTGGCACTCCCTGCCTGAAATGGACCATGTTGTAATTGTTTTAGTACACCGCATACATATTTAGCTCCCTTGTCAAAATTCAACAAAATTCCACGGGAAATGCTTGCCATGAAATGCATTTAAATAATGTATAGTTGTTGAAAAGGGTTGCCGAAGGCTGCCAAGGGTTGTCTTGTCAAGTACGACTTGGTAACAAGGGTTATATATATGTAGTCATTCAATGTTTTACACTTGTTAAATAAAGACAAAGGTTGGCTGCGTCCGCTGTAGCAAAGTGGCCCAATTTTGAGTCATGCAAAGAAGGGTAAAACAGCAACAAGTATTCTTTTGGAATGCACAAATACATATACGAATACTTTCATCAATTTATGTTCACAATATTGAATCACCCGCTCTCATCCTAACCCTTTTTTTTTTGGCACAGAAAATGTACAAGGATTTTGAGCTGCACGGCGTGTCCAGCAAGAGCCTGAACAGCAAGACGTACGAGGCCGTGCGTCACCGGCTACAGGTGGAGGAAGCCACCGCCTCGGTAACCCACGGCAACCTGGCCTTGACCAACGGCAGCACGGAGGACGAGGACGATGATGAGGAGGATTAAGGAGAACACTTCAAGAAAAAAAAACAACACCAAAACCAAAAGCCATCCAGCAAACTAGGAGGCCATCGCCAAGATGAGATAACCAGGTACCGATGGACGCTGCAAACTTTGGATTTGATAAACATTTTGCAAATTCTCTGGAACATTTCTAACTAATGTGATTTTTGTTTTTGGGAGGGGGTAGTGTGTTAGTAGCCCATCACAAGTCCAGTCACAAGTCCAGTCACAAGTCCAGTCACAAGTCCAGTCACAAGTGCACGTAAATCACAAGTCCTTTTACAATTCCATAAAAACTTAACAGGGGTATGAGCTCAGAAAGTTTCTCAGTTGTTGTCCCTTCTGTTCGCACCTTCACTTGCAGCACACGTATTGCAATCTCCCTCATCCATTCACTGTATCTGTTCCAAAGGCCAGTACTGTGAGATATTCTTCTAGTTTTTTTTCTCGAACTGCTTCAGTTTGGAAATCCTTACCAGAATCCTGTTTTCCACCAACTATTAGCTATCCTGGCATGGTCAAACGAAATGTGAATAGATATCTCTCTTTCTGTAACTTTATCCTCTATACTTTCTTTTGTAGCCCTCACCTTGAGTGGCCTTCTGGCCTTGCAATAGGCGATTCCCATTAAAAATAGAGGGGGGGGGTAATAACTGGAAATAACAATGACAAAGGAACGCTTTTTCACGGTATATTTGAATGGGTTGTGAGTGGACTGGAGGACTTGTGATGGACTTCTGAAAACTGGAGGGGGGGGGGGTAGTTTGTGCATACAATATCCCACAGGATGCTCATGTTGAGGCTGGTTCGTACTCAGCGGGAAAGCAGTTGCAATGACAGACTTGAGATGTTATATACTAACGGCAAGTGTTTGTACTGCATTTAAGCAAAACCTGACTTTATAGTCAGGTAGTCTTTGTTTTCCTGCATCATGAATGATCAGATCCCAATCATATCCCTGGGTACGAACTGGTGTTTTTTTAAGGGTTTCCATGGTAATGACAAGTTACTTTTTACTTAGTTATATGAAGCTTTTAGTTTAAAGGGAAAAAAAAAGAAGAAATCAAATTTACAGAAGTTTCAAATATTCTAGATTAAACTGGAATAGTCAAGACGAATTTTAGTTGCAATTTCTGAACAAAAAAACTGAACATGACATTGTCAAAGGGGATTTCACATTTTGCCTTGCAGGGGGAACGGAGAATGTCAAAAGATTTCTAAGAATTCTGGGAACCAAAACCAGAAAATACAGTACTAAAGAATGCTGCGTTACTTCCCAGAATAACGGCGTCATTGCAAGCTGTACAACACAAGATGCTAGTAGTTTTTGAGAAAAAAAAAGCAAAAGTAATCACAGTAGTTGCATAAAACGCTGAGAAATCTTTCCTGCCCAAAGTTGCATGTAGTACTCTAAATTATTTGTAATGTAATCATAGTTCACAGTACTATGTCAATGTACATTATGAAACCTGTTCCCAGAAAATGAGACTAATGTCACAAAAATGGGCTTCGGATATTATTTAATAGAGAAAAGAACTTTGTATAGACCCAACTTTTGTGACATCACATTGAGTGGCAGGGCAGTATGCAAAGTACATGTATGTTTTTAGTGCCCGGGATTTGGCTAAATGTCACTTCAAACGTGACGTCATGAAACTAGGTCTATAGTCGGCACTGTTAACTTCAGCTGGTTTATAGCGTTCGAGGAATATGGCTAAGAGTTCAGTTCAGATAATATAGAAAATGGAAACTGCAACTTTAATTTATGAGAACAGAAAACAAAGAGTACTACCTAGACGCCCATAGTTTCCTAGGCTCGCAAAAGCAAAACCAATCCCAAACAAATCCATTGCTAGAAACCTGCCGTAGACGAACCTCAAAAGTGAAAGTGTACCATAAGCATGTGCAGTGAGATACTGACGTGGTTGTATTTGGCGTGAGACCCTAGTTAGTCTTGATTCCAGGCTGCATACACAAAAGTCTTCCTATAGCCTTATTTTTAGTGTTACTCCTGAGCTAGCCTCCTCATCATCGCCCTCATCCTCTGCTGCTGTTGCCAAGGCCAGGCTGAATTGAAGACCACCACCAAAAATAGGAGGCTTTTGTTTGTATGCAGCCGCAGAGATTATGATGAATTTCTATAGATATCTCTTGTTCGGTTGTTTTTGTTTCTGTTTTTCTTTTCTCACAAATGTGATTTGAAATACATGTAATAAGAAACCCGAGTCATTCAAGATTTTGATTTCGACATTTTTTGCTAAGAAATCGTAAGGTTCATTTCAACCAAGTTGTCTGCTTTAATAATGACCTTAAAAGGACTGTTTGGAGTATTTAATTGGAATCATATTTTAAAAAGATCAAATTGATTTTTGCACTGTATTTTATTTTATTTTTATTTTTATTATTTATTTATTGTTTTGTGAAAGCTAAAACGGGCTACTTGGAAAAATACGTACTATTAAAATTGTATTTCTTTTACTTGTGACTTGTACTCAGATAATTTGTGCATAGTACCGGTAATTAAGTACATGTATCCTGAGCAATAGATTCACTAAAGCAACTCTGCTGGGCCCATGTTTAACTTTGGCCTAGGTTCAACATTGGCCCAGGTTCAACATTGGCCCAGGTTCAACATTGGCCCAGGTTCAACATTGGCCCAGGTTCAACATTGGCCCAGGTTCAACATTGGCCCAGGTTCAGTCAGGTTTGGCCCAGGCCCATTTTTTTTGCCCAGGTTCAACATTAGCCAAGCTTCATCTTTGGCCAGGTTTAACATTGGGCCCAGGTATAACATTGGGCCCAGACGCAACATTTGGCCCAGGTTCAAGGATTCAGCCAGGTTAAACATTAATTTTGACCCAGGTTTGTCGTTGGCTAAGGTTCAGCTTTGACCCATGTTCAACATTGGGCCCAGGTTCAACATTGGGCCCAGGTTCAACATTGGGCCCAGGTTCAACATTGGGCCCAGGTTCAACATTGGGCCCAGTTTCAACATTGGGCCCAGTTTCAACATTGGGCCCAGCCACCAGGATCAACTTTAGCTCTGGTTCAACTTTGACCCAGTTTCAACTTTGGCCCAGGTACAACATTGGGCCCAGATGCAACATTTGTCCCCGACTAATAACATCAGGCATTCAGAAACGTGCCAAAAAAAGCTTGTGAGTTTATTTGCCAAAGTTGATCACTCATACGTGTCATTTTTCCCCCCTGAATAATACTTCAGGCCATTAATCAGTTTTGTTCAAAAATATTTTGAGTACTTTGCTTTATGTCCGCATGGATATTTATAGGTATAATCCTGGCCAAATCTCACGGGGCCCCCAACCCCAGCCCCCATTCAATGTTGTCTCTCATGACGTGATATGTGCTCCATCAGCTGGAGAGAACAGCATTGACTGGTGGAGCGGGGGAGTGGGTGACGGTGGGAGGTTATTTCCAAGTGTCCCAACCATTTTCGCCGGGATCGTAGGATAAAAAATAAGTCTGTAAATGTTTTGTCATTTATTCCAAACGATAGGTGTTCCGTTCCAAAAATGTTGACAATTTCAGTTTAAATATTTTAAAGTATAAATTACAAGTACATTTAATTATTTATAGTATATGAAGTACATTATTTTATTTCAGTAACTATTGTTCGAAAAGCAATAGTTCAGTTTTTCTTCCAAGTCAATCAAGTAAAGTCTACAATTTTTTTCCCCCACAAGGTTCAGCACTATTCTTAAGGACATTTTTGGAAACTTCATCTTTTGTTTGCATTGAAGACAATACTTTGACTTTTTGTCATTTCAAACCAGAGAGAAAGTCAAATTCGTAAATTTGATTAAATTTTGTTTTGGATAATATGTTTCTTCCAAGACTTAAAAGTTAGGCATTTTGGGTTACCTAATAACATATTCTAGAAGATTGTTTGAGTTGGTTTTTTTTTTGAAGAAAGGTGTCTGTCCACATTAAAATTATGTGCATGTATTGTAAATACCATTTATTGTTATATTAACCAAAAATCTTTCTTCTAAAATTCAGATTGTTTGATTCATAATTTTGGTAAAAGTCACTTTTCGACCAAAAAAAAAATGGAACATATAAAAATCTGACAACTTATCTGGTTTTGTTTTGTAATATTTTCAAAGAAATTGGTATAAATATAATCATCTAAAAATAACTAATTTATTTGATCACGATCATGTGCAACTAATTTACATAATTTGTATCAACTGTGGCAATTATTGAAAGACAAGCTTGTTGATTCTATCATAATTTATTTGTTTAGATTTGGTCACGCCAGAAGTAAGCTGTGTGTAGAATTATGTAAATGGATTATACAGAAGGTCGTTAGTTTTTATTATAGCGTAACTAATTAAGTTGATATCTTTTTTTTACTTTGATGTTTTGGTTATGTTTCTTCTAAAATGGTGTATGTTAAATCTAGTCAATCTAATTAGGCAGAAAAAGAGAATAGTTTTGTGTTTCCTGAAAACATTGCCAAAACAAAGGTGGGTAGGTAGGTTTTTGTGTTTTTGTTTTTTTAACTTACGTTTGTACACAATATGTATGTGTGCATGTACATATTGGAGAACAAGTAGACATAAGGTACCTTTATTGCACACTGTCAAGTACTCTGGAGTTGACAGTATTTGAGTATTTTATTTTTTCATTTCCAAAAACATACATGTATAAAATGAATCAAACAATTCATCTGCCTACCATTTCTTTTTGTACACCCTAAATTTAGGGTAGATCAGGTTACCGAAAATGCCGGAATTTTTTTTTTTTTAATTTTGGCCTAATTTTTTCAATATTCATCTATTATTCTCATGTGAACAAGAGAACATGCTTGTCATTGATATAATTCTGTGGTCCAAATGGTTGTTGGTTTTCAACTCAAGGTCTTGCCGAGATATTAAAAAAAAAAATAAGCCTGTTTTTCAAGGCAATTCCCAAGATGTCTTATGGAAAAGTTCTTGTCGTGGAATAATTTTGAAAATGTCGAAACAAGTGTTTTCATTGGTTTTCCTATTAGTATCCTTCACTGTCAGGTGATGAAAATGCCATGGCAACATTCCTGAATGCATGCTAATGTTAGTGTCAGAAGTGCACCGTTTTACCCCCAATTATTTATCTTATGCTGCTTGTTAAAAAAATCCCTCAGTTCTTAATCTAGAAAACATTGTAGATCGTAGATGTGCTTTAAAGCATGTACTTGCATGGCTGTGTTGCAAAAAATATGTTGTAGTCTGTTCAATACAGGGTGAGTCAACAAACACGAAACCCAAATGGCGGGACCATTGTTTGAGTGAAGTTCTGCATGTAGCACTTTCAAAATTTTGGATATGAAAGTCCAATTCATAAGCTTTCTTTGAGCACAAGAATCATTCAAATCACTCATGTACTTTTTAAGTTACGGAATTTTAAACACAACCACCATTTTAAAGTTCTGTCCATGGATCACAGAAAAGGTGTGCATTCTTTCAGCAAAACGAAAACAATTCAGACATCCATATGTGATTTGTTTTCGTTTTGCTGCAAGAACACTTACCTTCTTGTGATCTGTGGACAGAACTTTAAAATGGTGGTTGTGTTTAAAATTCCGTAACTTGAAAAGTACATGGTTGATTTGAATGATTCTTGTACTAAAAGAAAGCTTGTGAATTGGGCTTTCATATCCAAGATTTTGAAAGTGCTACATGCAGAGCTTCACTATCACAATGGTCCCAACATTTGGGTTTCGTGTTTTTTACTCACCCTGTACAAGGGGAAACATATATGTAGATACATGTACTGTATTACGTACAGAGATTCTCGTTTACTTTGGATCAAAATATCGTGCAATAATGTATAGCAACTGGGTCAACAAACACAATGTATACATATTATACGTAGAGTCTATAGATGAGTATATGAATTAAATGACATATTCTATTCATAATGGAGTTATTGGTAGCTTTTATTGGTATATTTTAAGAATTTTACAAACCAAAAAGGTAGAATTTTATGGGTCGTGTCTAGAAAAATTATCCTCTGTTGTTGTCTGTATTACACCACTAGACTTTTTGTAACCGGAGGAAAAAAGTCCCCTTTTTATCCAAGTGATGGACTTGAATTTGATTTGTGACATTCCTTCCTGTCCCTTTGTGAAAGTGGTGATGAAGGGGTTGATACATGTAATACCATGGTCCATGGATGGACTGAACTGATCGTATCCCAACATCAGAAACCGAGGTGTCTTGTGCTATTGAAATATGTACATTTGTGTATTTGTGATATATCACCGACAGATTTGCCCACTTTTTGTGATTATCGGGCTGGCTGGCTTTGCACTGTTACTGGGACACTCAATGCATTGGCTTTCCTTTAAAGTGATTTGTCTAGAGCTTACAACACGCATTTGTGATGGGTTCTCAGGCATGGAACGTACCAGTAAAAGGCCAACTAAGCGTGTATATTCAATATCAAATTAGTTTTCATGTATAGTGTTAAACTACTTCCATAACAGATTCCTAGGAGGGGTGAAATATGCAGCGGGACACAGTATGACCATAATATTTGTAAAGCTTTCTTTGAATGAATCTTGTAGGTTTTGGATATGTATACATTCGTTAACACAGGTTCATTTTAAGTGCTTAGCAGAGAGTTACTTGGAGAATTTTTTTTGTACACAGTTTTGTATTTGACCGAGGCACAGCAAATATGCAACGGCATTCAAAGTTTGGAACTATGTACAATACCAGAAATGTTTCATTTCAAGGTTGTTCAACACAAGGACAACAAAACGTACTTGTTACCCTGGTTATAGTGGCAGTAGAAATATGACTCCAACTTCCCTGACACATGGTTTTACTTTTGAACAGAATCAGACAATTTAAGAAAAAAAATAAGCATATCAAAAAACCAAAACGTTGAAATTCATGCCTTACGTGAAAAGCAACCGCTTGTTCTTTGCCCAGGGGCCAAGTTTATGGAGCTTTGTGAATGGTAAGCAGAAAAGGTTTGCTTTAAAAATTGCGCTAACTTGGAAGCTAATTTGACAGCCTTGCTATGGTCACACTTGTGTGTGGCTTGAGATTTCTATGGTTGCTTAACTACAGTTTGCAGTACTATCTGCTTATACTAGCCTTCACAAAAAGATGAAGGGTTTTTGAGCAGAGAACCATAATGCTTGGCAGTGTGATGAAATCAGTTCAGAACAAGAGGATCCTATGGAATGTGCCTGCTGTGGGATGTCAGATCTTGGGAACATTTTGTGGCGCTGTTTAACAGTTCGTAACCTGCTTAACAGAAGATTGTCCTAACGCTAGACTGTGTATGCATGTACATGTATTCATTTCACAGTGTAGACATGCTTACTGTTGCATCACTATTTTGAAGCAAATTCTTACTCTTGAGTAAACATGATCTTTTCTGTACATATTGCTTACTGTATGAATGGATGAAGATTTTTGGATGCAGAAAATGGTGTGCTTCGCAGTGCCATGAAATTTGGCCCTTTGTAAGAGATACATGTACTGGGGCTAAGTGTTAAGGCAATTGTATTACCATGATTATGTGATTTGTCAAAAAAAAAGGACTGTTTCAGCCTGTTGCACAGAAACAAGACTACCCCAGATTTCTCTGATCATATTATATAGAGTGTTACATGGGTTGCAGAGTGTGAATATTTCCACATTTTGAGTTAGGTCCACATTTCAGGTGATTTCTTTATTACAAGATGCTTTAAGTCTGTATAATTTATAAGCCCATGCGTAGCTTGGATGTTATTTCCTACCAATTCCATTGTTTTGTGTAGTGGTTGGTTAGCATCATTTCCCTGGTATTTTAATAAATGTCGAAGAAAATAAAACGGTCATGGTTGTACAGTGTTTTGCTTGACTTCGTGGCTTATTCACTCCAAGACCACCAGATAATTAAAAAAGGAGTTGGTAACAGACGTACATATATCAAACAAACAAATTCATAAAATGACTCTATCAAGTTCGTTTATCAACAGTAAACCTTTATTGAAATAGCTTTGAATATGTGATATAAAAATCTATCACGTCCATTCCTACAATAAAGACAAGTACTGTTTACATCCAGTACTCTGAATATGGTACGTCAATCCAATGCAAAAAAGTAAATAAATGAATTACCATCAAACTTTACAATTGTTGAATAAGATACTAGCGTCTAATATAAAGCAAATGATTCCTAGAATTCTGCATGCTGCTAGCTTAACACGTATCCACTGCCGGCCATATCGAGGGGCGCTGATGACTGGTATTTCTTTGACAATGTTATTGAAGGAAACACGAAGCACTCTGGGTAATGATCTATACATATATCTTCCACGCGCATGCAAACATGTCAACCCCGGTTTACTTATGGAACAAAATCTATCCAATGAGGGTTCAAGGCTGAAGTCTTTGGTGGGGTAATAGAGAGGTTTCCCATCCGAACGTATACACATACATTTAACCAACTGTTATACATACCATTCCGTTGTTAAATGTAGCACCGCGTATGCACACATGTTTACATTACATACCTTTAGTGGACATTCTTTTGTTTTCATGTAGATTAAGAAAAACCTCTGAAAAACCTCCTTTTCCTTACACTGTGGAAACTCTTTCAACCCAATTTTTTTCCTATGATTCCCTTTAGCGTTTCTCTTCATTTTGATAAACCTAACCCAAAAATGCCTCTAAACCTGTTTTTCAGAGAGGGGGAAACATTGTGTGGACGTGGGCAAGTCCACACAACGTCGCTGCTACCTGGTTTATATGGACATATCTTTTGATCGGAAGTCCACACATTGAATACATGTATAATGCTTGTATATGCATTTCGGTGTTGGAACCAAGCAGTAATCCAACATGGCAGCCTCCCAGGAAAGCCCCATATATGCAGCTAATCATGCATTGCGACACATATATGCTCAGCAATTCATACTCTTTCAATCAAAGCATACATGATTAAATAAATTATCACAAAAGAGGGTGAAAACCCACAATTTAGTATGCGTTTCACACCAAGGCAGAATGCACAATACACATGTATCCATGTTGTGTACATGCACAACAGCAAGTTTCATATGATGTGATAAGACCAACTGCATACATGTACATTGGTTACACCTCTATGTTTCGACACCCCTATGTTCCGACTGCACATATTCCTAACCCTAACCCTTACCCTAAACCTAACCCTAACCGGGAGGAACACAATCTTATGAGCGGTTTGTCGGAACATAGGGGTGTCGGAACATAGAGCAGTCACCTGTACGTTCACTTGCAAAACCTCTGGAGTGTGTATACAAGCGTTTCTGCAAGCCAAAGCTGACAAACCAACGAGGAACGGATGCCAACACTTTTTCACTTTCAGTCTAATAGTTAACTCCTCGCGTAAATTGAAATACAATGCTTAGAAAATACCATGCTTACCGAATACAATGCTTACAAAATACACAACAATACACATTTTCCATAATTCATAAATTACCATTTGTACTTTTTTTTATGCAGCACTCGACTAATTCAAAACTCAAAAGATAAAAATCTGAATAAAGTCTTTAACATATATATGTTAATAAAAATTTAAAGTCACAATATTTGTTAGATACTTCAAAAGGCAAACTAAAGCTACATTGACAGTTCTTTCGAATGGTGAGCCAATTTGTGACGGCTAAATTAATACAAACCAAGTTGCAATCACCTACATGTTGCGGTGACAATGCCGACATTCAAAGTGAAAAGACAAAATGCTCTGTGATGTGTATCACCCATTAGCCCATGCAGCGCCCCAAACCACCCTGTGTATTACTCACCGTAGTGCCCCAAACTGACCAAGCACTCGCTGGTGTTATGGATTCTTCAGTGAATAAATTAGGGAATAAATGTGCGCTTGGCAGGTTTTAAACATTGATGTTTAAGACTGGTTTGGAGTCTTGATGCTGATCTTGACCAGAGCCAAAGGCGAGGGTAATTATCAGCATCCAGAGTTCCAGACTGGTATTTATAAATACCTTTTCGATCAAACAGTCAAAACAAGTCAAATTATAAATTTCCAACGATTTTGTTCCAACAACTTTACTTCATATTATTTGAAACAGCCCTCTAGCTATGTTATGGTATGTGCCTTTCGCAAGTTGTCGTAAACAACTCCTGATATGGAGATTGGTGTGCGCATACTGCGTGATGTGGCGCATACTGCGTGATGTGGCGCAGAACGCAGCTGTGCCGGAGTAGTGTGAGTTTAGGACTGTGAAATAACGGACTCATTGGTAGTATTGCATATATGCCTAACCAAGGAAGATGAACGTTCAACCAATAAAAGGGTAAAAGGGATCGGATTTATAGGAGTCCAAATTTCATGTGACACTGGATTGGAAAAATGTTTAAGACCAGCCAACCGGTGTTTAATGTGACAGGTTTACGACCAATAGGAATGGGTAAACTTTCTTAGGTATTTACGAATACAATGTAATACAATGTAGGTATAGGTGCTTATCGTTCCAAATGTTTATCATGCACTGTAAAATACTGGGGGAAAAAAACAAATAAAATTGTTTTGCCTTTCAGCAGCTGGTATGTATCATACATAGCAGCTGCTGAAAGGCAAAACAATTTTATTCTGTTTTTCGAGGTCACAAACTGGCTATTACATTAAACACATTTTAACTTCCCTACTGATCTTTTCTACAGTCACATTTGCATTCAGGCAAAGTATCCAATGAGCTTAATATAGTGCAACACAAGCACAACTGCTAACAATGCATTATTATTGATAACACACAAAATGTAATATGAAGGGATTTTGATCCAAAGTAAACGTGAAGGGCAAAACCTAATTTGATTTACATCACCCTGACACAAAAAAAAATTCCATCTTTACAAGTCTCATTGACAACTTCCTTTATGCAAATATAAGTAAAAACCTCAGCCTATTATAGGCTTACAACCCGTTGGTTCTGGCAAGAATCCAAGGAAACAAAAGGATTAAACCTTCTAAAACATTTCGCAAGTTCACAAATAAACACATTTCAGTACAAAAAACTTAATACTTAATACTGAAAAGTTTAGTAATAAGCACAAAACATCATCATGCACCCTGGTATTTCTCAAACAATAAGAACTATTTGGATGTACAACGGGAATTTGTGGAAACAGAGTACACACGACTATTGCTATATTAAATCACATCAATTTAAGTCCAAAAACACCAAATATAAAACCTTTTAAATGACCATGTTTTAAGGCTGGACAAAAAGCGATTTGGAATATCTTCATATTACATTGAGTCAACAAAGTGTGATATACGGTACCGTGCTTTGTGGTTTACGGCACACAACATCCACACATGAAAAAATGTGTACCCACAGGCACACTTGTTTTAACCACTTTCAAGGATTAATTTCACAGGGTATTGACCTATCGCAGTAGAATCGCGTCAACGCAGCTTGTGAAATATTGTCCAATTACATGATACACAAATGGACGCGGAACGGGCAAAATCTGAGACAAACAAAACTTAGAGTACAATAACTCCATAGGGTTGCCTAAGGGGCGTGGCCAACTTGCAAACTGTAATAGGTCAATTAGGTACCAGCCCTATCGCCACCATGAGCAAGGTTGTTCTCATTAAATCGATAGGTGCCTTTCCGGGGAAGTACCAATGTTTCTATGTGCCTTTAACAGAGGGCCAGTATATGCAATCATATAAACATGAAGTAGACAAGTTGCCTCAATCAAACAAATACATACAGTCGAATCTCGTTAGTACAAACTCTGTTAATACAAAATTCTGGATAAAACAAACATAAAGCCTTGGTCCCGACTGTGCATTTATGTGCACAATGAATGGGACTGATGTTCCTCTTAATACAAAATTCTGATATAACAAACAATTTGGCTAGTTTGTTATAACGGCACTTGACTGTAGTAGTGCCCTTTCTATTGAATCCCTACTAGTACACCTATATGTAGATACTGTTGGAACTAATAAAGCGTACAATTGTGGAACTATATAATGGCAAGTTCTGGGTTTCCCACAATGTACAAAGTAAGATACAGTCCTACGTCACTTCTAACAGTGAGGGAATAATTTCAGATACTGGTCTAAACAGGAAGACTGCAAACGCACAAACAAGCCCTATTCACACTACAAGTATCTCCCAGGGAATCCCGGGGACTTTTGGTCGGTCTGTTCACACTACCAACGAAACTCCCGGGAAATAGCTTTTCCCCGGGAAATAATTAACCCTGCTCGGGAGTAGGGTTGAGGGAGAAAATTCCGGAGTTGTGTGAAAGAAAGCGGGATTTAACTGACCCCACCCTGTTTGTGTGATTTGTAAGGACCTACAGAGACTCGGACACATCACAATGATGATGAGGTCTCTCCTTCTGGCAGCAAGGAGTTGTGCTCCTGTACGCTACCACTTTCCGGCCCTCGCTCCCCGTTGACGGCTTGCTGACCTGTGGATGACCCTTGACCTTGTTCGGTTGACCTTTCCCCACCGGCAGCCCCTTCCGGCGACCCATCCAACAGTGGGGATCTTGTCGTTTCTTGCATCTCCGTGACAGTCGGGGGCATGTCTAAGGATCTGTGCCGTCCCCGCGCGGAGGAAGACTGCAGGACGTGGATGTACGGCGGCGGGTCAGTCTGGGCTATGACGATGCTTTCATACGACGGCGGAGGTTGCTCTGAGCAAGCATGAGTGGGCCCTGGGTGGGAGTGGTGCCTGCGGAGTTTACGTCGATGGTTGCGGACCACCACGTTATAAGGAGGTGGTTCGTCAGTGTACATGCTTCCTGTACTCATGCGAGACAGACTCCTGCTCACTGTGGAGGGATAGTCTGATGAAACTGCGAGAAAAAGTCCAACAACACCACAATTATTGTTTAACCCTCCTACTGATAGAACTGTCACAAACCATCAACAAATCTATCCACTTCCTCTTCCATAGCGTGTATGTACAGGCTGGTCACCAATTGACAGAACCCCCATAGATTAAACCACATACCGTAATTTTTGGAATATAAGCCGCGGCTTATACGTTGAATTTGCCCATGAAAATGTTTACTGCGGCTTATACACAGGGCGGCTTATACGCCGAGACTTGAAGAATAAAAATGACATTTACATGTGTATTTAATGTACTGGTACAAGAAGAGATGTGTTGCTGAAATAATTATCAATTAAGAAAGTCATTAACAAACCGAAAGCACGTCCCACAAAAAGATACCAAGCTGTAAAAAGTACGGCTAGTGAAAGCAGTCCCTTTGGACATCGACAACCGGCCGTACGTGATGCTTCCCATGCTGCATGCATGCTGCATGGATTCCCCATGGACCACACCATTTGTGGTAATAAAGGGGTGCACTTTCTTGGGAACAATAATTACCAATATTTCCCCAGTTTAAAAAAAGGAAAAAGACAACTAATACATTTTATGGAGTTTGAAACATATCTTTATTTGATAATCAGTTGTTCAACGTCACAATATAATTTTTTTTCTTGAAATGTATTCAAGAAACGATGTAAAACTCAGAACAGGGGTGAAACCACCCCTACGAAATTAATGGATTCGTCCATAAAAATCTCGGCATCGTGACTTCGTGTTGACTGTTTTCGAAGAAAGTTACGATCCAAACTTGAAGTTTTGACGTTACTACTCGTTAGTAATCACAACAATTTGATAAGTTTTGCTGTAAAAACGGACTTGTTTATCCTTTAGGACAAAACAACTCCGCGTCTGTTGCCACAAAGCAGGATTTGTAGCGCTCCAGTCAGACAACACATGGTGGGTTGCATACTCTCTCAAGTGCTGGGGGAAAATAATGTCATTTGCCGGCACAGGCTCACTGACGAGCCAGCCGGCAGCAATTCCCGTTTTTTATTTCTCATCATCAATTTCCATATTTGCTTGTAAGAGTAATCGACTGTAAATGATTTGACATAACATTTGTGGCCCTTTTATAGCTTTCGTAGTGCAAATGGAACTGGTTCAGAGCATTTTGACTAGAATTTAGAGGGCTTACAAAATTGAACCGCTGCGGTTGGTGCGGCTTATACGCCGATGCGGCTTATACGCCGACTTCAAATCTTAATTTGCAGATTTTTGCGTGCTGCGGCTTATACGCCGCGCGGCTTATATTCCGAAAATTACGGTAACTGTCAATTGAGTTCTGCAATTCATTTCACAAAACACGTCGTTCAAGTGCAATGCGTCGTAGGTGTATTTATAGCACAACACGGTTACTGTTAATTGTGTTTATTCAACCTACAGTACTGTCATCTGATACTCGGCAAAGAGTTGTCCGATCTCCTCTCTTTGAAATTTCACCTGCAATATTTCAGACGCATTCATATTTACTTCATAAATGGTCCGTGCTTCGATGCATTTGCCATTTACAACTTCACACACACTGTCTCGGTATTTTATGGTCTTGTTTATGTAATTTTTATGACATAAAACTGAGGAAAAAGGAAGCTTCTTGTTTTGCGATACCACTAGACCGGTCATTGCTTGTGACGTGTTTTAAGCCGTTATACGACGCAAGTTTTATGCGTCGCAACTCGTGTTGCAACGCGTTGCATGGCTTCGTTACATTGGGTGCAGGTATGTAAAAATCATGAAATACTTTTTTTTAGGGAAAAAAATTGGCATCTTTCCTTTTCACGAATACAAAACTCAAAACTTAAAAAGGTCTACAGGGTGAGTAAAAAAAAATCAAAACCCAAATGTCTGGACCATTGTTTTAGTGAAGTTCTGCATGTAGCACTTTCAAAATCTAGGATATGAAAGCCCGATTCATATGCTTTTTATTAGTACAAGAATCATTCAAATCACTCATGTACTTTTCAAGTTACGGAATTATAAACACAACCACTGTTTTATTAAAGTTCTGTCCAAAAAAGTGTGCGTTCTTTCAGCAAAATGAAAACAATTCACACACTTCCCTTTGTGATTTGTTTTCGTTTTGCTGAACAAACACTTACCTTCTTGTGATCCGTTGGCAGAACTTCAAAACGCTGGTTGTGTTTATAATTCCGTATTAACTCGAAAAGTACATGAGTGATTTGAACGATTCTTGTACTAAAAGAAAGCTTATGAATTGGACTTTCATATCCTACATTTTAAAAGTGCTACATGCATAACTTCACTAAAACAAAGAGTCCCGACATTCGGGTTCATCTTTTTTTGACTCGCCCTGTATTCCTCAGTATTCAATTTTTTGACATATTGACAAATGCAAACTTTTAACTTGTCAACGGAATGTCCGACTGAAATGCAAGGGACAGTAATGTAAAGAGAATTTTGCTAATACCACACACCCTCATTTCAACCTTGGCCCAGTCCTGTCTCATTTTGCCAGAATGCCTCAAATATATCACCTACCTGAGCTGCTTTCTCGGTATCTCTGACTGAAGACCTCTGGGTAGCGTCTGGTGTAGAGTGGGTTGCGACATTGTCTCATTCTGCAGCAGACCCAGACGGTGAGTAGCAGCAGAGCCACTGGTATGACTGTTATCAAGGTGTAGGTCAGACTGCTGTGAAAGCCATCATCCTCATAGGTTTCTGTGTGCGAAGAAAAGAAACGCAGCAATGTTTGGTTACTTTCTACATCCTCTCTTAGGGGAACAGGATTGATTTTTGGACTGTCTGTGACTTGTCTTGTGTAGAATGCCATGGTCCAGTGGTTACCGTGTTTGACTCATGTACGATGGTACGTGGGTTCAAACCCTGCCGGGAACATGGTGTTTGTGCCCTTGGGCAAGACACTTAACTACAATTGCCTCTCTCCACCCAGGAGTATGAATGAGTACCTGTGAGTGTAGAGGTTGAATGTGCGCTGATATCAGCTGCCATGTGGTCTTGTGGCCATTGAGTGGTCAACCACTAATAGAAGGATGGGGGTGTGGGGCGACTCATCCTGGGATCGATTTCACCAAAAAATTATGAACAAAAAAAAAAAAACCATGAAACAGCCATCAAATTAGTAGTTTTGATGCGTCTTGCTTAAGATTCTTTTGGTGAAATCAGTCTTACGACGCGTCTTAGCTCAAAAATGAGTAGCAAGATAAGAGGAGTTTGGTGAAATCGGCACCTGGGATCCTCAGGTCCTGGGCTACTTACCCACTAGCTTCTTTTCACAGTATGTGCCAATGTAATCGTCTGGACATCTACATTGGTACCTATCATGGGTACCCACACAACTGCCTCCATTCTGACAGTAGTACTGCGGACAACCTGGCATCAACAACAAAATGCATACAGGGTCACTGGAATGTACAACAGAAAAAGTACTGGTACTTCTAAATTATGTCTCACTAATAAAACCAAAGACAGGATGAAAGATGGTTGCACTGGCAAGCTTTGACAACTTCCATGAATTCTTTAACCCTCCTATGCAAACATCCATTCTTTGAAAAATTGTCCTTTCAGTCAAAATCAAGCGAAGCAAAAGAAATCAAACAGGATAGAAAACACAGCAAAAGTTCACCGCACATGGTGAGCTAGATGCTGAGCAAACAGCCTTGAGAGACTTTTTGCTCAGCACATAGCTCTCGGGTGCGGCGGTTTTAGTGCACCAAAGTGCCTCACTCAACCTGCTTCTTTTGTTCGCAGTAACCTGGATGGACTGGGCTGAAGTTGACCCCATGCTGGAGGAGACTATTCATGAATGCATTGTTTGTATACATGGACATCCAACCTCCCAAAAAACCTCCTGTATATTTCTGCATTCTCCCCTAACAGGGGCAGGACAAAAAAGGACTTCCAATTAATACAATGAGCCAAATGCAAGAAGCACTGTCATTAAAGCACCGAGCTATTTACCTGAGTTATCTTGTTGGCACCGTAGTCCTGAATAGGGTCGTTGGCAGTGGCAGTATCTTGTGGCCACTGAGTGGCCAAGGCATGTGCCACCATACATGCAGTAATCCTGAGGGCACACTGCAGCACAGGAAAATTAAGAAGAGAGAGTTATGCTATCGGGTTTGTTTTTCGTACAAATATTTCCACCATCATTACTGTAAGACTTAAAATTTACATTAAGCACAGCCAGAAATTAATTGGCTTCCAAAAAGTGGTGGGATAAGTCACGGATTTCAAAATCCGGTAATCCTAAAATAATTTCGAAACCCAATAACGGTTATCAAATATCACTGGAGGCTCCCATTCAGCTCAAAGTCATGCCAACAAAAAGTTACGAAAGAGGTCCACATGCAATGAACTCCATGATGATTGGGTATAGTTTGCGAGATTCATTGACCACTGGACCTTCACAAAACACTCCAGAGCTGTAAATGGGTGGGAACTCTCTCATGAGTTGAATGGGCAGACTTTTCATGAACCAAAAAGACCATTAGCAAGTGCACGCGGTTACTACTAGAGACAATGAAGCAAATTGGGGGATGTCTCAGTTGTTTCTTCAGCCTGTGTCACAAGAAACAGAAGCCATTGTTTTTTTAAGGTTAGTTTCGAATATCTGGTTTCCAAAATCCAGACCGAAAAGTGGAATTCAAACCGAATTTTAAACAAGTGTGAGCGCACAATAAGCTCTGGCGAAAAATGCAACGCCGATGGCACATATGAAACACCAGGCATTCGGTCAATTTTCAAAACAAACAGACCATCCTACTGATCGACCTACCGACCGACCCCCAAGTGACATGAAGAAGCTCCTGCCAAAGCTTAAAAATCGCACCCCGCCCACCTTTTGGGGAAATTTCCTCCTTCTGGATACCATCCAACCACTATACAAAATGGCGTCCACCTTTTTCGAGGAAGACGTTGCACAGCGCAAGTGAAAGTCTTGCATGAATACAATCAAAATGATGGCACATATGGAACACCATACTTTTGGTCAATTTTCGGGGACCAACGGACAGACAGACCGACCACCAAGTGGCATGTAGAAGCTCCTGCCAGAGCTAACAAATCTGGATTTTAATCCCGACACTACTTCCAAATAATTCTTAACCTAGAGATGCAGCCGAAGCTGGAGTTGAAGCCGTGGCTAGGAAAAACCCAACACAACGCTGTAGCCTTCTTTCAACCTACCTTCCTCATCCAGGCACCTGTCCCCCGTGTAGTGTGGCTTGCATGTACAGCGTGGATAGCCAGCTGTTACCTGATGACACTCCCCACCGTTAGCACACCAATTATCTGGGCACAACCCTGCAATCATTGGTAGAGAGTGAAAAAGCTTACTTTACATATGGATTGTTGAGCAAAAGGCATAAAATGATGATACTCTTCAGCAATAGTTACTGAAGTCTTTGCAATCACATTCTTTCGTAAAAAAAAAAATTTGACGACCAGCCGCAAGAACATGAGTATCTGTAATACTAAAGCACGGTTTACAGTCGGTCGTGCCATGGTTGCTCGACTGAAAACTGACGCACGATCATTTCAAACGCAGTTGATAGTCGTCGCTGAAGCCGCAGCGACTAGTCACTGAAGGACGCTTCAGATTCAGTCATCAGCCCACCAAATAACAACATACCTGGAAGTTGCCTAACAAAACGTTTCTCGTCCCCACCGCCTTAACTTAAGGATGAACGGACATTTTGTTTGATAATCTCAGTGTCATATTATTTGCATATATTCATTATTCCGTATGGAGCAAGCAAGAATATACAGCATTCACTAAGCTAAAACTTCATCAGGTTAGTTGTCTTTAGATTTTGAGCACTTTTGTTGCTTTGAACGAAACAAATGCACAAATGGCATGTGATGTACTCTACCTTTATAATAAGATACAAAGGGGTCTGTGCACATGTAGAACAAACGAAATTGTGCACAAGTTGTTTCATACACATGTGAAGCAGTGCGTACGCACATTACGTCCCTCGCACGCAGCTCTGTCGATGTTTATCAAGCATCATCTGCTGTTTATTAACAGAATCCATCGGCCCAGCACGAGGCTCTTACTTACCCAGACATGGTTTCTCATCAGAGTTGTCTCCACAATGGTCCACACCGTCACACTCAAAGTAGCTGGAGATGCAACGGTTATTGGCGCATAAGAAGTCCGAGCACATGTCACTGTTATCTGCTATATAGTCAAAGGAAGAGACAAGATCAGGTGAAACGGCAATTCCTTGATGAGTTTGGAGCATGTCAGAGAATTCATGTACTTTGAATTAGCACCTAAAAAAGAACCGGACTATATATATTTGCTCTGATTTTCCACAATCTTTATGCATTTCCCTTTAAATATAGTCTCCTGTGGGAACTTGAATTGGGCCCTGCTTCTGGCCAAGACTTAAAAGTTGGGTTCCCCATGCTATTTATATATTTTAACTTGTACAAAAGATGGGCGGACAAATTGTAACGTGAGTTACCGTAACCTGAGTTACCAAAAGATAACCCTCTGGGGATTTCATGATTGAAATGGAAGCATATGACATGTATGACTATACACACCAATGCTGTCAAAGCCCTCTGCCTAACAAAAATACGTGTCCGAAACCTGGGCTGCGTTGCAGTTGCACATATACAATTGTACATGAATACACTTCATACCCAATTTCCGGACACCAACTCCTGTTTTAATTTTAATCCAAAGGAAATTTTACAATGAAAATTATGGTCAGTGTTTTCATAAATCAAACAGCCTGAACTACAGTTAGCATAGTGGAGTCAAAAAAAAAGTTTAATTCTTACTTGAGAAAGTCGAGGAAGAAGTCTGAAAGACAAGGGCACCGTTCATGACACCACTTCAATCATGTCCATGATTCAGCCACACAACTCCACTACTCCACTACCCATTTGTATTTGAATCGTACGTGGGAAGAAATTGGGCATTATCGTCTTTTTCTTCCAACAAATGCCAGTGAAATGTATCACTAATGCTATCTTTCCCATCATCAAGATAATCTTCAGGATTTTAGAGCACTGCATTTTTTACAACTAAATCTGAAACATCCGAAAATCGCACATGTTCAATTCTATAATATTGCCTATAAGAATGCAATAATTGTTATATTTACCAGCGTCCAAATAGAATGTAAAGACTCCAGCTACTGTGATATTCTGGCCCAGTAGTTGGCCGGTGTGACAGCGTACATATAGCCCATTGCTGGTGGATGTGAGCTGTATGGCAGGGAAGTGGTAGCTACGATGGAGGGAGGCAACCTTGGCAGATGAGGACGTGATGCCGTCATGGATGTCTAGAGTGATGTCTACGTTCTCTGAGGTTAAAAGAAAAGAACAGAATGGTAGTTATGTAATACGCCCAATTTACAGGGTGAATAAAAAAAATGGGAAACCCAACTGGTGCCTCTATTTTTAAAAGAAGTTCTGTACGTAGCGCTTTCCAGATCTTAGATATGAAAACCCAATTAATAAGCTTTCTTTTGATGAAAGAATCATTCAAATTGCTCCTGTACTTTTCCAGTTATAGAATTTTGAACACAAAAACTGTTTTATAACCTTGTCCACAGACCACAAAAAAGGTAAGTGATGTTTCAGAAAAATGAAAAGTATTCACATACATGTATCTAAAAACACATCAGAACACTCTCATTACCATGATAACTGGCACTTACCATAACATTTATTTAAAAGCCTGCTGCTTCCAATGTTAAAATAACATGCTTTATAATGTCAAGAAGTTATAGTTTTGCCCTGCCTTCTACTTGGCTACCCGGAGACTTATGGGATTATTCTGATATCATTTTCAGGATACGACACGGTTCTATTTTAACTGAAGTACCTTTAATATCATCCGTGGACAAGGTTAAAAAAACACGGTGTTTGTATTCAAAATTTTACAACTGGAAAAGTACCTCCTTTGCATTATTGCATTTTTTATAACTCACCCTGTAGCTTGGGTCTTAGGATCAATCTTAGAAGGATCTAGGATCAATCTTAGAATGTCAACTTGTCTTTAAGTCCTAAGATGCATCGTAAGATAAGACAAGTTGTGTGAAACCAGTCCCTGGACACAGCATAGTTTTCACAGTAGAATTCCTCTTTAAATACATTACTGCGACATGATCTGACGTACTTGATATGTAGATGGGATCCAGAGATAAGTAGACATGTTTCTTCGTTGGAGCTACAAAGAGCCACAAGATGTCATGGGTGTCTGCCCGCCACAGAGTGGTAGAGAATTGGCTGATATGATCCTCAAAGAAGGTAATGGTGTCCACTGGAGAAAACAAATCAAACAACAAATTAAATCGTTAGCACTTGTTTTACACTGTAGTACATAGTATTAATAAAAACCTTGACGTGGGTGTGTATTAACATGTGATATAAAGACCGGCTTCAAGAACAAGCAAATAAATGGCCCCTGAACCAGCATTGATCCAGCATCATGTAAGCCGATGACTGGCCAAATACACAACAATCCTATTGTAGCTTGTAACACACATGTACGCACGCGTATGCGACACAGGTATCCAGTGAATAATTATTCAGTCTACTTCTCAAGTGACTAGTCATGTGAGATAGCTAACCAGTATAATTCACAAGTGACTAGACTCCCCATGTGAGATAGGTAACCAGTATAATTCACAAGTGACTAGTCATGTGAGATAGGTAACCAGTATAATTCACAAGTGACTAGTCATGTGAGATAGGTAACCAGTATAATTCACAAGTGACTAGTCATGTGAGATAGGTAACCAGTATAATTCACAAGTGACTAGTCATGTGAGATAGGTAACCAGTATAATTCACAAGTGACTAGTCATGTGAGATAGGTAACCAGTATAATTCACAAGTGACTAGTCATGTGAGATAGGTAACCAGTATAATTCACAAGTGACTAGTCATGTGAGATAGGTAACCAGTATAATTCACAAGTGACTAGTCATGTGAGATAGGTAACCAGTATAATTCACAAGTGACTAGTCATGTGAGATAGGTAACCAGTATAATTCACAAGTGACTAGTCATGTGAGATAGGTAACCAGTATAATTCACAAGTGACTAGTCATGTGAGATAGGTAACCAGTATAATTCACAAGTGACTAGTCATGTGAGATAGGTAACCAGTATAATTCACAAGTGACAGTCATTCAGTAAGTCAGTCAGTCGGTCGGTCAGTCGGGGAGTCAGTCGGGGAGGGGGGGAGGGAGTCAGTCAGTCAGTCAGTCAGGTACAATTGTAGTCTAGGGGCTAGATGTTGTTATGGTTTGATATGCAAAAATCCGCCGCCGCGATAACCCACCGCCACGAGACGGCGCTATCACAAAAACCAATATCGCCCACAGACTTGTCAGGATCAACGACTAGGGAATCTGCTGAAATCTCCCCCCGAAAAAATGGGGGAAACTAGTGCGCATGCGCGACTTCTGCAGGCAGTTACAGTCCATTTTCAGTCCTACACATACTACACATAACAAAAGAGCTGAGCAGTGAAGTTGCACAAAGGTCTTTTATTGCACTGGAAGAAATTTGACAGAGTGCTTCGGAACTACTATAATTTTTCTGAATTGCGCGCTGCATATATTAGGCCAAACAGGTGCGCGCATTACACAACCAATACGAGATTCCCAAGAGGTTGTTCAAACCATAACAACATCTAGCCTCTAGACTAGTACAATTGAGAACACTAGGCCATTACCTCTGGGCTTGATAACAGGTTCGTTAGCTGACAGGAAGCGATAGTGAGCTCGGAAGACTGGGAACTGATAGGAGATACTCTGCAAGTGCTTGAAGTCAATACGTAAGGAATTGCCTGAGGATACAATCGCCCTTGGCCTCTTATTTGAAGCGAAGCACTGGTCCAGCGTAGGAGTAGGGGACTGGCCATCGTAAACCTGAGTGTCAATCAAGTGAATCAAAGTAACTGAACAACATTTTTCTAAGAATTGCGTGAAATGGCTTGTGTATAAATTAGTTGTATACAGGCAGGGCAAATAGGATCATTTGCAATTATCCCAAAAGTAACTTATCAAATTATTATCCAAAACCTTACTTGGATTCAAGATCGTGCTGGTACTAAAAACCTGTGAAAAAACATGTCATTTAGAAGAAAATACAGAGAAATAAAGATACATAGTGTTTAATGATCAAAAGGTTGTGCATGCCTTTTTCACTGTTTTCTCAGTAAGTGTAATAGCCACCGAGCTGGAACTTTAATAGGTTAGGTGTTGAACATTCTTCATTGGATTTTGAGTGGTATTATTATTGAAAGTGATCAACCGTCCTGCTATTTAAGAGGTCACAAACGGTCAAAATCCATCCCCCCCCCCCCCATTTTGGTGGATTTGGGGGGACTTGGTCCTACAGGCCTGGTTTGACTAAATGATGGAGTATGATGCATAGAGGCCTAGAGGCCTGAAGCCAAACATGAGTTGGAAGCAGTGTGATTGATGGATTTGGGCGGATGTGGTCCAGGACTTAGTAAAAGACAGAAGTTAGGGTCAAAGCACGCCATATATGTATGTACACTCAAGTTAAAAGTAAAGTCTGTGCATGAGTGCATACAATTATGCTTCTACATGTATTAAACCATTGCTATGATGTCACACTATTGTTAAAAGTGTGGATTCGGAACTACGAATCTGTTACACTGGTCACAAAGTGTGGATTCGGAACGACAAATCTTAAGTAATGTGTGGATTCGGAATTACGAATCCACACTTTGAACATGTTGGACATTTGTTCTCCACAGTGAGCATTAATAGGACCGTCTGCATGAAAACTGTCCTTCCGAAAATAACAAATGCATCTTCAGTGTCAGATTCTCCACCGTGACTGCGGACTCAGAAAGAAATCGTAGATTTTGGCAAACTATCCTTGTTGGCGGAAGTAGCCTACACACAAAATGACTCAGTTGTACAGATGTGGCGATACACATGCTAAACACACAACAATGCTTGATTTATAAGAGCTTCGAAAATTCCCTTGAAAATTACCCTAATGGCACGACTCAACACGCACGAGATATGCAAGTCTTCATCCCCACTCGCTGGACTCTTTATGACAATACATGTACTCCTTTTGACGCAATGGTGCAAGTCAAAGAATACACGAGAAAGTGTGGATTCTTAAATTACGAATCCACACTTTCTCGTGTATTCTTCTTAACAGAGTCCCGCTTGTGAGCCCACTACCCCGCGCCCCGTGCGACAGTGCCACAAATGCTCATTAAACACATGCTAGCCGACTATCACATGTGTTCACCTTGTGATCGTCAACTGCGCATGCATATTCCCGCTGTGCGTGAATCCTCACATGTGTGCTTGTACATAGCAAAACTAGCGGCTGGCACGTGACGGCAAATTGACCAGTTAGAGTTTGGCCCTCGTTCATGAATATGCATGAGATATGGTAATAGGGATTTGGGTGGGGCCGGCCAACGACTACTGACCTCTATGCTGTTTCTACTGTAGATCCTCAAGCAAGAGAACGTGGTCCTGCTACCAAACATGAAGAAATCGTCAAAGATGAGCTGGATTTTGCCGGCGTCGTCCAGATTGGTGATGGTGTAACTGCAGATGTAAGGCACGATTGTATCGGTGTAGTTGGCCGGTGTAAAGGATGGGCCTGAGATACTCCTCAGCTGAATACTGGGCCAACCGGTGTACTGCTCTTGTGCACACTCTGCCAAAAAGAATACATTTATAATACAGGCATATTTTTATAAGAAAAACAACAGTGGTTTGAAACCGCCCTTCATATACAATACCTGAGACACTTTACCCCCATTCTTATTCGAGAGCCCGTAGCGTGCGTGGTTTAAACCACCGGTAAAACACTGGTCAGTAATATTTTAAAACACATGCGAGCACTCACATACTGCGCCCATGTGGTGTTGCACGCACCACCGGCTTGAGAGCCACTGATATGATCTCCTTATAAGGAGAGGTGTCTACACGCGCGCGCCGCATGCACCATAGACAATTTCCGGACATGGTGTAAAATGGTACAACAAAACTCGACGGAAGTTTTTCAACTTGTTGACTTACATAATTTTTAACCAAAAAGGTATGAATGGCGCTAATAGTGTGATAAAACAGTTCCAAACGTGATGTTCAAAGCTGGTTAGGAGCCTGGTCACCCACTTGCCGGAATTTTAAACACAACCACCGTTTTAAAGTTCTGTCCACGGATCACAAAAAGGTAAGTGTTCTTTCAGCAAAATGAAAACAAATCACATAGAAATGTGTGTGAATTGTTATTGTTTTGCTGAAAGAACGCACACCTTTTTTTGTGATCCATGGACAGAACTTTAAAACTGAATTCGGGGGCCAATTCAAAACATGACTCGGCAACTTTTGAATTGAAATCGAGATCCTAGAATATTGTTTTCTTGGAGTATACAGCATTCACTGAACTAAAAGTTCATCAGGTTAGTTGTTAAGCACCCGTCTTTAGATTCTGAGCTCTTTTGTTGCTTCAAACGAAAAAAAATGCACAAATGACAATTCGTACACTCTACCTTTCAATATACAAAATTTACTCAAAGAATTTCTTGTCTTCTTGTATACTTACGTGCAGGTCTGTCACAAGTCGGCCCTGTCCATTCTTGCTGGCAAAGACACTCAAAGTCACCTTCTCTGTTGATACACATCCCCATGTTCTTGCATGGAGTGCTGGTACATTCATCCACATCTGAAGAATTCAAAAAGTCATCCGGGGATCAAATGAAATTCCGACGAGACAAGGGGTGCTGTGGTCCAATGGTTGCGGTGTTCGACTTGTGTGCCGTGGTACATGGGTTCGAATCCTGACTGTGGGAACATGGTGTTTGTGCTCTTGAGCAAGGCACATTATTGCTTCGTCCTTCGGATGGAGTGCAAAGCCATAGGTCCCGTGTGTTGTGTAATGCACGTTAAAGAACCCAGTAACACTTATCGCTTAGAGAAGGGGTTTGCCCCGGTGTTTCTGGCAGTGGCTACAATATGTGCCACAGCACCTTGTAAACCCTTATAAGGTGCAACATAATGGGTCTCATATTTCTCATAAACTTTATTTACCTTTCTTTAATACTAGACAATTTCCAGCGCCTGGTTTTAGTGTCATTGTGGGTCATTTTTGACTCGCCCTCTACATGATTTGATATTAAAGAATAATGGATAGAATTGTACCTAATTCACAGTTTCTGCCTGTCCACTCTGGAGGGCACGTGCAACTGTAGCCTCTCAGCGCTTCAACACACTTACTGCCATGCAGGCAGGGGTAACTTGCACACAGCAAATCTGCATGGAAATGGTGAACAACAAGACATTTCATTACAAAATAGGAAATTAGTTGATAGCACGGCTATGATTACATGTCCTGCTGTCATGAGTGAGACATGACGTAAAGTACCATTTGCGGTGTTAGGGCTGCAAGTACTGTGTTATTTGGTTACCCTAACAATCCCCATCCAGCCAAACTCAACACCATGGTTTGTTGGAATCCGTTGGAGTGAGTACTGCACTAGTAAATAGATTATGCTTTACATAGGGTTAGGCACGCCACCAATCAGAGTCCAACATTTTTTGTGTACAGTTTACCATACGGTGTTGGAATTTGCAGGAGTGAGGAAAGGTTCCTAGTAAATAACTCAAGGGGGTTACGGTTAGTCAATCGAAGTGTCATTTATTTGGTTGCAATTATTGTCGATTATTTTGTGAAAATAAAGGCTTCTTTTGAGAAGGCGTAAGAAAACTGCCAAAAAGGTAGCCCTAGACAATATGGCGATAAAATATCACCACGAATACGATGTGATGTATTTGGTGAAAATTCAAATACTTATTTTTAAACCACTTTTTTTTTACTGGTATTTTTCCCCAAACGATACCCTTTTCGGCAGAATAATTTCACTGGGTATTTGGTACCAGCCCTATCTTTACCGTGAACCAGGTTTTTCTCACTGAATTGATAAGTTCGTTTTTCAGGTAATCCCCATTGTTCCTATGTGGCTTTAATTTTGACCTCAAGTTAAGCTGGCGAAATAACTTTGTTCTTTCAATTCTGCAGTACAGTTTGTTTAGTCATTTTGGTAAAACATCCACTTTGACAGTTTTCTTCCGAATTTTTCTGTTTGAAACAAGATACAACATTTTCTTGAATGGAAATGACATGTACAGCATATTTGAAACAGGAATTTGTGGCACTACATTTTTCCTTAACCTTCCAAGTTTTCTTCGTTCTACAATCCCTTCAAGTTCTGCACCCACACTTCAAATTCCTTTGAGGTAGTCTTCTGTGAAGTGTGTGGATAAGCTCAGGGCAGGCAGCCAGATTCGGTCACATTTCACTGCTCTCCACGGTGCTGGTTTTTGTGTGTGCAGTGACTCTCTGTGTGACACAGTTACTGTAACACTTCATATCCCTTCACCTGAAACTGAGCTGCAGGGTTTTACATATTGCTCTGAATATTTCTGTTTTCTGCACTCATGTATGGCTGGACCTTTCTTTGCTTAAACCCTCCCTCTCTTGCTGTCAAATCCAACACACCTATCCCAGCAGTCAAAATCAATCAAGTGACTGTTTTTACAAGTTAGCCTTCCCAGCCTACATAAAGCAGGATTGACTGGCTGTGACTGTTTTAATATGTAACTTGATACAGCTTTGCCTTGACAGTAGGTGATTGATAAGCCAGCTGTACCTACCAGTTACGTGGTTTTATCTGTTGATGGAATTTGACTAGTCACAGTACTTGCTAAAAATATGATCTGACTGTTGGTGACTAGCCCGAGTATAAAGGCAAGGCAGGGGAAGAAGATTTTTTTTTTTTACTGTCTGTGATGGTTCAGAAAGAACAAGGGTTAATGTATACCTTTATCCTCTGATATCACCCTCCTCAGCATGACAAGCAGGATGATAAGCAGATGGGCATCCATGGTAGTACCAAACCGTCTTACGGTAAGGGGGGAACTGTGGCCAAAAATCTGCCACTAAGTCATTCCTGCCTTTCCGAATGACACCGCACAGCTCAATCACTGCAGTGCGCAGATCTTAGAACTGAAGAAAAACAACCAAAAGAGAACATCCCATAAAGAATGATTTTTTTAAATAAATTTATCCCCAAATCTCAAAAACATGAAATTCAAAATAAAATGAAAGTTGTTACATGTAGATGCAGAGGCAGATGATGGGGTTCTTTTCTAACTTGTCCCCCTAACTTGGTACTTGGTACTAAACCCCATTTTCACATCTCTAACCCCTACAAATTAGTATGGTTGATAGTCTGGTTCCAAAAGCCAAACATTCAGATGCTATATTTTCAGGTCCGGGAACCAGACGGTAAACTGCCGTAACAATACCCACTGCGAATAGACCTACATGTACCGGTATGCGTTGCAGCCAACTTAAAGGGCATCTTTTGTTATTTCAATTCAGCCACAATTAATGCCCAAAAGGTTCACTCATGCAAATCCCAGCAAACAAAAAGGCATTTCCCTTTAAGTCTAAGGTGACTGTTTGCTCTGTATTAAGTCTCAGGCCTCAGGTCGACCCACGATTTGCTTGCGCCATGACGGAACCGACGCCATCAAGCAGAAAAGTAATGCTCAGGTCACAAACTTAGAAATTGTGTGATGGTCTGAAACACGTCGCAGAAGTTGAAATTGTTCTACTCTTGCAACTGCGCTGAAGCACACACCCGACGACTGTTTGTCGGCCAACTTCGGCTGCCGTTCTACCTCCGCCGTGATGCGAGTGAGGCCTCATATATAGTTAGTGCAGCAGTAGAGCATCAAACAGTCGTCGAGTGCGCGCTTCAGCGCCATGCCGCGCCGTGCCGTGCAGTTGGCAAGTTTGACTGGTGGTTCGCTGTGTGTGCATGGTAATCGACAGCGCATTGCATTTTGTTTGTGCACACATCTAGCTCCGGGCATCATCCTGACCGCACAGTTGTCGGTTATGCCTCTTTTTTTCACTGCAATTGTAGGCTGAATCTTCATCGTGGATCGTTTTTTTCTTCAAGGACCTGTGTAGTGGTTATGCCAGGCAAGGTTTGAGTGAGTTACGGGGACAATATGGCACATTTTCGAATTCATTTTTTGTACCTGCTAGTCCAAATGAAAACTTTCATCCAGCCCTAAAATGACAACCCAGTGATAAAATTTAGGGCTGAGGGAATAAACTCCAGCTAGTAGTAGGAGTAATATCATATCAATGAAGGTCATTCATTGCAAAAATAATGACAAGACATGAATCTGGAACTGAGAAACATTCTTAATTTGGAAAAATTCTGCCAACCGGACACCACTTACCTGCCGCCAAACATCCAAATTTTCACCTTACCTTGTGATTTCAACCAAGAGGAATCCAGGAAAGAGTGGACATGCGAAAAAAAATTGGTAAAAACGTGTTTTTGGAGCACATTTTGCATGCACATGTAGTGCAGATCTGAGTTGAAGCAGCCGGTCAAAACTGATTGAAGTGTCTGGAACAGCGGTACGTTATACGCATGACATCGATAACCATGACGTCGCATGAGACGTCGCATGAGCCGGCCAATGATAGTGCAATACGTCATTATGAATATTTATTTTCTCATGAATATTTAGTTTATTTCAATGGTACTTCAAATACGTCCAAAGATTGATCATTGCAACAGCGATCGTGCGCGGCCTAGCGGTTAAGAGACTCGTGTATCAATCAAGCGTCTGAGGTTCGAATCTCGATGAAGTGAGTGACTGATTGATAAATAGAAATTAAGGAAAGGAGGGGGTGAGAGTAGAGGAGGGAAAGTGGAGGGAATAACCATACATTGTAAAAGAGGTAACTTTTGGCGCTAGAAAATTAATTGAAAAAAGTGGTGTCCGGTTGGCAGAATTTTTCCATAAAAGTACACCCTTGACTCTAATTTGATCGAAACTAAACAGGGGCCAACAGTTGATTGCCCGGTTCCGCAAATTGCCATTGTATTGCTAAGCATGAAAATAAACATAAGAATAACCAAATCTTTTATTTAACGCAAATATAATGAATGTATACTTCTCTAAGATAATGTTCATAACAAAGTTGAAGAAAGTCATTGATAACTTACGTATATTTACTTGAAATTGTAGCCCATCTAGTGATGATCTATTTGTAAACACTCGGAGTTCTAATGTGATAATAATGTACCAACCGTATGCGTTATGAATATCTTAAACAGCGCCGCCAACGCCAACAAATCCGATAAAGTGGAGTACGAGCCTCACGTTTACGAATTCTTGGCTTTGTTTCTGTCTAGGTTCGGATTCCAATTAATGATGATTCGGGTCCCCTGCCTTAACAGACTCCACTGAAATATTGATCCATTTTCTGATATAGATACATCAAATTCGATTACACAGGGCCAAAGATTGGTGTATTTTAATTGAGTTGTGACCTGGTAGGAAGGTTCGACTGGTGATGATGACGAATCGGAACAATCATGGAGGAATGGAACAATGTACATAATTAAGCCGGAGTTTCGCGCGAGTCACGCGGTCTGCCCAACAGACGACTGTTCCGTGCACCCAACGTTTCTAATTGTGCCTGACCGGGGAGGGGGCGGGGGGGGGGGGGGCTGGAACATTTCAGGGGGGGGGGGCGTCATATAGATCAATGATAATTTTTTAGAAATTTCAAAATCTCAATGGGGGGGGGGGCGACTGGGGGGCGACAAGGTTTTATGGGGGGGTTGCCCCCCCCCCCCCCCCCCGTGGCTACGCCACTGTACAACAGGTGTTCCACATTGCACCCCAAGGTCTTCACGTCACTGTTTTCCAAGCCAATACACCCACAGCATACCAAGACGGTGATTTCTCCCTTGTACAACGCACAACTGATTCAGCACTATGCGCTGGCCAGTCTTCATCTACGATTTTCTGTCTCCTGTCTCCTATACCTCTGTAATTACACAAGACCCGGTAAAATTGAATTCTTGAGAATAAAATAGTTTCTCCATAAAGCTGAGCTCATACCAGTGTGTCTTTGTATTCTTCGTGTTCATCGTTCATCTACAGCTACAGTGTCATACCATATAAGTACATGTACAATAGTCAAACATCCCAAATACAAAGACTATGGTTATACACTGGTAGCAGCGAGTGTTTACCCGCACATGCCGTTGAAGCATAGCTCCATGGTTGAAGTGACACCTCTTCTAGTTCTACATCTCATCTGTAACTGACTTTGTCGCCTGTTCCAGCTGTTCCTGCTCCTATTTCTACCTGTTCCTGCTTCACTGCCTGTTCCAAGTCGTCGTCCTGCCTGTTCCAGTTGCTGTTTAATGCTGTTTTAACGGCTCAACAAAGTCCCCATTTCCGCACTTCATGAGCCGTCTCCCAGAGACTGATCGATCGAATGCCTCACCGTACCAAGTTCCTGCTGCCGTTCCTGTCGTTCCTGTTATCTTCCATTCATCTCTCCGTGTCTCGACCTCCTGTGTCTTCTTTTCTGAACTGTTCCTGTCTTTGAACTGTTCCTGTTTTTCAACAAGCTGTTCCTGTTCCCGACCTGTACCTGTTCACTTTTCGTCGTCTGCCAGCTGTGTGTCCAGCCAGTTCATCCAGTCCTGCCCGTGCCAATCGTCCCTCCCGACAGTCCATCACGGACGGAACCAAGCTGATGGTGGCGAGCTGAAAGACTCCTTACAAGTTATTTTGTTTTTCGCAGTATTCTTGTACCGTTTTTTTTTACCATTTTACTTTTTGTGTTTTTCTTTCATTACTTGTATTTCATCATATGTTATGCACATTACTTCTAGTTATCCAAATATCATTGACATTGATTATTGTAATAGCCTATAGTTCCGTTTTGGTTCAGTATTTATATTTGTATTATCTTTGCATTGTATTTTTCTTATACTGCACCAATTGCCCCAGCCAGGCTCCCCCTCCCACTAGTAGTAGTTCCACCTTCCCGTTACGCTATTTTAAGACCGAACTCCCTGCTCCATTTTCTGGAAATGGCACCGCAGATTTCACTCTTTGGTGTCCCCGGCTCGAGGTAGCCATGAAGGTCCCAATTGATGCGATACAAACAAGCCCATATTCTCCTCCCGCCCAAATTCCATGTAGCCTACTTGTGTGTTAATTTCCACAATATTCGTTACCATGTAATAATGTGTTTTTTAGTGAACTTTCATTTATGATATAATGCCCAATTAACCAAACTATTCACTTATAATTATCCGTTTTAACTGATGTTTTCGTCGTGTTAAGATCAACTTGTACTTTCTTGAATATTCTGTATTGTTTTTCATATAGTTTTGAATAGTGTATTGACAATTTGTGTGCATTCGTAACTTCTTGCACACGCATTTGGAAAAACAAAAATTAGTTGTAGTATATTATTGTTTAATTCAACACTTTATAATGTACCTGTGATTAACTTAATTAAAATGTAATTAAATTAAGTACAAAAATGACGGTCATTTTTGTACTTTGAAAATAAGGACATTTTCTTCCCCAAGAGGAAAGTACATTGTACATGTAATAAGTCCCTGAACACCCATACTACCACTCTCACAACAGGTGTTCCACATTACGACCCAAGGTCTTCACGTCACTCTTTTCCAAGCGAAACACTCCCAGCATACAAAGAGTGTGATTTCACCTTTGTACAGGGGGAAAATGACCTCATAAGGTATACTCACTGACCATTACGTCAGTCCATGGTCAGTTTACCTTTACTCAGAAATGATGTCATGTATTTTATGTTTTCCTTATATGACATCATACCCTTTTTTTACCTAAAGTTGCCCCTCAGAAACTGTATAAAATGTCCACATTTTCCCACTTCATTTTTTTCATTGAGTTCTCCTTATTCTTCTCCCAGGGAAACCAGAGGCATAAGAATAAAAATAGTTTCTCCATAAAGCTGAGCTCATTACCAGTGTGTCTTTGTGTAACCGGTGAAATATTTTAACTTTTTAATCATATATGTTTAGCACCTTTGCTTTTCCAATCTCTTTTGAAAGTTTTATTAATATTTTATATCCCAATAGTCGGTATAGTGCACGCATTTTCCAAGTATTGAAATTATTATTATCTTCATTGTTTTATGTACATGTTATATTTTTGTTCATGGTCCAGACTGGAGACTTTGTTTCTAGCTCATTATTATTCATTAGATAGACTCTAGCTAGTATTTTGTGTGATTTTGGCAACTTTTGAGGGGAATGGTCTGGAAAAAATGACATTTATTTGACACTCTCCGAAATGACGATCTATGCGTTGTGGGGCGCTAGTGCGACAGACCACATCCCAAATGTCAAAAAAAAAAGGAGTTCTAGCGCCCCCGTTAGTTAGTCTAGCGCAGGCCTACATGTATAATGATAAATAAATTCTTACATAATCCCTTCAAAATACACTTTTCATCCTCTTATCTATTCATTATAACCCTCTATGGATCCTCATTTCCTACCCCTACAATGGAAATGCACGCCTCAGTGCTAAATGCCCATACATGTACTTCAATTAAAAAAAAACACACACTCAGAACTCAGCTATTTCAGCTGCACAGAAATATGACGATAAACAAGTTTCGTTCATTTTCTTTTAATTTTTTGGTGGGTTGATCATTGACTTCTCGAGAAATTCTCACCCAAAGACGACGACCCCTATCTTTCCCAATGCGGAAATGTCATCTTGAAAAACAATCCCTCCATAGCATGGCAAAATAGCGGCTCTTTCAAGCCCAATTGCATCCAAAATGCTCAGAATTGGAAGCGCGAAGTCCTATCTCTTCAATTCCCCAATTGTATGGCTCTCGGAACTCTCTTATGTAGAATATTTTGAGGGTATAACTTTCATACCTTCCTCATTGATTCATGAGCTCGGCGGGTGGGTTTATGCCTACATGTCGTACTTAGGTACAGGTGGGACCCATAGAACATGTACAAAAAGGGGGCGGGGCGAACACTACCTATACCCACCCGATGCACTACTATCGTTCAAAGTTTGACGTTCATGCTGTGAACTGTTGAGAAGAAAACTCGCAGAGAATTATTGTACAAAAAAACAAGATGGAAACCAACTCAGAAGAAATCACACAAAACAAAAGAGTGATGGGGATCAACCCCACCACCCAACAGGGTTTTTAAATTCTTGTTTTGTACACATTTTATTTACAGGCTCTAGGTTACGTCAACTGCAGCATTATGCAGTTTGGGCACTAGTAAATGTAAAATGGAATCATTAAGAACACGAAATACTACAGCATAGGATTCAATAAGTAGATTCGTCAGGACAGTAAATATTCAAGTTAAATAAAAATCGGTCTGTATTAAATCAAAAACAACTCCTCCAAAGGAATCACTGTACTAAAAACAAAATTGATAACCTGTGGATATATCAATTAAATACATCATGAATGTAGTATGTATTTCTAGTGTTTCTTCGTTCTGAACATTTTCTTTCAATCAGAGAAATTCTACAGAGATAAAATCTTCAAAAGTTTATGAGAGATTGAACAGAGAGTAATACATGTAGACTGTACTGACCATACGGTTTACTGTATAATGGGCTCATGCAATGGGTGAATTTGGGTAATGCAAACTTCTTGATTTGTTAGTATCATGGACACAGTGGCCGGTTTTCTTTAATAATATCTGATTTTGTGACTTGCCAAACCTCATGAAAGCAACCCAGGGTGTATCACCACATTTTAGGTAAGATGAGAATGAAATTAATGAACACCAGGACAAACTGTGGAATAATAACCCTCTATTAACCCTTACCCTACTTGACCCTCCAATGCATGCCAATATGTGCCTCAAGAAAATCTCCTATGTTTTTTGCATGGCCCTCCAATATCTGCCATGTCATTTCAAGGGTAACTGGACAGGCACTCCAATACATGCCACAGAGAACAATGAGAGTCCTCTGATAACAAAGTGAGTGCCCCCAGCTGGTCAGTATCAGGCACCCTCCAGGGCCTCCAACTCCTGCCAATTGGAGCCTTCACTGTTAAGACTTGTTATCTGCCAAAAAACTGCAGCTGGAGGGCATTGGCATAACCAACTGACATGCAGTAAACTACCCTCAGAGAGTAAGGGTTAAAACAATTATCCCATGCTGAACCCTTTTTTTTTGATGGGCCATTTCTGCGACGTTTTTTTTTTGGGTGCAGTATGTCAATGATAAACACTCAATTTTCAAAAAAAATGGAGAAACACTCTGTATTTACCTCAAAAAAAATTTGGAAGAAATTCATCAGGCTTGGGAAAATTATGAACAAAAACCTCACACCATCATATGCGGAGAAAAAAATCAATAGAATTTACTCTTTTATAACACACACACACAAAAAGGATTGATTTTTGTGGCCATTACTCATTTTTGAACAAAATAAATGAACATTGTAAACATTTTGATAAAAAAATGGCTGGGATTAAATACATTAATCAACAGAAGTTTGAAGTTTTGTTCATTGTCAAAGGTGTGGAGACAGTACCACACGGTCCTATTTGACTTTTAAGTGAACTTGAGACTTTTTCTTTCTTTGATCATTTTCCCCCTTGAGTGGAAAGGTTCTCTGCAAGTCACCGCAAACAGATCAAAGTTTAACTCCTGGTCTTAAAACAAAATATGTATACCAGAGTAACTTGTGGGTCTTTGCGTGAGAGGGATGTTACTTGTTAGTCATGTCAGCAATATTTACAAGATTGATATCCTGGCTTCAAGTTAATGGCATCTAGGTTTGTTATTGAGTCAGTAAAATTGTCTTTACACTGCTTGTAAGCACCAGAACCAACTTGGGATTTTGTTACTTCGTACTAGTCCTGAGTGCATGTACATAATATGCACAACACTGATCACACACAAGCTTCAGTTAACCGTACTTGTTCTCTTTTGAGTCCTAATCACCTGATGGAACAGAACAGGATAGTTTCCATGATCATTTTTTCCTCAAAAATTCGAAAGTAGTATTTTTTTTTAACCGAATGACTTGATCCCTCCAAACTCCTAGCATTTCCTCACTTACGACTATAGACCTTTATCATGCTGCCACCATTTCAGTCATGTTCCCTGTATCCAATATACTGAATGATATTTTTTTGCGTGCACAAATGAAACCAGACTATTTTTCCTTCCAGCCTCACTTTGGTTACGTTGATTTGAATGGGATAAAATCAAGATGGCCGCATCATGATAATGGTCTATTGGATCTGGTGCCAACAAGCAGTGATTATACAATGTACTATCAAATCAAAAGAGTCATTAAAATTCAAAAACTGGACTAAACGCAACACAGATTCCAAAAACACTGGATCAACCTACAGTACTGATTATCAAATGGACCTCTGATTATACAAACTTGGTTTCAAACTGTACAACATTCAATGCCAAAAAATTTCCAAAACTACACAAGAAATATATTTTTTGTATGTATATCACAAATTAAAAAGAGTATTTCACTCGGGTACAAAAGTAAAGCAAAACAAGACAAAATTGTATTCACAGACAAATTATTTATAAACAAAATAAAGAACAATGAAATTAAGTTCATAGGAGTCGATCTATGCGCAAGGAATCTATGATACTATTTTACGGATAGCATCTATCAACTACATAGCTTTTTTTTTACAACATACTCAAATGTACAGGCTTCATTACATGACTGGCATTTAAAATGTCATGAGCATGTAAATTGAAATATATTTACATGGGCGTCCCTACCATGTACAAGTGGTTAAGAAGAAATTTTGGTTAAAGAGCAATCCAAAGGGCTAAATTATTATATAAAAAACTGGTTACTGCTCTCGCTAATTCAGTTCTGCCCTTTGTTAATCCATCATTATTTATAATAACAAAAATAGAAACAACCAAGATCTGACCTGAATGCATTTCTCTATTTACATTGCTTCATGATTTACATGAACAACTTTGTAACTATACAGGGTTTTAACACAGGCAATTTTTTTGTCAATCACTTCAAATCTACCAACACCATAAAATGAAGTCCCTAATTAACACAAAAACAAAACTAAGCCAACACAGGACACACATGTGAGCAAGTGCTTTACCTTCTAACTCGGACAGGGTGGGGCTGTATTTCATATATTTCCTCCCAAAGTTAACAATCTGTAACTACATGCATGTGTTTTAACGTCTAGGTATCTTTTCATTTGAAACATAAAACAATGAAATGGAGACATTCTCTGCTATTCTTTAATCTTCTACATTCTGAGACTATAGTCAATTTCTCAAACAACGATCATGGCAAAATGAATCTATAGTTCTCTGAGTTAACGTTTCACAGCTCCCATTATTTTGGTTAGGCAAACTCTCTGATGACCGTTGATTATTTTATCAGGAACACTGTGTCATCTATGGCTATTACTGTAAGGATTATGTAAGCTTGGAAAAAAGAGAAACAGCATTTCATTTGCAGACTATGTTGGTTGACTATCTTTCTTTGAACAGTGAATTTTAAACACGAACTCAATCTATCTTTTTTTGTTGAAGCACAAAAATCTAAAAGCAAAAACAAATTCATTTCCCCCCGCACAGGAAACGTAAAGCAAATTTCAAAAACATCAACGTACTAATGTTAGGTGGAACATAGAGCAAAACATGGGGCACACTCAGAAACAAACAATGAAACTTGACTTTACATGTTAGAAGGTTAGCAAACAAGCTCTTCACTTCAAACATGTATTACATGAAAGAGACAACTTTTTTTATTAACGGTTTAAGCTTTTAAACTCACAAAGTAACCACTCGTCACTTGTAGAAGTTTCCTCTCCTTGGAGAGTAGCTGTTGGCATTTGTGGGGAAGGAAGGTTTGGAAGTCCGGCCATCAGCACCAAATGCACCTTTGGTCCCAACGTTGGGGTTCGATCCAAACTTGCTGCCTGCTTTAGGATACGGTTGCTGCTGTTGCTGCTGAGGTTGCACTGCAACTGCAGCAGGTTGGTAGCCCTGTTTTTGAGCCTGCGGATAGGGATTCTGATATCCTTGCTGCTGCTGCTGCTGCTGGTATTGTCCCTGCTGTGTCAAGGATTGCTGCTGGCCCTGGTAGTATTGTGGAAACTGTTGTTGAGCAGCGTGCGACTTCTGATGATTGTAATCGTACACTGGGTAGGATGTGCTGTAGCCTGACTGGTGTTGGGGCTGTGGGGGTTGCTGCTGCTGTTGCTGTTGTTGCTGCTGCGGATATTGCTGTGCTTGGTATGGCTGCTGGAAAGGTGCGTTCACACCAGCAGGGAGGTAAGGAGACGCTGCTTGAGCATTGAAAGCTTTTCCAAGCTGCTGTAATGACGAATTCAAAATTCATTTTATTTTGACTTGATGTACAAAAGGCATATTAATACAAACATGCACTCGGTATTGTGTAAACAAAAAAGAAATCAGTAGACCAAACTGTCCAGTTTAACACGCCTACCAAATGTACAATTTCTGTTTTCAACCGGATTGAAAAAACTAACAAAACAGGAAGTCAACCGATCCAAGGAATTTGTCAATGCTGAATACTTGCATAAACACAACTGGTTCATGTTTCTAATCAAGGAGGCTTTAGCATTTCCCTGTTCGCTTGTATCTACCACGCTCATCTTGAGAGAAACTTTTCTGAGAGATGACACCACAATACCAGGGATGAGATTGCCCAAAACAAAAAGTTCGGAAAATTGGATAGGAGGTATGAAATATGACACTTTTGTGTTACTTTCTATGCACAGGCTTTAGGCATACAATTTCTCAGGTTCAAAAGGTCTGATTTTGGTCCAGTCTGGGAAAATGGCATGCCTGCATTACGTCTATACACACCTGTGGGTAAATTCCTGCTGAGCCTGGAGTTCTCACAGGTGTGGTATTTGCTGCTGGGTTAGGCATTTTCACAGGGGTGGATTCTCCTGATATATCACCTGAAACAAACAACAACACATGGTGCTAGAGCTGTACATGCAATGATTCCATTTGTAGAAAGTGAAGTCATGTGGCATATCTGCTCAAACATGGAGCCATCCATCACTAACTTCTACATACCAATGCGTGATCATCATTCACTCTCTGTTTATCGTATGGAAAACTTTGTGCACAATATACACTCACTTTTCAAACCCAGCGTTTCAAACATGGTCCTTCAACTATCAACCCTAACCTTGCTCAATCCTCCAAAATCAACCATTTTGGATTTTGGAGGATTGAGGCTGTAAAATGTGTTATCAACCAAAACGTCATGCAATTTATGTTGATTGTAAATGGTTCTCGGCTGATTTTCGTTTAGCAGAAAAATTTTGGCTTACCAGACCGAGTATCCGTCTTGGTCTTGGGAGGTGGCGGTGGAGGTATCTGCAGGCGCAATCCTGGGTTAGGTCTCTTACTTGGAGGAGGGGGAGGCGGGTCAGGGGAGCGAGGCCTCTTGTGGGCCAGTGCCTCCTTGCGTTCTCTCTCTCGATTCTTCTCCTTCAGCTCTTTCCTCATCTTCTGCAGGGGGTCTTCGTCTGAAGTGTCCAGCCTGCTGGAACTCCTGATTTTAATTAAAACCAATTTTTATCAGCCATTTCGTCAATACTCCATCAAAAATTCGCCCTTTATTAAAAGCCGTGGTAAAATAAATTCTCGGGAAGTTTGGTTTCCTGACTACTGAACATGGTGTTAATTTTGAGAATTCCCCTACATTTATCTTACAGCTAGTGTTGTAGTCCAGTTCATTACATGTCCTCAGAAGTTATCCGCTTTAAAGTCAGGCTACAAGTTGTTCGAATGAACTGTGACAGAAACACTCCACTGTTACTTGTGACTGTGACTAGACTTGCGACTGGACTTGTGAATGACTCCACTACACATGAAGGCAAGATATAACATTCATTCCCAGACAATGGGCTCTTATAATGAACACATAAATTTGACAATGGTTTGCTCGTGTTGTACCTAAAATACCATGTTGCAGACCTTTTGCCAAACAAAAATGAGCTACCTGTAATGGTCTGTACTTTGAAGGTGAGAAAAAACAAAGCAAACTTGATTTGTCAACAGCTGACTACCCTCTAGCATTAGACTAAAACAGAGCTGGTGAAATATGGGGAAATAAAAAAAAAGAAATTCCACAGGAACTAAAAGCTAGACACTGACCATTTGGGTTCTTGTGCTGATTCCTCCTCAGGCTTCTTGTGCTTCTTTAAGAGGCTGGTCAGCGATGAGATCACCTGCTGGGCCTCCGTGGTAAGACTCAGACGCTCCCCAATCCCGTTCTCTTTCTCCGTGGTGAACAAGGGCAGATTAGGCAACTGGGCGGTTGGGGTTGAGGCGTCGCTACCGCCGGCCTTGAGTGGGCTCTCCAGTGGTTTGGTCGGGGTGTTAGGGTTGGAGGTGGAGATGGGGCTCGGCAGAGGGGGCTTGAGTGGCACCAGGGGAGGTTTGGGGGCAACTGGAGTACACGGGGCGCTTGCTGGAGACTCCTTCTTGGCAGTTTTGCTATTGCCCAAATCGCTGCCCTTACGTTTCCGGTATTCCAATAACGACACCTGCAAAGTGAATGGTATATCATGTCCTCATCAAACTCAACTATTATAAGAAGTACGTTTTTAATTAACCCCAACCCAGGTTGTTTTTGAGGATTTTGGAGGATTTGTGGCTGTTTGCCATTTTAGTGCTAGTTGATTTTGGAAGATGTATTGTGTCAAGGTCCTAAGCTATACCTTGTGTTGTTTGTGCTCAGCCATGCATAAAGTATGCTTAGATAATTCTAGATATCACCCCTACTGCTTCTATCTGTATCTGCAGGTGTGTGTTGCAGACATTAAAATTTGGCATAAACGCAACGGCAGAGAGATGGTTCCTAGCCAAATAGGGCTTTGGGATAGGGTTAAGGAGAAAGAAGTCGGACGGAACTTGTGTTTAGATTTAATGCCAGTTCCAGAGGATTAACAAAAATTGAGCCATGTGTGAAACAATGACACAAGCAGGAATCTACAAGGAGAGGCCTGCATTCCTGTGTTACTGCATCACATATTTCTTTGCCAAAGCTTTGGCCCTGATCTGTAATAGATGACAACAGACAGGAATTTGACGGCTTTGGTTGTGACTACTCTCGGGATTTAATAAGCCTTTCCACACTCAGCTTTAAAAAGCACTTGGACGTACTTCTTGGAGCTACTGTGGCATTCAGTACACAATGTTTACGTGACCCACAATGACCTGATATTGAACTATCATGACATGACATTATAAAACTGACAGCTGATCAAACTTTATTCAAGAAAATTGATATAGTTTTGTATTGCAATGCGATATACTGACCCTCTTCTTTGCAGCTGGGGGTGTTCCTGGTACTGGTGAAACCAGACCAGCGGGTGGTGTACTTGGACCAAGTGGTATACCGCCAGGCCTCACCACACCCTGCGCCAGTGGTGGCTTGACCGGAGATGGAGGAACCCCAAATGGTGCTGCCTGTCCAGGAGCTAAGGGCCTACCAGGACCCATCTGTCCTGATTCCCCGAGTGGGCCTCTACGGACATCATTGGGTCCTAAGGAAGCTGGTCTGTATCCTGGTCGCGGCTCGTCATAGTTTTCAGGTTTTCGGCTTTCCACCCCTGTAGGTAGGGGAGCTGGTCCAGAAGGCGGTCTTCCAGGACCAGTTTGTTGTCCTGAATTGGGTAACTGACTCCAGGTGGATCCTCTCATTGGTAGGTCAGTGACAGGAGACTCTGAATCAGCTGCATTCGGACCGTCGAGGGGCTGTAAGTAAGTCTGAGAGCCTTCCCTCCTCTCCATCTGGTCCAATGGTGCACTGCCTGCGTCAACATTCATTGGTGGCACTACCGAGTTCAGGTTAGGATTATACTCAGAGGCTGTAGGTTGCATACGATCGACATTACTGCTTCTTTCTGGTGACTGGCCAAGCAAAGGCCTCTTTAAGGGGGATCCAAAGGAAGAATACAAATTTCCTGGCACCTGATCCTCAGCAAAGTTTGGCCTCTGAGGTAACTGACCCTCAGTCTGATCTGCTGAGGTTCCACTGTTTACATTGCACCCCGACAGGTGTCTGATCCTTTGTGTCGGTACATCCCCACTTACATGCATCTGGGTCTGATTCACAGTCTCCCCGGATATCCTCTGAGTACTGTACAAATCCGACTTCATGTCAAGTTTTCTTGCCACTGAGCTTAGCTGTAACTCCGCAGAAGACGCAGAGTGCGACAGGTCCGGCAATGAGGTCCGTGATCGGCCAAGATCTGGCAAGCTCATGCAGGATTTGTGCAGGTCGGGCAGCGAGCTTTGGGTGCTCTGCAAACTTGAAGCCAGGGACCCCTGGGAGGCAGACAGGGAGAAGTCCAAGCGTAAAGGCGCATCCCTACTGGCTGCTGTCGCAATCTCCTCACTGGATCCAGAATGACCATCAGCACCTTGAAATCCACCGGGTACTGCTTTCTCGCTCACTGATGAAACTCTACTTGCGTCAGTTTTCGGGTCATTTAATCCAGACCTATCAGAGTCTTCCCTCCTCTCCTGGGGCACACCTACCAGGACTGCTGCATCAATTTGCCTTTGGGAGTCCAACTCTCCAGAGTTTTCACTCATGGTTTGACGCATATGCAGTTCATCTTTGACGGGTGTACCTTCATCCTTAACGGGAGCTGTGCTGGCTTCGTGCTGCTCCCCGGGCAATAGGGAGATGGGAGACCGATCAAAGTCAGCCGGTGTGGTCACTGACAAGCCACTGTCAACAGAGGAACTTTTGCGGAAGTCCTGAAATGGTAAGATCAAACAAGAGGTGTGTAAGTTTCCCAGACAATAATTGAAATGCAATGTATTGTTACGAATATCATCAAATGATTGCAGAAACCAAAGTTTTATAACATAGCCATCTTATCTTTGAGCTAAAATTACATTAAGCGGAAGGAACTAAGTATCAGAGATTTTCATGCCAACAAACAGTATTTTGGTTGTTAAGTAACATGTGCTGATGTTTCATTGGTTTTAAGGCAAAGACTAAATTAGCTGTGCATCATTAATTTGGAAAGTCTACATCAAGCGGAAATGCTCTGCTTAAAAAAAAACTACTACATTTTACTCAACTGAGTTTCTGAAAACTCTAAATCCAAAAAAAGTTCATCTCGAATTTTGAATTAAAGAGATCACAGCTCATTTACAGTTGAATAGCTTTATATCTATTAACCCCTTGCCGCCGGGTTTTTACGACTCACTGCACAGGCTTACAAGCATCACTGCACAGTAACCTCTGCGCAGTAGCCGGCAGTAGCGGCACTACACAGTAGCAGCTGCTGACATATGGCATTAACACTGCATACCAAGACATTCTGGGCAGCGGCTATAGCCGTCAGCCGGCGTGAGGGGGTTAACAGGTATTACTTAGCTAGGAAAAAAACTGATGTTAAATATTAGTATCAATGAGCCAAAAAGACAGAGAAATAATAGTTATTGATTTTCATGTTCATTACATACTTAATACAGTCAGTAATATATAAATGAACCACATGGCCGATGGTCACAGATATGTGATGTTATGAGATTGCAGTGTTTTTGGGCAGTTAAGGGCTCTGAAGCTAAAAAAAAAAAAGGGTTAGCAAAATCCCTATAACAGAGCGCAAGTTCTTCCTTTCAATGTCAACATGTGCAGTGCAGTGCTAAATGTACACATCGAAATGAAATAATACGTTCTGGTTATCTGCTTAATTTTGAAAAGAAAGGAAGCAGTTGAAATGAATAAACAAGTATTAAAGGTAAACCAGAAAAAAAGAAGATAATTACTGAAACATTTAGAGCACGAAAACAAGGAACAAGCAACGTTTTTTAATGGTCTTTATGATGAAAGTCTACTACGGGCTCCGTGCACACCCCCATCAACGGTCGCAAGGGGAGAGTTGGGGAAGACCACTGGTAGAGACTTTCAAATGCATTGCCGACAAGACGCTAAGCTTTGCGTACATTCAAAATAAAATTAGTCGTGAGAGCTTTGCGCTATACGCATGCGAACCAGTACGCGTATGCGGTGCGTATCGTGCCCTAGGCTTTCGAAAGTGGTCAAACAGCGTTTGTGCACGGAGTCCATACATGACATAGTGAGTCGGACTGCATTTGCTTTGCATTCTCTTGCCCTTTAAACAGAAATAAAATCGTTAGCCAGACTCTCACAAACTCAACTGAGCCTACTGCACTAAATGACTTTTTCTTTTCGTTTTCTCTCTCCATAATTTGTCAATAGTCATTGGAATCACCAATGAGCCTTTTTCCCTGAAGAGACGGCCATGTCTGCCAGAAACAGTTGTCCACCCTTGTATCACTTTTTTTGTTGCACATGCAAGGCTTAGGTCTCAATATTTTTGTTATCTACATGTATGAAGATATGGTGCCATGAGAAAACTGCAACCCCTGCCAAATTTAGTACTTGTGCATCTGGCTATCAAGAGTGAGAGACTACAGAGTACCGAAGTCTGACGTCAGCTGTCTTTGTTCTGGTTCACGCGCTGAGTTCTTCACACATTAAAGCTGTGCACGTGAACCAGAATACGTGGCACACTTCGGTACTCTTTAAACAGAACAATTAAGCTTGGCACCAACTGAAAAGGAATGGGTTGCACACGCACACAGGCATGCGTGGGTCTTAGCGTGAGTTGAACTTGAGAAGGTGTGCCGTTAAATTCTGTACCTTCCTGGCGGGCAGAGGAAATGGAAAGGCTAACGAGCGTCTCCTGATGTCGAAAGCGCACTCAGGTGACACAAGAGGCTAGAAAGGGGAGGAGGAGGGGGTGGAGGTGATAAGCACACGTGAGTATCACTGCACACCACACATCCTGTGATGGGCAGTCTGAAATTGGATAACGTCTGACTGCTCACGACAACCCTGCTATAACTGTCAGTTCATGTTAGCTGCATCCGGTTCATTAGTGACTTCATCACACACGCGCGCACACACATTCTGGAATTTGTATTCCTGTGGAGACATTTCTTTGTTCTCGTGTAGTAAACATGGTAAAGTTTTCGAGTTTGAAATTAAAGTTTCAAAATGCTCTTATTTTAACCAGAATTAATTTCCTGGGCTGAAATTTGGACTAAATATCTTTTTTCTAAAACTCTTCCATTTGCGACAGATCAACCCACCTTGGAAATTCCTAGTTTTTGAGTAAAATCCATATATCTATTTCGTGAAATTCTTGTGGAGACGTATTCATCTATAGAAATTGTCCTGTGGAGACGTATACAATCTTTTGTTCCCTATTGTGTGCATGTCTCCGTAAGGTAGTAAATTCCAGCACACTACTGATTACTAGTACCCATTGGATAAACACGCAAGTTGCGTTAGCTTCCGGTTCCAATGGTTCCAAGCTACTTCATGTGGAGTGGGCGTGGTTTAAACTAAAGTGGCGTGACACTAACGAACCGGATAGCGATAACTCATGATGAAGATTAACCCAGGACTCAATAAACTCAAACTACCCCAAACTGACAGAAAAAGAATTGCAAACCTGCATTGAACTAGTGGCAGAACTGGTAGTTCTCAATTGTTTTAAGGATTATATGTGGACAGAGAGAGATATTTTCACACGCCACTTTTAAGCAAGTAGCTCTTTTTTGCCATGAGGCCTTCTTCTGTAACAAATAAAATATGTCTGTAATGCACAATTTGTCAGTCGAACCACGAAGTGACGTATTGTGTGCACAAAGTCTACGGGCAATCCGTCACTTCGTGGTGCACCCGATGAATTGTCTAAGCCATTCCGTGCACGCTATCAATGTTCATTCACGGAACCTCTTTCAACGACGAAAGCACTGTGCCAGCTACTGTAAACAGCAAACACCACATGATCAATTAATTTGACCCTAACCCTCCTCAATTCTCCAAAATCCTCATGGAGGTTTTAGAGGATTGAGGATGAATGATGTTGAAGCACATGAGGATTTTGGAGGATTGAGGAATGGTGTTTGAAGAACAGGAGGATTTCGGAGGATTGGGATGAATGCATTTTGAGAGAAAGGACTGTCGGACGACTTTGAAGGATTGAGGCGCTGGGTATCCTTCATTTGAACATAAGTGCTAAGTGTTGGAGGACTTTGAAGGATTGAGGATGGTTCCTTGCAAAAAGGGTCTAGGAGGTTAGGGTTAATAGCTGGCACAATGACTTTGCCATTGAAGGGGACCTCCATAAGTGTACAGTGGTACCGTGCTTGGAATGGTCTATACCTTCACAAAATACATGAGTCGGACCTAAACCCAAAAATATTTTACCAAAAAGCTATTTAGAAGCCTGGATTTGTCCTTTTCAACCTACCTCAGTTTGTCCTTGGGCAGAGGGTCCTATCAATCCCGGTAAACTACCGACACCACTTTCTGGTTTGCGTGGCGTGTCCACTGTGCTAGGTTCAGGACCATTGCCAGTGGTAGCTGCAGGCGCGTCCTCCTCTGCCGTGGAAGTCCTGTGAGGGTGGAGCTTGTCTTCTATCTGGGCCGCAGCAGGGGGTGGGGTTGTGGTCAGTCGATCCTCGGCGATAGAATGACGCAGCATGCGCTTCTTCAGTGGCGTCATCATGTCTACGTTTGCATTGACAATTGTGATGGAAACGTAGATGAGAATGGCACAAAAATATCACAGAAGTTGAAACTCAAGGACACAACTTCAATACCTCAAAAAGTGGTGTAAAATAAAACCTTGCATAAATTTCAAGATTATAACCCCCGTTTTTTATTACTAGTACTACATTCATTTATTTTAGTTAAGATTAATCAGATACTACCTCCTATTTGACAGCACGTGCAATATTATTTGTTCACTAATTCATATTGATTTTGTTTACTTAATTTTTGCTATTGTTTTTCTTGTATATGTATAGCGCCTTGAGCACCACACAGTGGGCATGCTTGCGCTTTATAAATGCCCATTATTATTATCAACAAAGCAATGTGTTTTTCACATATCTGGTTTGAAACTATTACTAAAAATATGAATCTAACTGAAATCAATAAGACTAAAATCAATATGCACACCAGGGCTTCTTTTTCCAGATCCCAATTTCACTACAAATCTATCATTTTCCAAGGCAAATGATGCAAATACTTTTCTGAGTATGGCTTTTCGTCATTCCATTGAAAACTTTGGCTTGCAAACCACAAAGTAAAACTGTAAGCAATGAAATACTAAGTGTACCGTTTGAGGCGCTGGTGTTGGGTGAGAGAGCAGGACTGACTGGATAGCTGGCAGGGTTGGGGCTCAGCGTGCCATTACACAGGGGTGACTCGGAACCGCTGTTATTACTACTGCTGGTCTGGGTCTTGGGCCCTGGTCCGTTACTCTCACTCATGGCCTGCCGAAGCCATCTCTGCCAAAGGAAAACACGGGGTCAGAAAATATTGTATCAAAATGAAAAGCTTTTAACGTAGAGGTTTTCAAACAGTAGTATCCAAAAAGGTGCATCCCCTCAAATGCAAACTTGAGTGGATGCCAAATAGCATACTTCATTAGAATTGTCGTCCTGTCTGCAAAATCACAGGTGCCGTGTCACTTGTCGGCAAAATATACCATGACAAAGAGCGCCAGCTATTGTCCAACAGTGCCCCAGATCGTCCACTTTAACCTCGCACTGCAATAATCAGATGGTGCCCCCCTCCAACTTTGAATTTGCGGTTGCCAGGTGACCAGAAAAAAAAGATCTTGGCTAATTTGTTGTCACGCCCCCCAATCCACATTGGTCTAGTGATGCTTCTGATAAATTACCCATAATTGGAATTAAAAATCTGAGCGTAAATGTCATCAGAGATTTATAATCAACAGAATAACTCTGTCAGAACTTTGACGAAAGGAAACTAAATTCTGTGCAGTTTAATTCTTGAATGACGATTCTTGCAAGTCAGAAACCACCCAACCTTTTTGGCTGAGCCAAAGCTGGCTTCCAGATTTCCCCTGGGCTCTCTGCTGGTGTTGAGGTGCAAGACAGAGCCCGGTGAGGAGTGGCTGGGGGAGATGATGTCGGCTGGCTCTGTCTTGATGGTCAGAGGCTTGGTGGCAGAGGCTTCCTGCGCCTTCTCATTCAACCACTCATTCATGAAGAACTGTAGGATGAAGGTCAGACAATAAAATTAAATAAAAAAACAAACAAAAACCCTGCTAGTTCGTATTATAGGGACAGGTTGCCAATACTTTTCAATGGCTGGAAATAATGTTCAATCATAAATAAACAAAAGTATCTGTTAGATTTATTTTTGCAAAAAAAAATCAGAAAGCTACATTTCATAATTGCTTCTTTAGGGGAGAATACAACATTAAACAGGCACAAACTCAATGTTCTACAAGGTTTTATAGAGTACCTCTGGGTTCAACCTTGAGTTACTGTTTGTTTAACTTCCTATTTCTTCCCTAATATGGCAGTAAAACAAGATTGTGAAGTTTGAAATCGGTGGCCCTAATGACTTGGAATATCGGACCAAAATGTGAAGCAGATGGTATCTTGAACTGTACACAGATACATTAGCGTTGTAGTTGAGTCCGTCGCTAGTCCTTCAAAGTCATCACAAGTCCTTCACAAGTCCTCCGGTTTCAAATCAAGTCGCAAGCTACTCAATTCATTCCTTTGTTATTGTTCCTCCTGTTACTAGGGACTGGACTTGTGAAATGACTTTACTTTTAACTGGATGGGTTTGTGATGGATTCGCCTACAAAACTGAGACATATGGTAGGGCAACGAAAGTGCTTCAGTGACACATACGCCTGCGCTTTTCGATCAGGAGCCCAGATAGGTGTGGTAACTGCCCTCACCTTTTTGGTCTTTGGAAACTTGAAATGTTTGCTGCAGGCTGGGACCGGTGATGCCATCCCTTGCTGATCGGTGCCTTGACTGGGACTGAATACCGTCTGGATGAGCAAGGGGGCGGGATTGGATGACAATGAGACCGCAGGAAGGCTAGTAGACAGGGGACACGTGGGGGGATTGGACTCCTCATCGTGGGATGAGAAGTCCACCGAGACGGTGGATGCCCCGCTGTTGACACGGCTGCGGCGTCTTGCTCCTTTCCTTTTGCGGCTGTAACCGAGAACACAACAATCTTCTTGTGAAATAGCTCAATGAAAGTGTTCTTATCACATTTTCCCAAGATTGGTGCAATGAAATAGTTTTTATTCTTCTTTGATGCATGCAGCTTGCATTTGTTGCTGAACAAAAGGAATCTCATCTGTAATGTTCAAGGCTTTTCAGTTTATAATAAAAGAGGAATGTAACGCTTACTTTCATTTTCCCAAACAGAAATTCAACACAATGCTGAGACAGCCTTTGAAAAACAACATTACTGATTACTTCAAAAGACATTGAAAAATTAGACACAATGATTACATTTCAGGGAAAGAATGCTGCTACCGGACGCCACTTTTTTCCTTCACATATTATCTCAATAAAGGTCAGTCACTGCATAAATGTGGAAAAGACATGAATCTGGGATTGAGAAACATTTCCAATTTTGTTAGGAAATACTTTGTGAAAATGTTCTTGACTCTCCATAGACTTTGTGCACAACCGCTGAACTGGCGTCTGGATACTACATTTTTTCCCATTTCAGTTTTGAATATTTCTTTTCCTGCAAAGTATTTCTCTATTTGCTTCTAACACCAATTCTGACACCAATTGACCTATCGCAGTAGAATCGCGTCAACGCAGCTGAATTTGTAAAATATTGCCCAATTACACGATATACAATGGACGCGTAACGGGCAAAATCTGAGACAAACAAAACTTAGTGTACAAAAACTCCCTAGGGTTGTCTAAGGGGCGTGGCTAACTCGCAAATGGCGATAGGTCAATTAACAATAGGGGCAGTAATATATATAAGTCAAAAGATTTCCTTTACAATAAAAAGTCGCTCACCCTTTGAACCCTTTTGTTCTTGTGGTGACAGCAGGCATGGTATTAACAGAGGATGTGTTCACCGCAGATGTAGTACATGCTTCAGTGGGAGTAGCGGCTGAATCCAAGGCTATCACCTCCACTGATGCTACTTCATCTGGGGTTGCACTGGGAAGGCAGTCCTGCAACATAACAAGTGCAACAATTATAATGTGCTCCCTTTGACATTGCTTATTTGGTTGTATTTATTACTTACATAAGGATTTTCTTACTAAATCAGTATGTATGATTCCAGGTAACTGCAACAAGTCCAAAATGACTTTAAATAAATTTCTAGCTATATTTGTTGGGATAATTTGTCTCTATTTGAGTGCCGACCCTTACCCCGTTTGATACAATAATTATGTCAACTCTGCCTGCCATATCACCTCATGGAAAACCATCAAAGCGAAGCGTGAAAAGCATTTGAGACCACATGAAATTTGTTGCTCATTTTTATTAAGACTCTGTTTTCTTGTACACTAAAGCTAAAGGGGATACATGTACTTTTTGGTAGAATATAGCTTTTCCCCCAGGTGTCCTTTAAGACTTGTAAAAATGGCCTTGGTTCCCTTTTAATCACTAAGAATGGCCAGTGCAACATATCTTTTCTCAAGAACCTTGAGGACACATGGCCTGTTCGATGCCTGCTGTGGTATTTGGTAAGATAGTCCAAAAAGTACCTTGACACAGAAAAGGGATAAAGGTTATGTAAAACTCACTGCTTTTCCCACGGAATCTTCTTCCATAAAGCCTGCATCTTCCTTTTCCACCTGTTTCTCTTCTGATTGGTTTGTAGGGGTTTTTGTTCCAGAGTTAGCCTCTGTAGTAGGCATGCTGGTAGCCATAACTGGTACTACGGCTGCCTTGTTGCCTGCTGTCCTCTCCAGAGCTTCCTTCCGTCGCTTCTCTGTCTTCTCCATCCGAGCGAAGGCTTGAAGGATGGCTTCCATCTTGCGCTCTTCACGAGTCATTTTCTTGGCGGCTTCCGGAGCCAGCTTGGTCTCGGCGCGGTTCTCTTCCGATCCTTCTGTTTCAACCTCTGCGGAGGTGTCGCTGTTTGTGGGACGGGCTGGGGAGGTTTCTGGGTTGCTTGGGGTGAGGTGCGAGGACTCATCACCGTTGGTGGTTGGCAGAGGCTGGGCTTGATTCTGCATCCAAAAAGAAACTTTCTCCGGTTATTCACAAAAAAAATGGCTGTACTTCTAAGTTATTGATTATCTTCAAATGACATGTGGCACTTTCAAATTTAAGTTTTGTTTTTGAAAATTCACTGGAAGTGAATGAATAAAAAGTTGAAACAGTATATGAAAAATGTTGATGTCAACCACTTCAGTTCAATTAGCTGCTATTTGTTTAACACCAATAAACCAATTTTGTTTAAATTGTGTTTTTTTAATTGTGTTCAGAAAATGGCTGTCGTCGAATTAGTCCATAAGCTACATGTACCTGTGCATTATGAGCAGAGAGCGAGACCCTTAGAGGAGACACCGTTCTCTTCTTGCTGAGGTTTGAGCTGACAGACAGTGAGGAGCTGTCCTGTAGATGGTTGATGAGGGGCGTCTTGGCCGGCGTGACCTGGCTGTTCTGCTTCCTGAAGTGACGCTTCACTATGCAGTTTTTCTTAGAACACGCACAGTGCACTGGGTAGGAACTAATCCAAAAATTGAGGATGGAAAAATCAAGATTTTTTACATACATGTATGATAAAAATTAACCCTAACCTTCCCAAATCCCCCAAAATCATCTTTGCAAAATGGAGGATTTTGCAGGATTGAGGCTATATGGCAAAAACGTGTGGCTGATTTTGGAGAATGCACTGTGTCAAAGTCTTCGGCCGGACCTTGTGTTGTTTATGCTCAGCTGTGCATAAAGTTAGGCCTAGATTATACTTGAAATCCTCCGCACTACTCCAGGATGTCACTGGCTCTGCCTCAGCATATTGAGAGTGATTGCTGGAGGATTTTGCAGGATTGAGGCGGTGGTCACACCTCCAAGGACCACATTCAAGAAATATTATTACGAATAATTTTGGAGGATTGAGGCAGTATGCAATTTTGAAATAGAGGCAGTTGGAGGATTTCGCAGGATTAAAGTTGCATCTTAGCAAAAATGCCAGAGGCAGCTAGGGTTAATAAAAGCAAAAGATCAATTACATCATATAAAAAGTATTACAGATATTTGCTTTAGGTTCAAGGATTGCAAATGTACATGTGCAGCTCAAAATCGGAAAGGGCTATTTAAATCGAAACTTGACAAATGACTACAGCAAAACTGAAATCAAATTTTGGACAATTGAAGGTCAAATTACAAAGGCTAGGAATATTCAAAGTATGATTAGTACTGTTTTCTTTGATAGTGAGACCTCTTAAATTAACCACATAACCACATTTCCTGTTTTGCATTCTTAATTTATTTACTTTCAGACCAGAATTTGAAACTCACCGTTCACATGCAAATGAGTCATCAAGTGGCTTAAAATTAAAGGGGACAAGATCTGTCCTTTGAGTGGTGTGTCATTGGAATATGTTCTAAAGCCCTAACCTCTCCTTAACCCTAACAACCCTGAGCCCATCAAGCTCCAACAGCGGGTTTTGCTTGATTTTGGCAGGGTTGGTACCGAACACTGGCCAGCTGGTGTTGGACTTTGATTGACTGGGTACCAAAGGCCCAGGGAGACCCTGTTGAATTTTGTGAGGTTCGGGGCAGAAGGGCGTGAGATTTGTGAACACGTTGGAGTTTGAGGGAGTTCACTGGCATTTCTTCGTGGGTATGCTCACCCACGGTCCTCAGCACAGTTTGTGGTCAAATGTGCATGTACATATTGCTTTATTTTGTTAGGTTTGGTACCATCCCTATCCAATCACTCGACAATGCATAGGCCCATCCATACCAAGTCAATCAAACTCCAACAGTTGGAGTTTGGCAGGTTTAGTACTGTTCCCCGTACAAGGCCTGTTGGAGTTTGGCAGTTTTGGTACTAGTACTTACAGACCTGTATGCAGCTGTTGAAATTTGTTAGGTTTGGTATACTTTCTAGTGCAAGAGCCTAGGGGGTTAGGGTTAAGCTACAAAATACTACTCAGTAGTATGCATTTCTCTCCATACGAGTGTGCACAACACATGTAGTATTCCATAGTATTTGGTCCCTGACCCCCAAAGAGCCCTTAGGACGTTAGGGCTAATGCATTTTGGTCCAAAAAATGGGGTAGGTGTTTTGGGCAAATATTACGGATTTTAGGTAGTCATTGCAAAATACAAGTGTTATTGAGAGTTTTTGTTTTTAAGGCAGAGACAAAGGTTAACATGCTATGTCAAAAGAGATTTTTGTTTGATTATTCGTTTCTTATGTACATTTTATTCTGTACGAGCGGGAAAAAATATAACAAGAGATACCATAATACGAGAAACCGAAATATATCCCTAGAAAAATTTCATGATTATTTTTTTTAATTATTGCTATGGCAGTATATGACTTACACCCTAATGATGTAAGGGCAGTGAAGAGATTCTTCCAACAGTGCACAGTATGAAGAAACTTTCAAATGCAAGGTATTTAAATCTTTGCCACATCCTTTTTTTGTAAAGCGAGTTACCGATAATAATGTATTGCCAAACAAAAAGAGAACTATTTTGTTGACCACTTTTTTGTAGTTCAGTCACTTAACTTCCAGGGATCTTCTATGAGAAAAATCCACCCTAAATGCTCTGACTTAATGGAATAACAGTACAGAGTAGAAGGAAGACTTCCTTTTATTAAAACTCAAAACAAGTTACAATGAAATTGTCCATATGATTTTCCATGAGTTTTCCCAGGACAAAATTAGGGCTTTCATGCCCAATTCCTTCATTGTTTTAGAATATTAAGTCCAGCGTCTAGCGGTGCCTTTGTGGCGTTTTATTGCCTTGCCGATATTCTCAGTGAGCCCAGCGCTCTGCGGCGCGAAGGCCCTAGCCACAGCTCATTAAAATCAGCTATTGTGTTGGCAGCATTGCTATGTTAATTAGGCTCACGATCAGCCTGTCAGCCCGCCTTTCGGCCTTCCAGTTATACACAAGACCACTGACCACCACAAAAGCACCACAACTGTGCATTGAACATGGAACATGTACAGAGCATACATGCATAGAAGGTATAGTAAACTGGAATCTAACTGGAAGATTGCAGTAGCCAACTTATTACGCATCATCAAGTATGGGAAGTGCAGGCTTTTCTCATTGGAATATCAATTTTCTATGTTTCCTTGTAAAACAACAAACTTCCATGACTTTTCCATGACTTTTCCAGGATTTTTCCGGATGTTTCCATGACTGTGGGAACCCTGAAGGTACTGTACTGATTGAGTGTCACTGCACAAAGCAGAGCACTGTGGATAGCAGTGATGTGCAACAAAGTCCACCTGCTTCAACACACAATAGAATGTCAGAGGGTCTGGGTGTGTATTTTAACCCTAGCGTACCTGAATCCATCAAAATCCACACCCTTGTTTCGGGGGATTTTGGTGGATTCAGGATACCTCCATATTGAAAACGTTGGGGGATTTTGATGGATTCAGGACATGAAGCCTAGTGGTACTGTAGGATTTTGATGGATTCAGGATACCTCCATATTGAGCAGTTGGGGGACTTTGATGGATTCAGGATCTCAACAGATTTACTCCCGGCTAACTGGTGGATTCTGATGGACTCACTGGCCACCAAAATGTTTTTGCATGACAAAATTGATGGATTTGGGCGGATTCAGGATACTTTCTAGTAAATATACCCAAGGGGTTAGGGTTAATACCTCAAAACATTTTGAAAAGTGGGTGCTAACTCTATGTGCAAAGTACTAAAGAGGATCAAGTATGTCTTGACTCACCAATCCATGTAACTGAAGTCAAACCCAATAGTAACCTCCGTCTTCTTTGGAATACCGAGCAGGGCAAACAAACAGAAATGGAGCACATTGTTCTCAACGTAGTGCCGCACCTCAGCGTTGGGAGAACAGGATCTCCTCACAAAACGCGCCACGTTTCCGTAGTTCCGTGCATCCACACAGATATCCACGTTGTTGAATTTGGAGTAAAACAACACAAACGGGTAATGCCTAAGGAAAAACAAACAGAGAATTTCGACTATAAATTTTAAATTCATTTTTGGGTTCTTTTTGTCTTCAAACATTCTCTAAGCCCAACCCCCTAGGCTCTTTTGGCTTCGATACATCCTCAATCCTACAAAACCTATGAAACAAATTGGATACTGCCTCAATTTTCAAAATCATCCGTTATTTCTTGATTTTGTTCAATGGAGGGATAACCACTGCCTCAATCTTTCAAAAACCTCCAAAAGCGCCACGCTGATTTTGGAGGATCGAGGAGGGTTAGGGTTAAATGTTTTTGCCAGAACTCTTTTGTTCATGGTATTTGAACTATGCTTGGCAGTCCCTTCAATTATTCTTCCTATTGTTTAATCAGACACAGACAGTCACTTATTTCTTCCACTTCCTCTGCCACACAGGCTAGTCAAAAAAATCCAGTCAGATTACATTCACGTAAACATTGTCACTGGTAGGTACAGCTGGCATAGTCATCACCTCCAGTCAAAGCATGGCTAAAACAAAGGAATTCTTAATCATTGTAACTGTTACTTGATTTAATATGACTGCTGTGATGGGGTAGATGAATTTGCCAAAATGACATGCCTGCTTAGTGTAGCAAGAGCCATTGTGTCAAAAATACAAGGCCAAACTGCCTCAGAGTCTGTGGTCACCAACGGCAGCAGGACACAACTAGGGAAGGTTTTAATTGTCAGCCCAATTCCTGACAAACACATCCAGAACATCTTTAAAAGCTTAACTTGTTTCCAGGGCAATCATGTGAAATGCTTTGAGATTTGCAAGGATGTAGACTCACCGCTTGAAGAATGTCTTGTCTCCCTCCAACTGCTCCTTCAGCATCACCTTGCCCCAGTACTCAACGATGCAGTCGTTGCTTCGCAGGTTCTCTGATGCAGCGATCCCTACACTGGATGCACTCCTCCCAAATCTACTCAGGTTCACCAAAGGATCGGATGGCAGAGGTAGGCCAGTGATGATAAACGGTGACGGGTCTGGTTTAGGGCCTTTCGCCTGGGATGAAATGATGTGTTGAATATCTGCGCTATACTGGTTGCAGACTGCTTCCTCGTACCGGTCATGTGTTGCCCTGAAACGACAAGGTATATATTCAAGTTGTCAACGCGTCAATGCAACACTTTCGACAGGTAATCATTAGTTACATCTCAATTTGATTTCAAGATTGAAAACATTATCCTAAAATGAGATTTAAGGGTTCGCATGGGTGGACATGATCAATGAATCGGAGGTTTGCGGTAGCACCATGTGAATGGTATCTCTTTGTGAGTTGTGTGGTTCTGAGAAGAACCAGTTGGTGAACTCAATGTTACAAACATGTGCCTTTGTTCTAGTTCACGCACTGGTTTGCGCACTGATGTCCTCACACGCTTAAAATATGCACATAAGGCCAACAAAAAAAAATATTCGGTCTCTGGTCAGACCAAAGTTCCGGAATTGACGCGGCCACGCGGCTTTTTTTTTTTCTTTTTTTTTTTTTTTTTTTTTCCTTCAAGCTTGAATTGTACAGACAAGGTGGTACTATTTTGCTTTTTTGGTGTCCTCATGTACATTGGTGTCCTCCATAATTTGCCTCGGTGCTTTCGATCATTTGCCTTGGTGCAATTTCCCATTCCTTGGTGCTCTTTGGTAAAAAAAATTGAGGTGCGGAAATAGAGGGCGCTGTTGGAGCTACCACGGAACATTTTGGAAAAAAAAAAGATCAACGCGCATGATTAAAATCGACGCGCGCGCTGACCAGAGACCGACTTATTTTTTTTTTTGGCCTAATCCAGAATACGCCAAATACTTCGGTACTGTATGAACTCTATGAACCCAGAGTACATCACTTTGCTCAATCTCACTATCTTTGGATACTTTTGTCCCTGCTGCTTTGTGACACACATCTAGGAAAGATGCTGCGCACAAGGTAGGTAGTGTAACCCGGGATGTGCGTGTGTCAACCCGGATCTGCACGCATGTCAACACAGACAAGCGTCAATGAACGAAGCTTTGGAATTCACAAACGAAATTAAAACAAAACAAAAATTCTGTCTTTGTGTAAAAAGAGTTGCATTAAAAGGTAATGGGCACCATTTGCAAACGTTCAAAATTGAAAATGTCAAAATATCATACGTCAAGCATCCTGTGAAATCACTGCACCTACTGTCATTTTTGAGAAAAGAGGAATTACCATTGTTTCCTTGCAATTGTTAGACCTAATTGCAAACCTATGCTTTGCATTGAGAGAAAAAGAAGATTTTGACAGTTTTTTTCTCATAAAGTATATGTACTGAGCTGACCTTTTGACAAGTTACTTTTTGTAATAACCTACTTCAGGTTTGTTGTATTGTTGTGCCTGGAATCGGCAGAAACAATATTTTTTTCGGAAAATTACCTTAAATCTATATTACTTCTCTGTCACACAAAGGAGTTGTAAAAATTGTATAAAAATACCTAAGAGGCAAATGGCACCTGACATTTGCCAGGGTACAAAATACCATAGATTTAAACCCAGAAGACAAATGTATAGTGACCACGCATAAACCGCTTTTGAACACTCAAGTATTTTCATTTTAGTCATCCTCTTCAGTGCTTGTGCACTAAGATCAGATACACGAAAGGCATCAAATGTTTAAGTTCAAGACCCCCCTAAAAAAAATATATATATTTAACAAAATAAACATGCTTCCATCCACTTAGAAATTAAATGTAATTCCCCCCCCCCAACTATGAAAAGCAAAAAAAGAAAAGCAAAATGGGGGGGGGGGGGGGGGAAAGGCAACAATCCCTGCAACAGGTGTTCAGGAACTACATCAATTGCACTCACGAGAGCATGAGATATGTCGGGCTTAGTGAATACATTCAAAGGACTAGTTAGCTGGGTGGATATAGCCTGGCCTGCAATTAGCCAGTGACTCACTCTGAATCATTCCACGCTGGCAGGGCCTCCTCGTCCATGATGTCAAGTTCCATTGGAGCGGTGATATCCTCAGACATGTCAGACTTGTTGCACTTTTTGCTGTGATGCTTCTGTGATGTACAGCAGACGAAAAACACACACAGGTTGGGAGTTTGTTTCATTGGAAGGTAGATATAAAAACATATACAAAGATACAGGGTGAGTAAAAAAAAAAGCGGAACCCAAACCCCAAAAATGAAATTCATATTTAAAAAAATATGTAGTACCAAACACAATAATGACCGCAACGCCAATTTCATAAGCTACTTTTAGATGGAAAAAATTACTGAAATTGCTCAATCCATTCAAAGAATATCACCATTTAAACGCAATGACCCTTAAACCTCTTTCATCCAAAAAAAGCAGTTTATTGTGTTTTCTGACTGTTTGGAACGACAAAGAAAATGACACAGAAAAACTGTTAACAACTGTAGTACACAATATCTTTATTAACAACCCTGGTTAAGCAAACAATATGATTGATTAAATCCACTTTTTTTTAAAAGACGGGCCTTCAAAAGGACTTCGTTGAATATTTTTAACTTTTAAACTGAGGTTTTATCGCTGGTGATGTTTGAAGACAATTGTGACGATTCCTGAAATCGCCTTTTTGGACGAAAGAGGTTTTAGGGTCATTGTGTTTAAATGGTGATATTCTTTGAACGGATTGGGCAATTTCAGTAATTTTTTTCATCTAAAAGTAGCTCATGAAATTGGCTTTCTAGTCATTATTATGTTTGGTGCTACATATTTTTTTAAATATGAAATATAATTGTTGGGGTTTGGGTTCAGTTTTTTTTCCCACCCTGTACTATGCATATGAATGGGCTACATGTCTTTTTTAACCGTTGAGTAACAACTTCACGCAACACTTGCATAAGTTTTACATTATAGGGCTGTGCAGAAAATACAGAATAGTCAATATTCGATCGATACCGAATATTCGATCTACAAAATGTCCAGACAGCATTTTACCAAATACTAAAAAAAAAGGCAAAAAAGTGAGCCTTCTCATGTAGATGAAGACGAACATCCATGATGCAATGTTATTCATATAATTTGAATGGTATTGTCTATCAAACATGTCAAATGCCACAGTTTTGTGGACTGCAACTTCAGGTCAATATCCTTGTGGTATTGTGGCATTTCATAATGCACAATGCACCCAGTGTTTATTCCATGCATGCGCTTTAGGCATAATCTGAACCACTGAAGTCGTATTGGATGTTACTAGTGGTTACTGTTTCTATTAGAGCTTTCAGAGTGGTCTTTCACCTCTGTACTCAATGGGATATTTACATCCTGTTTCACAAGCCAGACGAGGCTGCCATATTTCCCAGAAAAGCCACACGTATGGAATCATGCCAGTTATCTGTAATTTATTAATCAAAACCCATACTATCATAAGCTCTCATATCCCCAGCATGTAACAAACTGGCGAAATCAAGAGCAATACTGGACAGGTTACTAACAAAATTGTACAGTTTCATCAGAAAGTTACTGCAGGGTTGGACCAGGACCTGAAAGTATAGGAATATTTTGTAATCATTGTCTTTTTCCGACCTATTACTTTCTACAAAGTGTAGTTACAATGGTGTTACTTTATATAAATTGATTCATTCACTCATTGTCTCCTCAGAGTTTTGTGTGGCAATCTGAATACAAGGGCTTACAAAAAGGTCCGATTGTTCATTGCAAAGATCAACAAAAACCACTAAAGTTACATAGGATAGTGCTGGATTCAGCAAAAAATGATAAAGTTGCTTTTCATATCAGTTCTTTCTTACCTTTCTCTTTTTATGATGTTTGTCCTCTTCCTTCTCCTTGCATCTTTTCTTCTTCTTTTTCTTCATCTTTTTGTGTTTGTTGTGCGTGGTCAGTGTCAGGCTTGTGGGGGAGTTGGATATCGCCGTGTATGTCGCTGCAGAGCCCACTGACATGTTTGGAACTTCATCCCCACTTTCACTTGACGAGTCGTCTGTGGTAAGATCAACAAGTATTGACTGTAAGTTACTGATGTGGTCTCAGGAAGCACATGTTAACAACACACATTAAATTACTGTCTATTCTCACAAATTATATTTCTGTTTCACTTTGTTTATCTGAACGGCTTCCATCACTGTATATTTCACATCTTTCCTTGTCATAACTGGCACAATGCAATCTTACTTTTTATTAGCAAATGTTATCAATACGTTTGTATGTAAAAGGAATTTATAACCTTAAAAATCCTTTGCTTCTACATCTAAAAAATCCTTTAAAAATTACAAATATTGTAAGTTCATCCTAACTCCCTTGGGTGATTTACTAGGAGCCTTCCTCATCCTTGCTAATTCCAACACCATATGGTAAACTGTGCATATAAACAGTTGGACTCTGTTTAATTGTGGTATGCCTAATCCCATGTAAAGCACAGTCAGTTTACTAGTGCAGTACTCATCCTAACAGATCCCAACAAACCCTGGTGTTGGACTTTGGCTGGTTGGGTATCGTTAGGGTTATGGTAGGGAAAAAAGGACTGTAACTCAATAACCTATTATTTAAAATGACACCATTTTATGTACCACCCAGAGAGTTATTTGCCATTTTTTCCTCCGAATGATCGCTTCAGTTTGGACGGTAGACCTACATTGTGCCCTGTGACTGTAGCGAAGGGGGCATTTGCTCCTGATTATCTTACCCGACATGACTGCACGTTTCTTGCTCTGGAGTGCAACGGCTCGCTGCCTGTCCACCTCACGTGGCTGGCACTTCTCACAATAGAACGTCTCTGGGATGTTGTCCCTCTCCAGGCCCATGCAGTCCACATGCTGCCAAACACAGCAATGGTCACAGCAGATCATGTAGCCATCGTCATGCTCAAAGTTGCTGCAAAGAGACGTGGAGGATAAGTCTGTGTTATCGGTCTAAAAGAGGAACAACATGACTTCACTTGTTGATTCAGAAGAGGAAGTTCATAGATGAGCCATTCTAAAAAAAACTAGCATCATAACAAAACTGACTTTGCAAGTTAACCATCAACAAAATATGTTGTCAACTTGAGTAACTTAGGCCAAAACAAAGTCTCCGGTTTCTGGTATGCCCGCGCGTGGCCCGTAACCACGCGTCGGCAAAATAAAAAAAAAAAAAATCTTCAATGTAAGATGATGTCTAAAAACTGCCAAACTCACTAGTTTGACTGGAATCTTGCTGCTGAAAAATTTTAACGTGTTTTTAGATGGGGTTACGATCAAGTATAAGCTTTATGTGGCCTCTCTTGGCTCCCATATATTTCGCACTAAATTTAGAGGGGCCACCATTTGCATTTATCAGCTGACATTTGAAGAAGAAAAAAGTAAAAAAAATTAAAATAAAAAAAGCCGTGTTGCTGCACCACTTTTGGGGCAAGCTCCATACCAGAAACCTAAGCCTTTTTTTGGCCTTATACACATTTTTTTTCTAATAATTAACCAAACTTCCCCCATGATGTTTTTTTTTCACAGTTAGTCTACAAGCAAATGAAAGTGTCAATTTTTTTTAGATTTCAGATTTAATTAAAGGACAAGTTTCGGTGATTATGTGACCTGTCTTTTGATCATTCTAACGTGAGAAAGAAGTTTGAAAACATATCACATTCAAATGAACATGATTTCATATAACATGAATAGCCTGTATTTATTTCAATTGCGGATATATGACCTTTCATTTCAGTGTTCATACACTTCAATATCAATCTACTATGTCTTACTTTTAGTACAGAGCATGAAATTTTTGTGAGTCAAAGCAAACGGCTACCAAAAATAACCAATAAAAGAAAAAACTTGACATTGAATAATCAACTGGGCCAATGCAACCTCATTAAACATGTAATTATTCCAAGAGTCATTGAACATGCACGCATGTGAATTGTGCACTGCTGAAGTTGTTGGACACATGCCAATATGTGTAGTTTTATGGGCTTGCATTTTTTGTACAGCAGTGTTCACTGTAGCAGCATTCTACCGTACATGTGCCATTAGTTCTTGCACAGTGGTAGATATTGGAGGATTTCTAAACTGCCCTACGAGTTTGGGCCAACGCATAACTGGACATCACAGAAATGTGGCATATGATCTGCCAATCAGCATAGGAAAAACATTACACAAACTCCCTTTCACTTTAAACTTATACAAAAAGCAAAGGGCTTTTTCAACATAAACATCAAAATAACAAACCATCTCAACATCTCAGTTTTCCACAGGAAATTAGATCTCTTCGACAAAAAAAGGACTTCCTGGGCCAAACAAAATGTATGTCAAAACCCCCAGTCACTCTAATGTAGCTAGTATACGTATCAGACTGAGCCATACAAAAAAACGTAAAAAAATACCACAAAATTAGGTCACCAAAGATGAGTGAAAACTTACCAAATGCATCTCGTTACCCCTTCGTCCTTGCTTTCTACCTGCTCAGGGGGACTCACTGTCAACTTCACTTCGAGATTCAAAGGATCATCAAATATCCCATTGACTTTGGTTGGTACTGGGGAGACTAAAGGGACCGGAGAGGGCGACTCTGGTGGGGTGGGAGGAGGGGGCGCTCCATAATTATGATCCTAAAATAGCACATTATAAGAAAATATAGTACGACAATGATTAATGTTGACAATACCACAGGCACGCAATGTAAACCACTAATGCAGCTTCTTTTTTTTAGCAAATACAAACTTAATAAATTTACACCACTATTATTCTAGTTTGTGCTCAGTTGCCTCACCGAACTTAAATTCACCACAAATGATTTAGTTTTCACCTACAAACTGTATGTACTTGTAGCTTTCGAAAATAATACATTACACCATAAATTAGAATAAAAAAATCACCTATATTAGCATAATTGTTTCTGAATGGAAGTACACGTATCGTTTTAATAATATTCATTTTCATCTCGGGAAATGATGTTAAGCCATTAATAAAAACGACCACAAATAAACTAGTCCAACAAAAAAGAAAATAGATAGTACCTGATAAGGCAGACCGATATAATGGGTGGTTGTATGAGCCGTATGTGCAGGGTGGCTTGTGACATCTCCTGTTGCCACGGGTTGTTCTACTGGTTCGGGACTGCAATTGTAAGACAAAATGATTTTGTTAACCCTAACTCCCTAGGCCTTTTTGCTAGGATGTAGCCTCAATCCTGCAAAATCCTCCAATTGGCCTCATGGAAAAAAAGCATATAGCCTCAATCCTGCAAATTCCTCCGCTATTTCTTGAATATGGTCCATGGAGGGGTGACCACTGCCTGAATCCTACAAAATCCTCCGGCTATGACTGTCAATAGGCTGAGGCAGAGGCAGTGACATCCTGGAGCAGTGCGGAGGATGTCAAGTATAATCAAGGACTAAATTTATGCACGGCTGAGCATAAACAACACAAGGTCCGGCCCAAGACCTTGACACAGTGCGTACTCCGAAATCAGCAACCCACTTTTGCCATGTAACCTCAATCCTGCAAATTCCTCCAATTTGCAAAAAGGATTTTGGAGGATTCAGGGCGGTTAGGGTTAATGAAATGTTAATGATTTTATGATAATTGCTATTGACAATTTATGATTTACTTTTTGCTGAGATCAGTTTTTTCTCTCATTTTGGGGATCAAAGATCACCAAGGAACGATGAGTCACTCAGTAATATTATTGAAATGTACACACTGTTGCAACAGCATGCACTACACATGTACAATACATCATGTACAATGTCAACAGAAAGTAAAAGTATTTCCTTAAAAAAAGTACGAGCAAAGTTTTATTGAACCATCCTGCATTCTCTTGAAAACCGAGCATGTGGTCTTGCTTTCCACGAAATCACGGTTCACTGTTGTGTTCAATTCGAAGGCAAAAATTACTTGAGGGTTGGGAAAAAGTCATAGACAGTCATTTTATTTCTAAATTGCATTGGCTATTTTTACGGATGTCATATAGCATTTTACAAAGGCTATAGTTACGGAATGGTAACGTTAAGAACACTGTGAATTTATGAGGCTTTAAATTCCTACAGCAGTTAAAGTGCCTCGGTAGTTCAATAGGATCCATGCAGATACGTGTGCATTTTTAGTGCCGAATGTGATTTTTACGTTGTTTTTAAGCAAATCCTACTTATTAATAAAGTAGATTTCATTTTTCTTTCCGATTTGTGGCTCTGTACTAGGATTTTTTTTACAGGGAAGTAAAGTCTAAAAAACATTCAGTTGACACTGATGCATGTACAAGGGTCAACTTCCATAAAAATAGCAATAATATCTTTCCTATATTTATTTATATCAACTCAACAAAATATTTCATGTTCTCACTGTGAATATCTAGAAATAAGCTTAAATTGAAATTTTTTTTTAAAAATAAACATAGGTATTTTCTAATGTTTTGTATGAATCTAAAAATAACTAAAGTTCCTGTGATGGAATTTGTAAAGCCCAAACGCATCACTGAAGGCGAAAGAAAAAGTCTGTGTGTGATGTTAAGGTAAGCGTGCTAATGGTAAAAACACCTTAGGCAATGGCCAACTTGATCAAGAAGTTATCTGTGTTTGAATGCTTTTTTAACACATTTGGATAATCCTAGTCCACGAGTGCAAAAAAAAAAGGCAGCTTTTTGTACATAAAGAAAAGAAATCACGTTTCGACTCCACTAGAAAAGAATTCCACTCACATGTAAATAACTTACACAAAGAATTTAAGTAAATTAAGCCAAAAAAAGAAGGAAAAAAATGCCCAAAATTTGATCTTGACAAAATATATCAAAAATTGGCTTTTTTCCATGCAAACAAAAACCATTTGATTACTGAAATAAATTATGCGACAATCGCATGACCACACATGAGTTTACAGGACTGCCACAGGCAAAGCAATGTATCATATGAGTAGATATGTTAGTTGGGGGGGGGGGGGGAGAGAGAGGGGGGTGGGGGAGGTCTTTCTAAGCCAACATGACGGCAAGAACATGAAGACTTCCTGGCCAAGTACTTACTCAGAACCTGCAGCCATGGCAGCATAGTTCTTGTCTGTCAGTGCTCCGTCATATACTAGTATGTTACTCATTACGCAGTAGTTAACATGAGGTTGAATCGTTGTCGTCGTCGGGGATGCTGGGCAGCTGTTGTCCAAGGGACGACGCTGCACGTTGCACACATGGCAAGTGCTTTGTCCTCAGGACCCTGGGATCAACACAGAAAATCAACTGGACTTTAGCAGCATACATGGGCAGTGAAAAATGACAATAATGTGGAGAACCTGCAGCAGTTTACATCATGTATGGGATTGTATCACACGTCCTTTGGTTTTTTTTAATTTCCAGGGAAAAAAAGCTATAATGTTAAGTGCACATGTGTACACATTTTATGATACGATATGGCATTGTTATGCAAAAGAAATTGCTGTGTTTCATCATTTCATGTAACCCAAAGAACCTACCCTAACATTTTAGGTGAACATACATGCAGTGGCAGTTGTTGAATTTGGTTTGTAACTTTGTGTTGTTATATTTGTGGTTGATTTATATTTTTTTATGCATACACATGAACATTCATGTACATGTATACATGTACATGTGTGCTTCTTGCAAAATGAAAAAAACATATTCATAATGATAATCTGAAATAGTTGTAAACATGAAATGAATAGCCTTTTACAAGTACGTCTACTGGATCAGTTGTCCACCAATAGTGCAAGTACAAGTTGTGTACATATTCACCTTACTACCAAAACAAAAAATGTGCACATGTACCGATATGTATCTGCCCTTCTTTTTTCCGCTCTTACTGGAAACACAACATTTATTTTGGGCCATATCACAATCAAATGCTTAGGCTTTGATGAACATGTAAGTCATGCATACATGTACATAATGTGGCACACACATGTTTTATAACAGAGTGATTTTCTAAAGATTACCCCTAATTAGACATTTCTCAAGTGTAATTTGAATTTTGAAATTTTTTCCATACATGTACACACAAAGGAAGGTAGTTTAATTTGTTTCTATGTTTAAACACTGCATGCTCATTTACGATCAAAATATCAATTCACACAAAAAATATTCAAAATGAAATGAATATGACACGTCAATGTGAATCATTCCTCCTAATTACGATACAAAACAGTAAAACAGCTATCCTTCCAGCAGAATCAGCTCAATGGCAATTTGGCAAACTCAAACACAACGTTAGCTTTTATCATGCAGTGAGTCACTCACTGCCTTTGTTCAGCAGTTCCGTGTACATCGTGTATGCCCATTATACCAATTCCTACATGTATTTAAGTAATTTTCCATAGAATTAAGTACAGAACATCATGTACATGTACATTAGCCTGTAATATAAGACGAGGAGCCTGAACTAATCTACACTGTAATTAAATCCTTGTTTAGGAAAGCCTAAAAATATTGTGTATCTACCGGTACATCTACATGTATAGGACGTACATGTACGTAGGCGTGATGTTCAAGTGTACAGATGCAATACTGTACCACTGCGTTGAAGGCAGCTTTTCAAATGCAAATAAGCAGCCTCTCCCTACAAACACACACTGTGTTAAACGTTTTGTTCAAGTACATGTACGATACACACACACACAACTGTACATGTGTGCTTATTAACCCACAGCAGATTTGTGCAATGAACACATCAGAATATATCTTACATGTACATGTGTACATGTACATGTAAAACTGACCATGCACATGTCTAGCCATGGTCCTTACAACATGTACAAAACAAAATGAACACAGGGTGAAAAAAAACCTGTTGTGAATGTGAATGTGAATATGTACATGTACTTCACATGGTAAATGGGTGACATGAACATCCTGCCATGCATGGAACGCATCAAACAAGCATTCAAATTTCAATGGTACAAAGGTTCTGCACAGGCTGAGGACAAACTATCAATAGCCTGACACCTTATCTGCTTTGTTTGCAGTGCACTCTAATAGGACAAACTGTCAAATAATTGATGTTACCTAAAAAAAAACAAAGCTTAATGCTGATGCAGAAGAGGTTAATTAAAACACACTCCCAAACGGTAAGCACATCATCGGTGCTAATCAATGTTATGGTTATGCAGCATGTGTGTCCTAAATGCTACAAGTTCAAGGCCCATGTCTTATTTTCCTTGCATAATATACATGTAGGTCATAGGTCAAGTGTCATTAAGACATGGGCACACTGCATACTCAAGAGGAATAAGTGCGATTGTGTACATGCTCAAGATAAACAAGTACAGTAATCACAATATGCACCATGTAAAAGACAATATAATAACTTTCAAAAATTGGGCAAAAGAGTACATATTTAGGCAAAGATCTTTATAATTAAGGCAAAATTTAAAAAAAATTAAAAGTGTTTCATTTTTATATATTTTTAAATTGCATTCCACTGAATTACTGATTTAGTAGTCGCTTTTATATTCCTGGCTTATTTCATTTTCAAAACCAATTTCAAAACCAATGCAACCTGTGGTTTAAACATGTGAACATGTACAAAAGCCTAAACTCGCTTTTCCATTTTCTTTAAAAAAAAAGCAAAGCAAATAGTAGGCTAACGCTTGAATTCCGTTGACTCGTTCATGATGGACAATCTACATTCACGTTGGTCGTGTGCGCCAAAATGCCAAAGCAGTGCCCATAGTATCAAGCAGTGTGTCCATGAGGAGTATTTATAATTTTGCAAGTGTTTTCTAATAAAACTTGAACGATTTCTGTTATTGGTGTCTGTTTTAAACTGTTTTTTTTTTCTTGACCTATCTCATTTAATACATTATCTACAATAACTGACTATGAATTGAGGTAATGGTTAGAGAATGTCATCAGGATACTGCATTCTTTCCCTATCGGAAAGAATGTTGCATCCTAGCCTGACGCCACTCTTTTCATCATTAATACTCATTACTCAATGAAGGTCAGTCATTGCAAAATGTTGAAAAGGCATGAATCTGAGACTGAGCAGCATGTCCAAGTTTGTCAGAAAATACTTTGAAAATGCACTCAACTCTCTTTACACTTTGTACACAACCAAAGTGGCATCTGGATCCTATATTCTTTCCAAACATGCCAAATTGTGGCTAAACTAAAGTTTGACTGCGGGATTTTTTATTGGACAACTAGACGTCAAATCTAGAGTTAAGGAATTATAATTATTTCCTGCTTTTTAAGTACATGTATTGTGACATTAATTTTCATATTGAACATGGGGAATATCAATATCAAGTGGGAAAAAAGGCTGGTAATCCTTATCTTTTAGCATGTTAAGGACACCTCTATATTTTACGAGTTCTGTTCAAAACTTACTTTTGCAGATGACTGTCCAGTACCAAAGTGACTTTTGCAGGCTAAAGCAGTCTTTTTTTCTTCAGATAAATTCATGTTAGTTGTAACTTTGAAAGCACTTTCAAAGAAAACGTGACTTTCCTACCATGCCTACCCTTTTTTGCAGTTCACCATCTTGGTTTTTCAGTGTTTTCTGTTCATCATCGTCATGTTTTCGCCCCTTAATTTCCCTCATAAATCAAAGCCCTGCCAACCTTTTTCCACAAAATTAAACCTGTGATATTCAAGAAAGTGTCACTGTCAGTTCAGATATATGACAAGAAATATCAGAATGTCACTTTTGAGTGTCATTTAGTCAGCTCTTTTGGTGAGCATGGTGAGTCTACCTTATACATTAAGTTATATAATAGGAACGGGGTCCTAAAAGTAAGGATTACCAAAGTCTAGGCTAGCACAACCATGACAACTGTTCAGGAAAGTTAGCATGCTTCGCTGTGTGGCTAAGAATGTTGCAGGATGTCCAGTAGGCTAAATGAAAAATTATGGGGCTTGGCAAATGCAACTCGCCATCACAGGCATGACAGGGAAAAAAATTAGCCCCATAAATGTGGCCAATTTACTGGACTACCTCCGTAAACATAGGCCACACTTCCACATGTACAAAAACGTGTCAAACTTTCATGACTTTGTCAAATTTAGATTTTCACATTTAGGCTTAGTTTGTAGGGTTTTTGCTTTAGAAGCATAGGGCCTACTCACCCTCTTTATACTTGTTCAGAAAGTGCTGCCTTTTTCAGACGTCCAATTTATGTGAAATTTCATGTTGAAATCTTGATACGCAAACGTGTGCAAATGAATCTGGAAATTTCACAAAAAATAGACATCTGAAAAAGGCAGCACTTTCTGATTAGCCTATAATTAAGAGGGCGAGTATGCTTCCAAAGCAAAAAAAAACGTACAAACTAAGCCTAGGCCTAAATCATAAATGTGAAAATCAAAATTTGACAAAGTTCGACACGTTTTTGTACATGTGGAAGTGTGGCCTATGTTTACGGAGGTAGTCCAGTAAATTGGCCACATTTATGGGGCTAGGAAAAAATGAAATTGAACATGATAAAACGTGTTACCAACCATGGCATGGCTGCCCGCCAACTCACCTAACAAGAGAAGTCATGTACAAATTTTGTTCTTTCGTTGTCAAGATGCAGTTATGCATTTCACACACTATGCTGCATCCAAATTTGAATTCACTACAAACGTTCAACAAACGGCGCGATGTGTCAACCTCATTCGAAATGTGTGTGTGTGCATGACAACACTGTCAGATCCGCTATTCAAGCACGGGCACAATTATAACGTACACGTTCAATCACAATGCACATACAACCAGCGTCAGCGGCGACGTTACGTCCCAAAGCACAAACACAGGCCCGATTGTCGGCCAAAATTCGTCAGACGGAAGTACACATGGAAACGCACATTAAGACTTCACTCCACCAGAAGATGATAGAAAATTTCTCGAGGCATAATCTGGATACATATCGATTCCGGTACAAGCGCTATTATGGCAAGAACTTGTCGCTTGAAAATCTCTTCTTTTACGTAAATCCACTGATACAAACTGTATTCAATAGCGATTCATGATGGCGGCCATGAAAGGAGGGGACGACGGGTTTCATGATTGGTTATTCAGGGTCAAAATTTCTACGCCGCTGATCCGGCGACTGTTTGCTGGGGACTAGTGCCAGAATCTCGCGCACAATAGTGCCCCCTCTACGGTTAAGGTTAATAGATTGAATGCCTGTGTTCCTTCCTCCGGCTCCATGGTTAGAGGGCGTATAATTCAGGACCGAAGGAGATCGAGACCGATCTTGGTCTCCAGACCTCTTCTCGAGACCGATTTTTCATGGTCTCGGTCTCGGACGCGGACTCAGTCTGTCAGGACTCGGTCTCGGACCATGGAACTCGACGGGACTCGCCTCGAGACCGGCAAAATGGGAACTTTTTTTGACGTTGTGCCCCGCCTCCCGCCGGCCATCAGGGTGCACTGAACCAATTCAAACCCTATTGAAAACAGTGTAAAATTAACAAAGTTCAGGGCCAAAAAACATGCAAGCCGACATCAATTAAACAGAAATTTAATTATTGTCTTGTCCTTCATCTTTTTATTTCTTTTCAATTTTGGGCAGACTAGCCAATTACATTTTTTAATATTCACACCAAAACAAAATCACTTCCCAACCAAAGTAATAGTTCCCAAGCCTGCATGGTTCCCAAGCCTGCATGTAGCTATTTCACAAGTGGCATCCTTCCACTTTCCAGGCAAAAAGGACCCATTTTTCAACCGTAACTTTATCAAGTCTGCCCTCAGATGGAAGCCCCCAAAACCAGGGAGTTGATCATTGGCCATATTTACACACTAATTCCACTGGTTTTTTTTTTTTTTTTTTAAAGCCAAACGGTCTCCATTTTCAAAAGAAATTGTGGGGGGTACCTTTCATGCTAATGAGCGCGCGTAGAAATTCTCACTTAAATAGTGCACTGCAGCCATCATGAATTTATTTTAATTTCCCGTGGAAAGCGAATAACGCCACCTATTGACATTTACCATTCTGGTTGAAACAGTGGCCCCATGGGAAGATGGTGTCCACCCCCCCCCCCCCCCGGCCCTCCATCCCCTTCCCACTTTTTGATTTTATAATAATATAAATAGCAAATATAATAATAATCAGTGGCGTATCCAGAGGGGCGGGGGGGGGGGGGCGGCGGATTTTTGTCACAAAATTGTTTGTTCAGCAATTATTTCAATACGTGGTTAGAGAATTCTCCCCCCCAAAAAGAAAACCCGCTCAAAAACCATTACAATGCGTCGTGAAAATGGGTGTATAATTTGCAGTATGCATAATAATGGTAAGTTTTGTAGAGCGCTCCCATTTAGTAGGTGGATACCAGAAAATGAAAGATGATGAAATAAGATTTAATTTGATGAACGTCTGGAACACCTCAGAGAGTTGTGAGTATTTTTCCTGAATTTCTGAAGTGGGGGCATTTATCATTGGGATCTATGGAAATTTGTTTACTGGTCTGTGAAAGGGGCCCGCAGGAAAGTTGAAGCAGCGCCCCCTTCATCAGCCCCAGCCCCGCCGCGCCCAGATATCCACGAACTGCAAGACAATTCATATTTTGCGTCTAATGACATTATGATCTTAACACACAGCAGTAAATACACGACGATAGCTAATTTTGTATCGAACGAGCGAAAAAATAATCACCTAAATAATTAAACTATCTTTAATAAAAAAGAACAGTATTCCGTGGAATCAAAAATCAAATACTACACAGTGATTACAACCACGAATTTTAGAAATAACACCGATGCTGTGAACCAATAATTATAATATACCATTGAACATTTAAAACACCGTCATGTGCCGGTGTAGTGATGTTACGATATAAAAATGTGTTGTTAGAATGAAAGTGTGATTGTCGGTATAATAGTTGTGACAATTATTTTTACTGCCGCCTCGCAAAAACCAAATTGCGGCAAAAACCTCCCGGCAATTACCGAACATTTTGCACATTTCGTTTTGCAAATTTTGAAGCTGTTACCTCATTCACATTCACCAAATCTTATCCACACCCTAAGTTTGCTGGATCATACATGAACGAAATTATCTTTCATAAAAGTGTTCAGTTAAAGTGCATGCTACATAAAAATGACACATAATCATTTTCATCGTTTCATTATTTAAAAACGACAGAGACACAACAGCTATTAAACAAAAATAATGCATGCTTTTCCTTGATATTTCACCAAGCTCAAAACGCGTAGGCCTATACCATCAGTTTCCGGGGACTGGTAGGTATCTTGCATGGGAACCTTTTGAATGGACATTTTGGGCGTGCGTTGAAATGAAATTCTATTTTAAGAAGTAACGTTTGCGTTCATGCAAACACTGAAAAAAATTGCCTGGGTTAATTTTACCAAAGAAAATGTGAAAACTGGAACTACCCAAACTTGGGTTGTTCTATAACCAATTGTTTGGGTTATAATTTATGTTAACCAAAAGTTGTAGTCATACAAGACCGTAACTATGGGGGTGCTGTGATCCAACGGTTACGGTGTTCGACTCGTGGTACATGGGTTCGAATCCTGACGGGGAACACGGTGCTTACATACTCTTGAGCAAGGCACTTTACCATTTTTGCTTCGTGCTCCGGTTGGGAAGCCGTACCAGTAGGCAGTATGGCGTAGCCAGGAATTTTTCAGGGGGGGGGGGCGCTGGGGGGAGGGGCTGGAACATTTCATGGGGGCGTCATGTAGATCAATGATAATTTTTTTAGAAACTCAAAATCTCAGTGGGGGGGGGGGGGGCGACAAGGTTTCATGGGGGGGGGGGGCTGTCGCTAATAATACTCATAAACAGAGAGTGCCATGTGGGCCATGCTTCGTTTAAGGACATGTTCCATGAGACATTAAAGGAGGTCGTCTTGAAAAGCGTCATTGTCTATATCTTTAAAACATATCTAGGCCTATATCTTTAAAGTTAATTGAATGGCCTTTTTTTGGGGGGGGGGGCTTTCCAATTATGAAGACCGTATAAACAAGAGAGTGGTCAGTAATCAGGACAGGTAGGATACCACTTTCACGTACAAGGTCAGGATGAGAGCTTAACATTAGATAAATTGTCTCATTACATTCAGTAACGCGGGTATAGAGTAAGTTGCGTCATTAATTTTGGAACACACTAAAAGATGAAGTTATAGGGTTTGAGGAAGCACTATTACCGTCCTCGGAAACATCACAATAATTAAAGTCGCCATGCAGCTACAATAATTTCTTTACATTCACATAAGGCTCTTCTACCTATAATACCGCTTAATTTATCTATAAACTCAACAGAACTTGAAGGTGGCCTGTTAATAGAACTTATAAGCACAGGCTGCCTTTGTTTACATTTGAGTTCAACCAACAAACACTCGACATCATCGTTTCTAGGTCATCACGGTGGACGAAAGTTAAATTATTTCGGATGTACATTGCCACCTCACCCCCGTGACGGTTTCTACTTCTTCTGACAATAGAGTGTCCGGACTGGTTAAGCTCTTCGTGTTAAATTGAGGAGTCACTAAAAGTTTCGTTTAAACAGATTATGTCAAATGGATTTGTAGACATCAATATCTTAAAATTGTCAATTGTATTAATAATTACACTTCTTACGTAGAGATGGGCGAATGAAAACCCATCTGCAATTTGGTTGTGAATTATGCCATCTATATTAAGTTAATCCTGCTGTGGGTTCAGTAGTTCTCTGACCTTCTCCAGGTAGTGGTTCCATCATTGGTCTCGGAGTCGATGATGTGCGTTTTGGGTCTCGGACTGAGTTAGCTTGAGTTGTGCCGTGGAGGGCTTGACGTCGCTTCGGCTGCCGGTGATGGCACTGGTTGGATGGCCGAAAAACCGTCGAAACATCTGGGCCAGCTCCGATCGGTTTCTTGAGGGCATCAGAGTATACGAGATTGCACCAAAGGAGGTTCTCTGCGGCGTGAACTAAGTTCAGTCGATGGTGCGCGTCGATATGTGTTCTCTGTTGGCTCGGCTATGTATTGGATAATGTTTTTGGCCAATAGGCGTACTCCCGTGGTGTTGAGATGCACGATCCGACGGTTCCTACTGCCGTATGCAACTAAGGCCTATACCAACAGAGTACCCGGAAGGCTTGTTGCATTGTGGGAACATCGATATGCTAAAGTAATTAGCATAATTCCTTATCGTAGCAGTCTCTACAACTCTACAACTCTACATTGATAATGGAGGGACTGGGACCCATTCTATACGTTTCTGCATTTACCGATTGCCATTTCGTGTGCTTTTTGTTTTTTTACCATAACGCATCAACACCTAGGATGTACAACCGGGCACCTTTTTCCGATGAGGATACGTCTCCAGTACTTTTATAGTGTTTGAGGTACCGTAGGGTTATTATGGGGTATCAGTGCTCCACCATTAGACGTCGTGCGCGCTATTGCCCGTTGACGCACAACCGTCCACTTCTTCTGAGTTTGTGGCTGGTGCACGCGAGGGTAATTTGGCGTCGGTGCAGTGCGGTGCTGCAGCAGTTATCAGTGGTGAAACTGGATATATTTTCATAGGTAACGTAAGTATGACCCACATTTCGGGCGGGAGGGGGGGGGGGGGTTGGCTTGGGAGCTACACCGCGCTTGACCACCTACAGAGAGGCAATTCTTGTTGGCTGTCTGAATGTGCCCAAATGAACATTATTGTGCTCGTCTTTTTAATCTACCAAACCTGCCCAAACGGTGACGAACGGGGATATGAAAAGCTCTCTGGCGCGATGTCTGAATGCATCATTCATGGCGAAGTAGATGACGACGTTCCAAAAGCTGTTGGAGAATTGGAGCCAGTACAGAGCGAAGAAAACACCCAAGGGTTGGCGAACATCAGCCAGGACGCAGGCTACGCCCACGATGGTAACAGGAGCCCAACATGCGTAGAGAGTGAACGCCATAATGCGGCACGTGCGGAAAAACTTGACGGCTTTGCGCGTTTGTCGGGCTTGCATGGTAAGCCCGGATATCATCATATCGGCTCTGACACGAGTTGCTTTCTTCATGCCCACCCAGGCTAAGGCTGAGGTAATGGAGAAACTGGCTAAACTCGGCAAAATGAACAAGCCAAAGATCAGAACAGCCGACAAGAGCTGACTATGCTTGGTAGCGGTGATGGTACAGGAATGAAGTACGAAGACGTACTTATTCACTATCTGGCCAGTTAAGAACAGAGTTGTGTAAAACAGGGTCGGCATGACCCAACACAAAGTCAGACCAGCCAGTGCTTTCCGCTTGGTGACGATTCCGAGTCGGCTGTATCCGAGAGGGCGTGTCACGGCAATGTAGCGCTCAATGCTCAGTAAGGTCAGTGTCAGTAGAGAAGCCTTCTTAGCGACTGCCTCAATACCTGCCGCGACCAGACACATGGTATCACCAAAGGGCCACAGGTTATATACCGAGGGGTATATAGACGTACATGCTACCAGACCAGTAGCCAAGTCAGCTAGGGATAGGGACATGAGTAGCAGTCCATGGCAGTTACGGAGCGAGGGTGTGGATCCTATCGTGATCAGAGCTATCAGGTTGCCTGCTGTGGTTAGGGTAGATATTGAACAGATAGTAGCAACTTTAAGCCCGCATACGATGTCGGCGCAGATTGTAAAACGGAAGGAAGTAATGTTTCCAGACATTATTGAGGCTATTTACAAGATTGTTGCCGTACTTGTGAAACAGTTCAATTTTTTTTAGTGTCGTCCAGGTAGCTTTTGCACTGCTTTGTCGTCAAAATCGTCTCCAAAATATACTTTTTTTGTGAAAATGATAACAGCCAATCCTTCAGACCTCATGCGCAGATGAATTGATGGACCAACTGATGTTGTCAAGACTATGAACATGAATGGACGTTTTGGTAAAACTTCATGCGCGCATCATAGCATAAATTTATGCTTGCGCGGTGGACGTCACTATTATTGTGACATCACTGGAATTATGCATGAATGAAGTCAATGTACTGACGAATCAAAATACATGTAGCCTACATCCAAATGACCGTACGCAGGTGTATTGTAGAGATGAACACGCCTGTAAACATTCTGGGTCCCGAAGCACCATCGATATGAGAATTTTCAGTAATCGATATATCGGATATCCAATATCGAGAGTATTCGATATATCGAGTATCCCATGTAAAAGTTAAAGACCATAATGATGGCACTTTGATTTAAAAATTAAAAAAAACATCTTCAGTCCCAATTTTCCCCGGCTATCTCTGGAATGTATTGCCCAAACTTTTTAAAACAAATCTCATAACTGAGAGTTTGTCCAGAACGGGCGGTTTTTTGTATACCTTTAACATTTGTTCTGGATCCGCCCTTGTTCAAGGATCTATAATGGTGTATAACGTGTACCCCGTGATGCAACTGACCAAGTTTGGTTTTCGGGTGAAGACTGTGAAGTAGAAGCATTGTGTAAGTTTTAAAAAAAAGACGACTAACGTATTCGCTATTATGTGACCTGGAAGCATGTAGTAATGAAATCCTCCAATTAAGACGATGTGTCGACGGCAAACCAAACGGTGACCCCTGATAAAGGAATCAGGTCATGGAAGATCCTGTGCAAAACTTGCTGAAATCGGCCGAAGCGTTTGATAGATTCAGATTTTCAAGGGCTCCTTATGAGAAGATACCCGGTTGCACAATCTGATAACGAGGGGCAGGTGTGTGTGGGCCTAATTCAGTTAATACTCCGGATCTGAATGTGGACCGGTGTTTTAATCACTAGACCGGTCGACACATCGTCTTAATTGGAGGATTTCATTACTACAAGCTCCCGGCACAAACAGTCACCCCAAAACAACAATCAGGTCAGATCTTTGGTAAACAACAGCGTTATGACCAAGTGATGTGCTCCATACTCTATTTTTTTCGGCGTAGTTTAGACGGTGCAACCTGCTGATGCCGTCGACACATCGTCTTAATTGGAGGATTTCATTACTACATGCTCCCAGCATAGTGCCATTCCTTCCAAAATGGTCATTGTTATTATTATTATTTTTTACTTACACCCTCTCGTGGTATAATCTCAATTTGGAAAACGATTATTATTCACGCATAACAGATTGCAAACTAAACTCAATTCGGTCAGTCAGGAGCAGTAGGCCTATATTTAGGGGGGGGGGTTCAGTGTGTTCTAACCATCGCGAGAACAAACCTATAACTCCTCTTTAATTTGTTGAAAATGGCTAGGTGCAATGATTTCACGGGACTCTTGATCCTATTTACATACAATCAAGTGGGATATTTCATAATGTTTTGGCAGTTTTCGTTTTTGAACGTTTGCAAAAGCCCATTACCTTAACAACACTTTATATCTGCCAAACGCTTTGGTCGACTTCAGCGATCTTCCATGACCTCATTCCTAGCCCTATCTATACATGATCCGACTAAAGCCAAACTTATTTGATCAGTTGCGTCACTGGACCAGTCTATATTATAGTTTTACTGATACAGGATGATTAAAAAAAAAAAAAACCTGCAATTATAATCCAAAGGGTTTATCTTTTTTTTCAAAACCAAGTTGAAGTTTTGAACTTTATACATTTTGTAAGCATGGGCGTCGCCAGGATTTTTTTCTAGGGGGGGGGGCAAAACATATTTTTGCACTAAAATACCTGTATTTCTCAATACATTATCGATTGATCAGTTTTAGAGGGGGACAGGGACATTCCCCCCCCCCCACAACCCATTAAATTTACACCACTTATGACTTCGCGCCTCTTTTTCTTTTCTTTTTACTTTTCTTTTTTCTTCCTTTTTTTTTTGGCTTTTCCGGGGGGGGGGGGCAAGTGCCTAGAATTGAGCCCCCGTGGCGGCCTAGAATGCACTATGGAATCTGAACCAATCAGAGCGCTCGCATAGAATTCGCTAGCGATTCAAAATACTCCCATATGTTGTATACAAAATTGAAAACGTATTCGCCAAGTCGGTAATTGAACATCAATAGTCAGCATCATTTGGTCTGGGAACCAGACTACCGCATGGCATGCAGCAATATCCGGGGGGGGGGCATAGCAAATTGTCCCCCAAATTCCTTAACTTTTTCATTATATTCTCAATTTAGCATTTTTCCGAGCGTGAGCAGGGAAGCATTTGGCCTACTGCCCCTCCTTTTTCCTTTTTTTCGTTTTTCCAGGGCAAGGGGGGCACTGCCCCCCCCCCCCCCTCGCGACGCCCATGAGCAATATATATTTTGCGTGCGTGGAGCCAGTATTACCGTACACAAAACAATTACCGACTTCCCACCAAGTCTAAGCCAAGTGCAGCATGGACATGTAGATAGAATGCATGAACCTATCTAAGATCCAAAACTCAAGTGTCAGGTAAATATGTACACAGATAAACATATTGTATATGTGACAAAAATTACAAGCTCTATATATAAACCATGTCACGCGACTTGATGACGATTCTGTGTTTGTCCAGCGCCATCTTTAACCAGATCCGCCCCATCAAAAGCCTCAACTGTTTGCGCTATACGTCAAATTGGAAAGCTTTGTCTTCAAGTGATTTGACTGGGAATTTAAAAGAGGTAAGAAAATATTGTCAGTTACTTTGAATGAGGTTAAAGGTTAGCTTACAAGCGTAGAAATCACAGTTTGCTTTAGACTTCGAAACGTGAAATGTACGCACAAGTAATGTTCCAACAAAACCTATTCAGTAATAAAAATGGAAAAACACTATGGTCACTTGCATAAATTTTGTCCATTTCAATATCTGAAATCGTTTCAGAAGAGAATGAAAGATGGACTCTCAGTGCTCCTCAGAACTTGAACACAAATTCCAAAAGGAAATAAAAGAGACATTTTTTTATTTGATGTCTGGTTCAAAAGTGGATATCTGTTGTCTGCATGGCTTCAAAATAGCAATTCACAAGAACAATTGTACATGCACTTTTTTATCCAGATGAAACTCGCAAGGAGAGTACATCTTTAATGTACATAGAAGGCACATGTTTTGTTCAAGTTTTTTTCATTGCTCATATATTAACTCTTCCATTTTATTTTTAAATACTATTTGAATACAGATACAAATGGCTACGGCTCTAAAAAAGATAAGTCCCCATCTCGAGTGTGATATTTGTCAGGAGAAATACAAACGGCCCAAGGTGCTCGACTGCCAGCACAGTTTCTGCGAGACATGTCTGGAGCAATACTACAATGCTAGGTATGAAGGTCAACGTAAGATTCCCTGTCCTGTATGTCGACGGGAGACGGTACTTCCAGAGACACGCATTCATGGCCTGAAAACAAATTTCCATTTGATGGGAATAGTTGAGGAGGTCTCACTCCAAGAAAAGGTGGCTCGTTCAGTGGAACAAACATCATCAGATCAGTCTAAATGCCAGAAACACAAGGGTGAAGTAAAATGGTTTTACTGTGAGACATGTGAAGAGTTAATCTGCCGAGCTTGTACTGTAGTAGACCACCGTGAACCAAAACATCACTACATTGAGTCTGGAGAGGCTACTCGCAAATACAAACAGTCACTGACAGATATGTTTCCAGATTTCACCACAGACATTAAAAGACTTGAACAATCTTTGGCCACTTCATCACAAGCTAAGCAGAAGTTTACACAGAATGTCACAAAGACTGTGAAAGCTGTGAAAGACAAAGCAGATAAAATGAGAGCTGAGATAACAACTCAAGAGACAGAGATGATTGAAGAAATCAAACTACTCCAGCAGGATCGCAACAGAACATATGATGAGCATCAAAAAGCAGTCACAATGATGCTACAAAGTAAAGAACATTCCTTCCGTACAGCTCAGGATGTCATAAACACTGCCTCAGACACTGATTTTCTTTCCTTGTACCCTATCATCAGCAAAGACTTGAAATCACTCAATAGTCAAAATCCTCTCCAGACTGATCCCAAGCTTTCATATGTTAGTTTCACCCCGGGTCAGAGGATTGGTGACATCAATCTGGGCAAGCTTGAGGTGGAAGCAGTCGAGTGGAAGATGTGTCATACGTTTTGTAAAGCTAAAAAGGGACTTCGTCTAGTAAAAGAGTTCCATAGGGCTTTTGATGTTACTGCTGCTCAACCTGGTGAGATTGCTGTGGCAGACTATGGGAACAACCGAGTGGTCATCTGCAGCAATGAGGGACAACATAGAGGAACCATTCCCCTAACATCAGGTACCGGTAAGTTTCTTTCTGCACATGTTCATCATCACAAACTCTCACAATCGTGTTGAAATTCTTCCATGTGCACACGCAAATATGATAACTGAGAATGAAAACCAATAAAATACTGGCAAGGAATCGATGTGCTGGCAGTACTCCCCAACAAACTCAGTTTGGTTCTCCCGAACAAATGTGCGAATGGTTTTTTTAATATGTACATGTGCCTATGTTAAATAAATAATTCACACACAGACAAGCACACAAAATAAAAAAACCCACTAGAACCAAACTTCCATTTATTTTATTCTGTAACATTAAAAAAAAAAGGGTGGAGTTGCTTTTAGGTTGTTTGCAAACAAACCAATCTGCCCTGTGAGTAGAATGTTCTAGGTCTGATCCCTGTATTAGTGGGTGATGGGGCTGAGCCCCCATCAAGATCATCCTTTGGTTTGGTCTTTATTATTCATTAGTGTTTTTTTGGACAATAATGCTGCATGTATGGCTTTTAGTTCAAACACATGAACTCCAAAATTGGTATGAACATATCGATCCTGACACTGAGGTGTGCATACAAATAAGTAGTCCTCAGGTATCAAATTACAAGAAATTTGTATTAAAAAGTGACCGTTTTGTTTTAATCAAAACTCATGAACAAAATAATGAATTATGTTCACACTTTGTGATCTGATAGACCATGCCTTGATGAACATTTCTTGTCGTATACGTGAAGTGGCTTGACGTTCTTCCAGGATTCATGGTCAAACAATTCTAGGTGAATTCAAAATACTGAAAGAAGCGTGTATATTACAAACCAATGGAAATTCTCCCTAACGGTACAAAGTATGAAGACAGAACTCTGTACAAAAAGGCACTGTTGTACAAAAGCATGACACAAATGGTGAAATCACAGAATTACATCACCACATATCAAATTACAAGTGATCTAAAGGGACACTACAACCTGGAAAATTTAAAAGGATATAAATATCCACACAACCATTCTTTAAACATTAGCCGTTGCAAGAACAAATTTCAGTGGTCAAAATTTTGACTCCCAAAATACATCAATGAATTCCGTACACGTGCGATAAACATGTACATGTATTGGTGCTGTGTATATGTCACACACACACACGAAATTACTGTTTAATTTGTGGTATTGAATCGCGTGACACAGAAACAAAATTTCCGTCTTTTTTGTGTGTGTGTCTTTCTCAGGAACAGTGCGACATTAGGTTAGTTTCTTCTCAACCAGACCTTTGAAAAAGGATGAGTCAACAGTTTAAAGCAAACATGTTTGGTGATTTCAGGATGATGTTCCCCTTTAATGACAAATCTTAACAACATACTTTCAACTTTATCTCTTGAACTTAATTAATACCAGGTTCTTTTTATGTGAGGTGGTAGACATTGCCCCTGGCAACATTGACTCCTGGGCACCTAACCGTTTGACCTTTACTTCCCGGGTCACTGGATGTGCAATGAAAAGAATATAACTTGAAAACGGAAGCATTTTACTACAGTAATACTTATTTAGGAAATGTTCAGTGACTAATAGTAAACTAAATAAAAGTCACGATGACGTCAATTCGGAAGAGGGCACCCTCCAGCAGCACATTAAAAAAAAAATTTAATATTAAAAAAAACATTTGTCAAACTTTACCAAATGGCTCATAAATTCTTTGGACAATAAAATGTACTTTCCGAAGTTTCATAATGATGGCCTCATCAGACCGGAAGTTATTGTAGGGAGACCTTGCAAATGATCAATTTTTCAATTAAAATTCATCATTCGCTACCTATTAGTGATCATTGATGCCAAAATAATGTCAGCTTCATTCTCAATGATTGCCACCCTAATGCTGTGACATCATCAAACTCGAGGCAGGTGTCATACAAACACACAACAATGTACGTTCCTGTTATATTTATATTTCAGAAGAGAAGTTCTTTTCTGTTTATTTTGCATACCTGTCTTAAAAAATCACATCAACAAAAGTTCTCAGTATGCACATTTTTAACTGATGATGTCATCAAATTGGGAGTAATATATAAATATTAAAAAGTATTTTGCAAACTATCAATCCAGGCTAAGGATGCAGTTTTGTTCAGATTCTTAAATGCTTAATAGTTCCATGCCCCATCACGCTGCGTTTGTTACATAGACAAACGCAAACCTCTAGATAATTCTGATATGGGGCAGGAGCCAGTGAATTTAAAAGAACAGAGTCATTATTATTATTATTAAGTTTTCAAATATAATGTGATAAATAAAAATTGCTTTATATTTTGTTGAATGCTTCATTTGAAAATTGAATAACTTTTTATTGCTACAAAAATAACAAGTAAACAGTTAAGTATGAGAAGGAATCTATTTTGAGAATTACAAATCATGAGAACATAGCCCAGAGAGTATGTACAACTATATAAGAGTACATGTTGCATAACTGTATAGCCAAGACCTTGCAGTTATTCACAAATATTCATGTATGGTGGTTGAAATGTAATAATGTAACAATGTAAAAATTCTACATGACCGGGCTTTAAGGCAGACCATGTATTCATTAGGTATTTATACATCATGAGGACTGAGAATAGTGACAGTGCATTTATATACTGTGCATATATTACATTTGAGTTCTTCATTACCCACAGATCCATGGGCAGTTGCAGCCATCCACAGCTCTGAGCAACGCTTGCTTGTGTTGGATGGAAGCAAGTATGTCAAGGTGTTCAACATGAAGGACAACAATCTTGTTGTGCAGTTCCCAACGTTGCCTAAGAATCTGGTTGACGAGACACAAGTGGACCTATGGAGCCTAGCAGTAAAAAAGAATAGTACAATCTTAGTGGGTGATACCAAGAGAATGGTATGGACTGAACACAGACCCACTGATGGTGGGATCGTACACACCATACCAGTGCAGACTCCACCTTGCTACCTGGCTGTTGATGACGGCACTGATAGAGTTGTTATCAGTGGAGGTGACACAAAGAAAGTGGATGTTGCTGATAGCAAAGGTTCAACAATCTGCACCATCCATCCAGCCATTAATGGTAAGCCAGTGTGGTGTCGTGGTGTATGCTGTGACAGCTCAGGCATCTACCTTGCAATGTACATGTACCAAGTTGTGCCTGGCACTGGTCATATTCACCACTATGACCTAGATGGCAGGTTTCTTGATTGCCTGGCTCAGGGTCTGCATGACCCACGTGGAATAACATTCACATCAGAGGGCCAGCTGGCAGTGGCTGACATGCACTCAATAAAGCTGTATAACAAGGTTTGATGTCATCCAACATGACATTGACTAGCAATCATCATCATGAAATTGTCCAGTCATTACAGCACCAATCAACATTCATGTCCCATTCATTCCAAATCTCTCCTCAAAAATCCAAAACACAAACTGCCGATCCCTCTGATGTGAACCATTTTACCGTACAAATTCTTAAATAAATAGTGCATCAATTATATCAGCCGTGTAATTCTCAAATTTCGTATTCCTGACTTATTTAGTTGTCGAGTTATTAGAAGTTTGTCATTTTTTAAACGTACGTAAAAACAATATAAAAACATAGGAATTCTGGGAAGGTTAAAAACCACCACGCACGCTACTGTGGATGTTGTGTGGCATTCAAAAACGATGTCACCCGTGCGCGCGCGGCCAACCACGTTGACAGGCAATTACACGCACAGTGCCGCACTCTCCGTAGACTTTGCACACAACCGCTGAAGTGGCGTCTGGATACTGCATTCTTTCGATTTGTTTTAGCAGCAGTGCGCCTGCGTAAAGGTAGCCGCGAATTAGGCCAGATACTCTGCTGCGTATTCAAAAGTACGGAGGCCATTAAACCACACAATGGCTGTGATTAATTTTGATGTTTAATGCGGATTTATCTAAAGCATTAACTACTGTTTCATGTATTGTCTTGGTGGCTATATGCAATGTTTCGGCGTGCTTAATGTCAAATATTCATAGTTGCTTCTCTTACATGCTTTTGCCGATCTCAGCCACATTAAGTAATGGTCACCTTGTGGTCACTGCAGTGCGAGTCAGTATATAGACAAACCGTTACAACGGCTATTTAGGCTGATATCCGTGCTTGTGGAAGCACATTAGCTCTAGTTACATTTTGTTACACTACAACGTCTTATATAAACAGTGTATTGACTACAGTTACATTTGATTTGATTGGGGGACAATTTGTTTTAATCTTACATTTACGATGACTGGAATCTGAAATTAAATGGTAAATTTGAAAGGAGAGGGGATTTTAGTGGGTGTTGAGGTGTTTGAATGTAATGACCCCGCCTCCTCAACCCAACACCCCTCCCTCAACCAGTACATGGATTGCCATAAATCTATCCAATACTAATTACCAACTTTGTGTGGTGTTTATGAAGCCCCGGCTTTATTGTGGCTTTCGCTTAATCAGCCATCCATTGGCCTTGTGTGACAGGATTTGGTGTCTCTTAAGAAGAAAATAGACCAATATTGTACTGAAGTTACAATAGGGGAGAAAAATCATGAAGCTTGAAGCCAAAGCCAGGGACAAAGCCAAGATTTCATAAACACAATTAAGATTCTTAAATTGTTCCTGATGGAATTTGCTGTATATTCTGCTATCTTTTATAACAAAGATTTGAGAAAGTTTAGGATCTTTTCATTCTTGATATTCAACATTCTGCATTTCTCAGTTCAAATGCGCGCATATTAGTGTTCAAGAAAAGCCTTTATTCACTCATTTAATTTTGTGTTACTCTTTTTGCAGTTTGCATGTACATACATGTATTTAATTAATAAAATGCTGCTTTTCAAGTAAATTGACTCGTCCAAATGTATCCTAAAGATGAGTGACAAATTACATTCTATTAATGTGGTTTCAGATCTTCATTCACAGAATGGAGAATTGTGTTGATAGTGTTGATGAGGTTTATATCTTGACCTTATCAGAGGCTTTTAATAGTAGAAGCCAAAGCTGGAGACAAAGCCAAGGTTTCGTAAACGCCCTGAGATTCTGAAATGTGTTCCTAATGGAATCCACACGTAATCCTTTATAAATTGTACATGTATTAGCACTTTTGAGACAGCTTTACAACCACTTCATCCTTGAGTTCTAACCATACTACAAGTAGTTTATGAAATAATATTGTTTAAATTCGTTTTAAGCATCCGCATCACCACGATATTTACTGTTCAATATAAGCATTTAGTTACTCAGTTGTTATATTAAATAATGAAAGGTTTGCGGAAACACCATGTGCGAATAATTTCTCAACTAAGAGAATGGTTCTGAAAAGAACCAGAGTAAATTAAGTATTTACTTCTTAGAGTTTAGGCACTCTCCTGAAGACGGTCAGAGCATACCGACCGGAACGTCGAGTGTATACCTCTGGTTCTTTTCAGAACCATTCTCTTAGTAGAGAAATTATTTGCACATGGTGTTTCCGCAAACCTTTCATTATTTAGCATCTCCACCATGAAAAGCCTCAAATCTTACTTAGTTTTTATATTACTTTTTGCAGTTGTCGTTTACGCATTTTATTTTACGATGCACTTACATGTATACTGAAGATAATTTACTCATTGAAGTGTTTGCTTAAGATGAGTGAAAATTAATTGGGTTTCCTGTCTTTTTTCACAGAATGAAGACTTATGTTTATGAGATTGTTTTTATCTGGATTTGAAATTTTGTCAAATATCCCTTCAGTTTGAATGATTAGAAATCATTTGACGGAAGCTGAATTTCAGAAAGCTATATGACCTCATTTGCCTTGATTTTGGCCTGACTGCCACCTTGAAAAGGTCCCACACAAAATAGCAAATTTCTAATCCAAGTTTTTCCCTTACAAACCGAACAGATTGCCTCGTCTTTTCAAGAATTTAATTGCACACCTCTGTTTTCGTTGTTTTGCACTTTTTTGTTGCCATTTCAGAAAACTTAAAAATGAAAAAAACAATCATCACCTAAATTTGGATTTCAACAAAAATATATAAATTTACTTGCAAAGTATCAATGATATTGTAAAACTTAACTGTTCAAGTAGATTTTTAAGCGTTTAACAATTCCCCACTGTATGTAGATCTTAGTAGTCACAAGACTTTGTAAACTTCCTTTATGTATATTCTGCAATATGTTCCTAATAGAACATAAAATGTACTCATTGTAAACTGTGCTATATCTTTACATTACATTTTCTGATAATAGAAATAACAGCATGTACAATAATAATTATTCTTTATTTCTGTTAACTTCACTTTTTAAAGTCGCGTAGGATTTGCACCCATATCAGTACCTGCCGATTTAATGACAGAAACCTCAAAGTGAAGATAGGACTGGTAACAAATACCCTGTGAAATAATTCCACCTGAAATGGTGTTGTCAGAAAACAAACATTGAAGGTGGTTTCAAAATGGGGTGCCTACAGAATCCAGTTACGAGATCCAAAGACTTGTGCATTATGTTTTCTCCAAAATGTATAGTAGCCACGCAGCTAAGACTTGAACAGAATACTTGTTATGCACCGTACTTAGGCCAAAAAAAACCCTTCTGCTTCCGATTAAATGCCTTTCAAAAATTGGGTCGGTCGGTCGGAATTTTTTTTGGGGGCCATTTTTTTTTATGTTGATTGAATGGGATATTCATGCGAAGTTTTAGCCTGAACTATTTCCATTGCACTAGGATAGCTACACAAAAAAATGGCCACGAAAAGTGAATAAAACCTACCTTTAATTATTGTCAATATATTAACGTTCGATAATTCTTTAAAAAAAATAATGGAAAACTCAGGTCGTGCGCCCCTATGTGTGCATATGCCCTTCTGCCGGGCACACCTCACTCATTAAAGATGCTATTATAATAAACTCCGGTGATCTCATATTCCCCATATTACGTGCGTATTACATCCATTCGTGATTGAGGAGGTATCTAGAGGTAGTTTGTTGCATTCACTTTCATGGTTGTTTGTGATATTTAAACAGTTTGTAGGTGGTGTGTTTTGTTCCTGCGTGGGGTAAAGTACACACTGACGGTCGTTTTATCATTTCACTCCTAATTATCGTTCTAATTATTTATTAAACATGTAAATTACTTAGAGTTTTTTTGATCAGATGTTGCACTCATAATTATCTTGGTCTTAATCATGTAATCAGTGATTGGTCCATAATAAACGGTTGATCCGCGTATACAAGAATGCAAGTTGCACTTAGGGACCATTCAGAATTTTCAATGTTTTAAAATTTCGATCTTTTTTCCAAATTGTGGGTGGGTGGGTCAAGCTAAATAATTGAAAATCGAAATTCACTTTCCATGGAAAAAGATAAAAAAAGGAAAAGAAAGATAGATCTTTTGACTTGCCTGAACTACGCGCAAGCGTTCCGATATCGCGATGCGTGTTTCTTTTCCAACTTCGTCCCCTGTATGTACTGTACATGTACGTCATGTACGTGTATATAGACCCACTGTGGCATGAGAGGGAGGTAGTTTTTCAGTAGACTTGGACGCCGGGCGTTTGTAGCGGTTAGGCCGTTCAGAGGCAGCAGGGTACCAGGTGTACTAAGATCGGCTCTATAACACGCTGCGGGCGTAGATTACCTATCGCTATAAAAACTGGACTATTCAACCACTGGACTCCAAGACTACGAGGACCGTAGCCTGTGATGTGATGTCTGCCCAAACCTGATGTTTTTCTTTCGCTCGTACCCCCCGCCCTGCAAACAGGGAGGGGGGGGGGGGGGTACAAGCGAATGTTTTTCTCAGCTAGAGAAATTTTAAAACCTTGAAAATTCTGAATGGCCCCTTATATTGTTCTTATTGGTGCTTATTGACCCCTGGTGACCTTTGACCTTTTCTTAAGTAAGGATGGCACCGCTTGAAACTTTCTTAAGTCCAGAATTTTACTCCAGCACGGTGTAAAGTACACAATGACACTTGTTATATCCTTGCACTTTTAATTATGATTAAACATGTAATTAGCGCTAATTAAAGACCTTCTTAATTGGACTTTGCACTCCATATCCTGTTCTATATTTGCAGTTTTTGCCGTCTTTATATGAATGAGTCTTTTTTTATAAAAGTATAATTAAAAATAAAATCAAGTTACCGGTAGGTACATGTATGAGAACATGTGGGAGTAGAACTGAAAGATGTTATGCAGCTAGTTATACATAACATTCGATCTTAAAACGTGATCATTTCAAGTTGGACAAACTGTAATGAAATGGTTTGCCATCCTGATGAGAAACAATAACAAAATTCTAGAATATGCATGTAATATGAAACTTGAAAAAAGTATTATCTGGCAAGCACTCGATCATTGCATGTGAAAAGGGTTCGGACTGTGTCAATAGAGGGCGCTGTTTCTTTTCTTTTTTTCATGCAGAATTTTCGGCGTTTTTATCCCAGATTTTCTCATTCCAAACAAACTGTGGATCGGGGAACAAAGTTTTTTCGACACGGTACATCATAATCTACATGTCTGGAAAACTAAAGCTCTCGTAAACTAAAGCGTTTTCGGCCTCTCGTCCCACGGACTATATGGATTAAAACTGACTGAATCTCAGCTCAAGCTTTATTTTTCTGTTTCACTTCTTTATGTTGGTGCAATGTTTCTCTGGGCTATACTGTATCATTGTTCACACTCAAGTTGCAGCTCTACCGTGGCAACCCTGCAAGGCAATGCGTTTCTCGGTTATTCTGTTCTTTTAGTGTTCTTATTGTTTGGACTTTTTTGACATGTCCCATAGGGTTGTACACGAAAAGCTTCCGAGGACCGGGCTTATGTCCTCGGTTATTGTTATCACAGGAGTCCCATTGTCCCACTGGGTACTCAGTCGTAAAGTGTAATATATCAGTTTTAGATTTGCAAACACAGATTTCATGGAGTTCAGCTTTAATTTCATCCTAGCCCTAGTGAATTACCAAACATAAAATCATTCGAATTTGATATTGAAATTATGTGGAACGAAATTAAAGTAAACGCAATAGATGCATTTGTCAAAGTATCCTTAGAATCATGTATATCATGTTTTGTTCAGTCTTAGCATAATAATCTGTATCATCATTGTGTGGAAATTGCGAGTAAATCTAATCAAATTAATTCAAATCATGTGGGGCAATGTGTCCTTGGGCCGCGTTGAAAACGAACAAAACCAGGTCAATTACCGACTTGAAATCAAGTCTATAATCAGTTATATATTCATGGTGACCGTTTTAGCCGATTTTCGGCTTACTTTGACAGATTTTTTGTTAAAAAACGAGTTTGACAGAAAATTTGAAAGAATGGAATTTTTTGGCAGATTTCTGGCAGAATTCTGCAAAAATGGTTATTTGACAGAAAAACATAGCAAATTAAAAAAAAAATGGTACATTTGTTTGAAAAAGCTTCAATCTTTTCAAACAAACCCTTGCATATAAATGGGACAGGTTGGCTAGTCTAGGTGCTGAGGTTCACTGGGAACCGGACTTCGTACGCAACCGCGCGTTTTGCCTGAAATTAACGCAATTTCATAACATCTTTATGTGACTACAGATTGTTAATAATGTAATTTCAACCTTAATACTACAACATCTGGATGTGATTTTAAGTGTTTATAGTGTATTTCGAGTAATTCTGAGGAATTTGGCAGATTTTTAATAAATCTGACAGATTTTTAAAGTGCATTTAGCAGAATTTTGCCATAACCGTACGGTCACCCTGTATATATTTTATGTGACGTCCATCAAGCTAGAATATCTGCACATGCACTGCGCGCGCCTGCGCTCATTGGAAAGTCGAACAATATGGCGACGACCATGGCTGAAAAAGATTCGGACATAAAGGCGGATCTTGAAGAGGAGGTTGTAGATAATGCCGAAGCAGGAACAGAGAAAAAGAAGAAGAGGCGAAAGAAGAAAAAGACAGGTATAAATTGAAAGCCTATTTCGAAATCGTTCCCTTAGATTTTTGAAGATTAAGGTGGCAAACTGGCAATGAATAGTGGATAGGGAGTCCGGCGAATTTCATTTTTTAGTGGAAAAGGGTAGGGCCTAGGCCTAATCCTTACTTTTTTTAGGACACCTCTATTTTTTACGAGTTCTGTTCAAAACTGACTTTTGCAGATGACGGTCCAGTACCGAAGTGACTTTTGCAGGCTAAAGCAGTCTTTTTTTCTTCATATAAACTCATGTTAGGCCTATTAGTTGTAATTTTGAAAGCACGGCACTTTCAAAGAAAATGTGACTTTCCTACGTTTTTTTCGCAGTCAAACGTGCATGTTGTAGTTCTCACATGCGTGAAAGCCCTACATAATGAAAGCCCGATGCTGATTGGCTGCTAAAAATAATAAATAAGATATTTATTTTTTATCAGCCAATCAGCATCGAGCTTTCATCGCATCGATCAAGCTTTCAAGTTTGCCATCTTGGTTTTTGAGTCTGTTTTCTGGTTGTCATCATCGTCTTTAGTACCCCTGAATTTCCCTCATAAATCAAAGCCCTGCCCTCTTTCCACTAAATTAAACCTGCTGATATTCAAGAAGGTGTCATTGCCAATTGTTCAGATGTGCCAAGAAATATCTTAATGTCAATTTTGAGTGTCATTTAGTCAACTGTTTTGGTGAGTCTTTCCCTTCCTAAAGTAATAGGAATGGGGTCCTAAAAGTAAGGATTACCGAAAAAAATATCATTTTTTGTATCACTGAGAAGAGAATTACACAACAAAAATAAATGGCGTTTGAATCTGCTTCATAGGTGTTTGCATTTTGGAGAAACAACAATTTAAATGGCCGAATTTGGAATTTCAATTCAGTAAGATTTACATTAGACCTATATATTTTAAGCATCTTTGATCAATCTCAATCAGGTCATAAATTCTTTGCTGACCTCTTGATTTGTCTGATTTTCTTGACAGGAGGATCTGCTGTAGAAGCAGAAGGGCATCTGCCGGTCACTAATGGAGAGGTGGACAAACTGACAGATGAAGTCAAGAAACAAAGCTTGGGGAATGGTAATGAAATACATGTGGCTGTTTGATGTTCATCTGTAATTAACCCTAACTGCCCTGAATCCTTCAAAATCCTCTTTGCCAAAGTGGAGGAATTTGGAGGATAGAGGTTGCATGGCAAAAGTGCATGACTGATTTCATAGGATACACTTTGTCAAGGTCTTGGGCCAGACCATGTGTTGGTTTTGCTCAGCCATGCATAAATATAGGCCTGGATTAAGCTTGAAATCCTCCGTACTGCTCAAGGATGTCACTGGCCAAGCCTCAACATATTGACAGTCACTGCCGCAGGATTTCGCAGGATTCAGGCAGTGGTCACCCCTCCAAATAATGGAGAATTTTGCAGGACTGAGGCTGTATGCTATTTTTCCATGAGGCCAATTGGAGGATTTTGCAGGATTGAGGCTACATCCTAGCAAAAAGGCCTGGGGAGTAAGGGTTAAAGCAAAAGTTTTCTAAAACGTTTGTCCTGAAGATGCTGTGGAACTACTGGCTTCCGTGCCACTGAAATTGCCATAAAATTAAATTTTTGTGGAACAATTTGAAGTCAGGGAGTGCAGGACTTGCTTGGAGAATGCATGCAACACAGCCTGGGTCGAATCGATTGCTCATGGGGTCGAAGCTAATTCCTGGGTTGTTTGGAAATCATGCAGCATTATATTCTTATTCCAAAAACAAGATTTGGACATTATACTTATTATTTTACCACTGAGTGAAATATATTTTAATGAAAATTGTTCGATAAAGATAAAGAGAAAAAAAGAAGAAGCCTGCCTTGATCAAGCATGCTGCGAACCGTATCCCCAGCCTAATGCTTCCCCAGCGGTGCAGCCGGGTTATGATCGGCCCTATGGAAACTTAATGCATATGCATTTCGCTAGGCGCATTAATGAATAACTTTCAGAATAAGCCATTTGCGAGTGACCTATACCCTTTGGGATTTAAATTTGAAAAACATCTGGTACACTGACTTGCTCAGAATACTTGGCACATTTTAACTTTGAATTCTCCAGACCAAAAACACTGTTGCTAATCACATGATTCGGGGCAAGCTCTTGCATAGTTATGTAAGAGACGTTCAGCCCCAATACATTGTTTACAATGGGTGAGAATGGCACAAAGACACCAGACCATGCTGGAGCTGGGGGTTGCTAGCGTAAGGCTTGCCCCGAATCACGTGACATAGTAACAGTCTCTTTGGTCGGGAGAATGCAAAGTTAAAACATGCAAAGCATTGCACTAAGTCAGCGTTCCAGATTTTATTCAAATTTAACTCGCAAATGGCTTATTCATATTGGTCAAGTCGTTAGACATGTTGGTGTGATGGCGGATGTAAACATGATACACAAGTACAGTACTAGCGAGCGCCGTGTTAGTAAATAGGGGGCCTTGTTGGCTTAAACACTTCACACCTCAAGTCTGTTTCTTCTAGGATTCTTGAACATTAGGCAGTTAAAAATTCACTGCCTAATAATCGCATAGTCTCACTGTGTACTTCATGTATTGGTTTTACTTACTTCTTTTCTTCCTTTTTTTTCAGATGAAGAAAAGGATGCTGAAGGAGAAGGGGACGGCGACACAGAAAGCAACAAAAAGAAGAAGAAGCGAAAAAAGAAGAAGGGTGGAGCCGGTGGCAATCAGGGCGGAGAAGGGGAAAAGAGCTCGGAGAATGGAGTCGGAGGAAAATCAGGGGGAGCAGCGAGACAGACTGACCCTCCAACCATCCCGGTCTCACAGCTGTTTCCAGACGGGGTGTTTCCTGAGGGCCAAATAATGGAACACCCTGAAGTGGATGGGTGAGAACTAGGTCATTCTATAAACATTTTGGGTCCACTGGTTTTTTTCCTCGTCCCTGTTACATCTGACATCTAAGATTTTATAATGTTGATGTACTCCTCAACCCTAACAATCCCCATTCAGTCAAACTCCAACACCATGGTTTGTTGGAGTCTGTTGGAATGAGTACTGGGGCCAATTTCACAAAACTCATCTTATCTAGCGACTCATCTTAGGGCTTAAGACGAGTCCCCGCTCTAAGATCGATCTTAGCCAAGACTCATTCTAGGAACAATTTCACTAAACCCGTTTCAAGCGGAACACATCAAAACTACCAATTTGATGGCTGTTCTTGACAAAACACTCGTTGAAAAGAAACGCACAAAACTAATTAACACAAACTTAAGCCAGAAAAATTACGATACATTTCACACGCAAGGTAGTTCTACAATAGATTCGATAGTGTCATTTTCTTCCTTGAAACTATAACTCTAGGCCGACACTCATCTTTAACAGCAATGATTTCCAGACAATATACAAATTAATGCACGCATTAATGAGATAAGACGATCCTCAGACCGATCTTAAGTTAAGACGAGTACAGCCGCGTTGCTAAGAAAGTTAGGACGTGTTTGAAATCGATCCTAGGATGAGTAGCGAGAGTTAAGAAGAGTAACCCTTCCTAAGACGTGTCTTAAGAGTTTGGTGAAATCAGCTCCTATACTAGGAAACTGATAACGCTTTACATTGGGTCAGGCATACCACCATAATCAGAGTCCAACAGTTTGGGAGTGGAGTTTACCATAATGGTGTTGGAATTAGATGGGTTGATGAACGTTTTTAGGGATAAATTAATACAGTCGCCCTGCCAAAAGTAATTATGAAAAGCAAACTACCTACTCAATAAAGAAGAAATTGTTTGAAGTCATTATTAATATTACTTGAATGCCAAATAAGGCTGTTTTCAAAAGGACTTTTGTGAATAGCAAATTCAAAATTAGCTCTTGGGTCAGTTGTACTGGGCATGCATTGTCTTGCTTAACCCTTACTCTCTGAGGGTAGTTTACTGCATGTCAGTTGGTTATGCCAATGCCCTCCAGCTGCAGTTTTTTGGCAGATAGTTTGTCTTAACAGTGAAGGCTCCAATTGGCAGGAGTTGGAGGCCCTGGAGGGTGCGTGATACTGACCAGCTGGGGGCACTCACTTTGTTATCAGAGGACTCTCATTGTTCTCTGTGGCATGTATTGGAGTGCCTGTCCAGTTACCCTTGAAATGACTTGGCAGATATTGGAGAGCCATGCAAAAAACATAGGAGATTTTCTTGAGGCACATATTGGCATGCGTTGGAGGGTCTAGTAGGGTAAGGGTTAATTGATTTTAGAACTGTCATAGGTTTTTTGGCTATTTTGAAATGCACTTTTGTTTTGGTAAGGCTTTAACTGAGTAGTCTCATCAAGGTGTCATTTTTCTCTTGTAATGGCATTGTTTAGACGCACAGCAGCCTGGCGCATGACGAGTGAAGAGAAGAAAGCACTGAACATGGCACACAATGACGTGCACAATGAACTACGACAGGCAGCAGAAGCACATAGACAGGTCCGGAAATACGTGCAGAGCTATATCAAGCCTGGACTCACCATGATCGACATTTGGTAATATATTTTGCTTGTTGGGATCCATTATAAATCAAATTAGGTTTTTGCCCTTCACCGACGTTTGAACACTGTATACTCAGTGTGTTACCTCCCGAGTGAAAGTTGGAAAAAAATCACTCGGGTGGGACTCGAACCCACGACCTCCTGCTTTCTAGTGCAGATGTCTTACCACTCGACCACCGAGCTAACGGGATCGGTTGGCTGGTTCGAATCCAACTTTCACTCGGGAGGTAACACACTGAGTATACAGTGCTCAAACGTCAGTGAAGGGCAAAAACCTAATTTGATTTATATCACCCCGACGTGAAATTCCATTTTAAAATAGTTTATGTGGTACCCGCGGCTATGTACATCAGATTCGAACCAGCCAACCGATCCCGTTAGCTCGGTGGTCGAGTGGTAAGACATCTAGAAAGCAGGAGGTCGTGGGTTTGAGTCCCACCTGAGTGATTTTTTCCAACTTTCACTCGGGAGGTATTACACCGAGTATACAGTGTTCAAACGTCAGTGAAGGGCAAAAACCTAATTTGATTTATATCACCCCGACGTGAAATTCCATTTTAAAATAGTTTATGTGGTACCCGCTGCTATGTACATCAGATTCGAACCAGCCAACCGATCCCGTTAGCTCGGTGGTCGAGTGGTAAGACATCTGCACTAGAAAGCAGGAGGTCGTGGGTTCGAGTCCCACCTGAGTGATTTTTTCCAACTTTCACTCGGGAGGTATTACACTGAGTATACAGTGTTCAAACGTCAGTGAAGGGCAAAAACCTAATTTGATTTATCACCCCAACGCAAAATTCCATCTTATAATGGGATCCATTATACAAATGCTGTTTGCTGTGATTTAGTCCATTAAGTCGATTCTGAAATACAATGCTTTGGTCGTTGATATGCATTGACAAATGCATTTCCCGGAGTACATGTACATTACCTAACCCATGCTCCATTTGATCTGTGATGTGCAAAGCAGCAAAGATGAAAATGTGCAAACGCTTTTGAGAAACGATCAAGTTGATGTACCAGCGGTTCATGAGGTGATTTACTCTGTGGACTCTTATCAGGTCGTCATGCATGAACTTCTGACAGTGTTGTAGTCTGATTTCTGAAATTTAGACATCACATGTAATAGTCCTCACCCAATGAAACATCACAATCTTACACTGCGGTATAACTATTGCATGACTGTAAGATAACAAACATCTTGTTTCCCCATCAGCGAGAGGCTTGAGACTGCATCTAGGAAGCTGATTGATGAGAATGGTCTTGCAGCAGGGTTAGCCTTCCCTACAGGCTGCTCACTCAACCACTGTGCGGCCCACTACACTCCCAATGCTGGTGACTCCACTGTGCTGCAATACGATGACGTCTGCAAGATTGACTTTGGCACCCATATAAATGGTAACTTTCATTTGGCTTTGTCTTATCATTGCTTCAGCACAAGGCTCCCTGGAAAGGGAAAGGAGTGTTTGTATCTTTGTTCGCGTGTGTTTTGCAGACTCATCAATTTCATAAAAACCCTAATTTTTCAAAGTATAGTTTGTGTAACCATGTATACATGTATAACCGTCCCCGCATGTTAGTGCCGTACCGTATGTTACACGTACTGTACATGGGACGGTCCGGTTTGTGGTAGCTTTCCACACCGGCATGGTGCGTGATGCGTGAACAAAACCCGGCCAATTACCAACTTGATATCAAGTCTTTAATACACCAACATGGCTGCCAGGCAAGTGCACGCGTGGCACATGGGTAATGGCAAACTCATACACCATCTCACTTTTCATTTGTCAACTGATACATGTACATGTATGCTCAGCTTTGTGTCTGAGTAAAGATGCTCCAGTGAGCTGTAGACAGGGAAAACATTGTTTATTAGTAAAACATTTTTATTTTTTGCTTTATTGAACAGGCAGAATAATTGACTGTGCCTTCACGGTAGCATTTAACCCCAGATATGATCAGCTTCTTGCAGCCGTCAAAGACGCTACTAACACAGGCATAAAGGTACGTCGTATAGTGTAATTCACTGAATTAAATTAGAAGCCGTATTTGGAGGGATGCCATGCCCGCGCGCATGCTGTGCGCATGCCGCACGCATGCCGCGCATGTTCTCAAAGACAAGGTGCGCGGTCATTTTGGTAACAGTATTGATCCAAGGAGCCTGGAGTGCTTGTGTACTACCTGAGCGTGACTCACGCAAGCCTGGTGCCACCGCAGAAATGGCTGTCACCAATTTGGTCATTGAGTGTTTTTCACAAGCCTTGTTAGTCTTGGTCCAAGGCTGGATTTGGGTTTTGTTCCCCTAATGCAGCCGGTTCCTTTCCCTGGCAAGCAGGTAGGGGTGCTATAGCAACAAGATGAATCAAATCCAGTCTTGGAAAACCTCTAAGCATTCTTCATGTGTGTTGAATTCAAACTATTAAACTGAAATGCACATAAAATATCAGTATTGATGGAATACTTTTAAGCCAGCAAAGATCTAATCAGCCAGTTGCTCTTCAAGTTTATAGTATCAGTGCAGAATCATGTGAAAATTGATACTTTCCTTGAAAACGAAGTAAATACATTTCATAGTCAAGCTTTATAAAGTTCCCCATTTAAACTCAATACAATCTTTGTACTTATTGAATTTTACACATGTTAAAAAGATTTATATTTAAAATTGAGAATAGGCCAACATTTTCAAAAGTGTCAACAAACAGCTGGATACTTCAGTTGGCAAAGCACTGTAGCAACTTCTTTGTTCCTTGGTGAAATGCAATCCTACTAAAACATGTAAAATGTATTCTTCCTTATTTGCTTCATAGCGATTGCTGTCCTCTTTTATAGGCTAATATTATAGGATGTTTGCATAAATCAACATTTTTATTCACTTCCGAAGAACAAAAATTATGTAGGGATCTACACTAAATGCAAAATTCTTCCCAGTTTTCTGTGAAGTTCTGTGTAAGTGACGCAATAAAACCATTACTAACTCAGTTACTCAAAGTGAGTCGCAAAATGGGTCGCAAAGTGGGTCGCAGAGCGGGGCGCAGAGCGGGGAACAGAGTGGGTTGCAGCGCGGGTCACAGAGTGGGTGACAGAGTGGGCAGAGCTTCTGGTATTGCAGTCAAGAGTTCTCTGGTCCAACTCCAGTCTCGGCCACAATTTGTAAAACATTATTTTCTGTGTTGTTCCATCCATAGGAGGCAGGTATCGATGTGAGATTATGTGACGTCGGGGAGAGAATACAGGAAGTCATGGAATCCTACGAGGTGGAACTGAACGGGAAAACCTACCAGGTCAAGCCGATCCGTAACCTGAACGGTCACTCCATTGGTCAGTATAGGATACATGCTGGCAAGACGGTGCCAATCGTCAAGGGTGGTGAAGCTACCAGGATGGAGGTGGGTACCAGATAAATCACGAAAAGATTGGTATGCAAAATGTACATGTACACCATGTACCTATACGTGATATTGGTATTGTTGGTACATGCACTGTTATATTTAGGATACGCGCCGTTGAAAATGACCGCGCGGTTGATTTCTCCTTAGGATTTTGAAAAGTTGACAGGCATGTCAATGGTGTGGTATCTAAAGATGTGATTGGGTAATTTGTTGGTGGGCAGCAATAATCTTTTCCCCGAAGCATGAGCATAAATTGAAATTATTTGTCGTGTACTCACAACCACCCATGTTTTCATCCATGCCCATGTTGTGAATTCGTGCCAAATTACATACCGTATGTTTTGAATATTCAAACCATTGAAAAAAGTGAAAACACAACATTGATTCACCAAATGATCCCAAACTTTAAAATGTTTATCTCTACAATAACCAATTGGAATAACCAATTACAGCAAAACAACAAACAGAGAATGTAGTCCTGTACCAATCGTCCATGGCTGCCCCCCCCCCTCCCCCACCCAATCAGTCAGAACACTTCGCACATGCCAAGATAACAACTGGCGTGTAACGATAAGCATATAAGTAGCCTCTGCTATCTCATGATGGGCACTCCAAAAAGTCACTCCACTTGGAGCCTGAGCTGATAAAATATTTCAATCGCATGTGCTCCTTTTTGGAAAACGTTAGAAATTATGCAGTATTAGCAGAAATACATAATTCAATTAATTTTAGCGTTGAAGGTTTATTAAGGAATTGAAGTTAAAAATTCTGTGTTTCATATTTTTGCATAGTCTGTGCAATCTTGACATTTTTATGCAACTTTGTTAAACACTGTAAACATTTGTTTGTGTTCTTGTTGATTTACATTTTTTGATGTTTTTATATTGAGTTTTTGAGTATCGAAGCTGGAACAAATGTTTCAGTATTATTACCGAGAATGGTACTTTGGGAGACATTCCCATAGAGTTATACACAAACATTTTCAAACTGTCATGACCCCTTTTCCCCTCATCCTACCCCCATGAATTTTGGTACATTTATGTTTAGGACCACGAGCAACCGATCTAGCCTATTTGCGACATTAACATTTTGCCTCTAAACAGGAGTTGTGACATTAAGGAGACATTGAAATGTCTCCATAATCTACCCTAATTTAATCTACCTTTGCCACACTCTCAAAAAAACTTCAATATTTGTAAATTGCTTGCAAAGTCAATGGCCTGTAAGAGAGCAAGGGTTAATCTACCTTGTCTCCCTAAGATATAACTTATGACCAAAAAAATGTCTCCTAGTTATGGGTACATTTAAACCGGCCACGCAGGAGAGCTACGTGCTGAGCAAAAAGCCATTCGAGGCCATTTGCTCAGCACGTAGCTCACCGTGTGTGGTGAACTGTTGCTGAGTTTTCTGCCTCGCGACACCGTGAGGCAAATATCTATCCTGCGTGATAAACTCACCGCCAATGAAATCATGTACTCTGTACACGTGATTTTGAGATATTTTGTGCAAATCTTCTAAAGCCTGCTGGCGTTTGTCGAAATTTTAAAAAAAAACAATGTGCTTTTATTGGCTAGTTAACCTTTTTAGCTTAGCACATAGCTCACGTTGACCGCACACGGTAAGTTTTTCACCTCCCGACGCGAAAGAAATCAAACAGGATAGATATTTGCCTCATGGCCTCGCAAGGCAGAAAACACAGCAAAAATTCACCGCACACGGGGATATTTTGTGAGCTACATGCTGAGCAAACGGCCTCCAATGACTTTTTGCTCCACACCATAGCTCTCGTGTGCGGCGGGCTTTACAGGAACTAGCCTTCCTACATCAGCATTTTACCAACATTTGTAGAAATGTGACAGTTGTTACTAATAGGAATTCAACTGTTTGAACCCATTACCAGTTTTTCAAGTGATCATGACTTTGAATTTCTTCTTTTTTCCCCTACCCAGGAGAATGAGTTTTATGCAATTGAGACCTTTGGAAGTACAGGCAAAGGCGTAGTGCATGATGACATGGAGTGCTCTCATTACATGAAGAACTTTGACGTGGGTCACGTACCCCTAAGGTAAACTTAGTCAACAAAGAGTTTTGAGTTTACATCTTACACTGACCATCAAGTACATTTAGATATTGTCATCTGGTTTCACATTCAATTTTCAATGGGTAATTTTAGCTAGGCTCATGTAAAAACCAAGTCACAAAAATTGTGACTTTTCCCACAAAGATACATGTACAGACATGACAAAGTCTTGAAAACATTTGGGCTGTATTTCGATAATGCCCTACATTGGCAATAGTTTTGTGTCGCCTACACAAAGTTTGGGGAGACACTTGACCCTAAATTCCAACATGTTTTATATCGTTTTTCGATCATGCAACTTTTCCGTTCTTTTTCTTCTCGTGAATGCCATTTCAAGTTTAGAAATACTGTACGAAGTCTTGTGTGGTTTGGAGTTTCCTTGTTTTTTCTAAATTCCCAGTTGCATGCCTGGTTTTTCTACACAGAATGCCCCGTGCTAAGCTCCTTCTTCACAAGATCAACGCCAACTTTGGCACCCTAGCGTTCTGTAGACGTTGGCTGGATCGTATCGGGGAGACCAAGTATCTGATGGCTCTCAAGAACCTCTGCGACACAGGTAACATTGAAGGCTAAGCCCCACTGGGTTGTCCATTAGCACACCATTTTGAATATATCAAGACTCAAACAATGTTCATGAATACGTGAAGACAGTTTACTCATTCCTAGTGCTCGAAAGCCCGTCACGTTGTCTTCAACCGTCATTCTTAAATAATTACGACAGTTTAAACATTCATATTGGTCGAAAGCCCATCACGTGGGTGGCTTTGACCAGTTCGCGTCAGAGGATGTGATAACACGCACTGGCTGTATTTATACACGGGCACGGCTGACGGGTTAAGACGTCAAGATTGCCTTGACTCGCCTCCGGGTGACATTCTAAACACGCTAATCCCTTGTGCCTTTTGTACACGCACACAAAGTCAGTGAAGTCTGTATAGGCGGACCGTGTGTTGATCTTGAATTAACTGTTGTGCACGGCCTATTGTTGTATAATTTACGCTCCAGTGCACACCCCGGAGTATTGAAACATATGAGGTTTCGGCAAGAAACATCGTACAAATACTGTTGAAATGACTCTTGCGGATCAATATTTGTGGCGTTTGGCTTTATATCAGAAGTTGGTTGGAAAATGTTGCCTTTGGTCATTGCAGGTCTTGTAGATGCATACCCGCCCCTGTGTGACACCAAGGGCTGCTACACTGCACAGTTTGAGCACACCATTCTGCTGCGCCCAACTTGTAAAGAGGTGGTGAGCCGGGGCAGTGACTACTAGTCCCAAGGAAGGCAGGAGGCAGTGAAGGATGATATTACCCCTCATACATATTTATGAGCCAAATGGGCTTCTTTCATTGGTTGATGTTCCAACGCAGGTACTATCTCCCAACCAGTCAGTAGTTAGGGAGTTGTACAACAAGGTAGCTCCTAAACCCCAAAATATGTAACAAATTATTACACAAATTTTTGTTGGAGGGATTTTCTACGGAATTTTATAAAAGTTTGCAAAAAGGGTTAAATATGTATGAGGTCTAATAAACAAAACAGAGCATGGTCTATTTTGGGCAAGTAGTACGAAATCCTTCATCTCTTTTTTGTTGGCTAATTTTGACTGCATCCCTCCTCTTCCCATCGGGAGCTAGTCCAAATCAGCCAACACCTTAAAACCAGTAACTTCACACTACTTCCCCTTAATAAACCATCTTGGACTTGGATAGAGTACCAAAGTCTGACGTCAGCTGTCTTTGTTCTGGTTCATCATGTTCATGTGCTGATGTCTTCACACACTTAAAGGGAATATACAACATTTGCAAACATCGAAAAATACAACTCAAAGTTTTAACAAAATACCTCACTAGGATGTTGGTAAATGACAGTCTAAAGCACCCTGCAAAATTATGGCACCTGGTGTGAAGTCATTTTCAAGAAAATGGTATTTTTGTATAAATTTCCAACGGTGGTCGGCCGACCACCGTTGGAAAAACCTAACTATTTTTCAACTACTGCTCCAAATTCACCATTTTTTCACTCCAAATTTTATTTGCTATTGGTTACATGTTCATGAACGGGTGCAGGCCAGCTAGACTGGTTCCCTTACCTTACAATTTTCCGGCATCCATAAATTGGTCCATTTTATCTTTAGTGGAGTCGGGGAACCAGACTACTCCACCGTTTGTGTGTTTCTTGTTTTTTCCAGCATTTTCGAACACAAAACTTCAAACATGTCAGTGAAATAATGTTTGATCTATTATAGTAACCCCTCAAATAGCCCATTTCAGAAAATTACAGCAAAAGCCAATGATTTATATTCCCTTTAAGCTATGTGTGTGAACCAGAATATGCAGCACAGTTTGGTACTCTATAATGCACAACCTCAAAATGAAAAGGTTGTTGTCACTAGACTTTAAAGAACACATCTGCGTCCTGTAGAAGTTGTTTACTTTTCATTCAAGTTGGTCACTGTACATTATGGCCACAGCATTGTGGCATTTATTTTTGAAAATACGATGTGTCCCCAGTGTTGTAGTCAATTCCATCACAAGTCCTCATCACAAGACCCTCACAAGTCATCCCGTCCCAAGTCAAGTCACAAGCTATTCCTTAGTCCGAAAATTTGGGACTCTCAATACTGCGTATGAGAGTCCCAAAACATAGCCCTAACAGTCCTGAATCCTCCAATTTTAATACGATTTTGCACACCCCTAGGGAGGTATATATATGGTGCAGAAGTTGTTGCTGCGTAAGATAAACTAGTGTAAGTTACATATGCAAGCTTCGTACTCACTACAGTTTTCTCGACGTTCCCCGAAACTTCTGCCTTGATAAGTTGCTGTTTTGAGCATTGCATTACCGAAAATTACAGCTTTTAATTCTAGTTTTGCAGAGAGTTATTGAAATCGAAACGTGAGATATTATGTTGATGTGTACCGCAATGCATGGTGGATATCAGTCCAGGTTTCAGCTATAACATTTTCACCGTGTAAATGAAAACAGGCTCCTCTTGTTGATACATCTTCACACCGTAGAATGGTTTATTTTTTAACAGAGGGCCCTATGTTCTTTTGGCCATCGATTAGAAAACAAGTAAGCTTCTTGATACCTACATTTAACCCAGAATACTTTGTGAATCACACGAATGTTACTTAAAGCATGGAGAAAGACGTGGATGGATTTCGAACTGCCATTAACTTGCCTTCAAATTTAATTTAAGGTCTCAAATTTCGCAGGCGACATGCTTGCAACTGTAGCATTTTGATGTATGTGTTGTGTGGGCGTTAATTTGCCGAATGTTGAGTGAAAAAAACGTCAGTAGTAATATTGCACGTTTTTCAGCACTCCAGTTCCCAGTCTGGCTATTCCTATGAACTGAGACAAAGGCATTCCTTTGTTATTGATCGTCCCGTGTTTACTTGTGACTGGACTTCTGGAAGGACTTGTGATAGACTCTGCTACAACACTGGACATTGGAAGATGATACACAACCTCAAATTAAAATGGTTTTGGTCATTAAAAAAGAAAGACATCTGTATCCAGTAGAACCTGTTTTCTATTCGCGAAACATTGATCATCGCACATGTACATTTATGAGACACCTCAGTTATGGCCACATCAGTGTGGCAACTGTTGTCCAAAATACAACTCGCTTCAACGGCAACAATAGGGGTGACCCTGTCTGCACTTCGGTGTGTGCTTGAAATCATGTCTTGTTTTGGTTATGCTGGAAGAATACTTACTACGTCATAGTGGTATAAATTTAATGAGTTGGGGGGGGGGGCAAAATGTCCCTGCCCCCCTCTAAAACTGAGAAATCGAGAAAATGTTGAGAAATGCAGGATTTTTTGGGGGAAAATATGTTTTGCCCCCCTCTAGAAAAACTCCTGGCGACGCCCATGCGCACAAGAGAGTTTTTGAAATCTTTTCTGAGGAGACCAATCCATTTTGGCCCCGCCCACAATGCACCTGGCCAATAACACCTGTGCCTCTCCAATGTAGTCAGCTGCATGTTCCAGCTGTGCATGTCACTTGATTACGCAATCACGGCTATGATTGGTCAATGCTTCATGGGGCGGTGCTTAATGGATCTGTGTTTTTAACTATAGGACAGTCAAAATATAACCCACGCACATGTCTCATGGAGATATTTTCTTAAACGCACAGACAAGAAATCAAGAAACAAAATAGTTTTGTACATAAGATAGCATATTATTACTTTGCCTTCATGTTAATGTCTAGAGTTTTCTAAAAGAAATTTCATCCTTTTTGTAATCATTCTCATTGTCCCGAGCATGGAAATGGGTTTCCTCCTTTTTTGAAAATGTCCTAGTTTTTTAGGGAGAACACCTGTGGAAAATTAAAAAATATGTACGTAAATTATTAGCAGGTCAGCTTTGCTGGCTCAAATGGCCAGTAATGAATAGCCCTTTCTATTTGGCCACTACCAGAGTATAATTGAGGACAAGTCGCTAGACAGTTGTGTTTTGTCTGTCTGGGTCCCCAATATTTACTAGCACGGCGCTGTGTACTGTGTTAATCATTCGTTGCTGGCCTCGACTTGTCTAATAACTTGACTAATATGAATTGGACAGTTATTCATTTATGCGCCCAGCAAAATGCATATGCAATATGTTTCCATGGAGAGGGCCAATGAAAGCCTACCTGTATTGCTGGGGAAGCATCCATTATTAATAGAGTGGGGATATCTTTCGCTTGATCAGTGCACGCTTCTTTCTTTTTTTTCTGTTTTTCGAACGAAATATTATACATTCAGTGGTAAATTAGAAAATATAATGTATGTCAAAGTTTTGTTTTATGAATAAGAATGTAATATGACGGAATACTGTTACAACCCAGGAATAAGCTTTGGACTCGCGGAGCAATGAATTCGCTCCAGGCTGTGTTGCATGCAATCACCACACGTCACTTGTACACATGCATGTGCACCGAGACGCGTACGTGTCAGGTGTTATATAAATATTCATATCTTCCTGATTCTTAACCAATCAGAGTGCTCCTTCCAAATCTGATGGCAAGTCCCATACGTTGCAACCTCGTCCCCGGGGTGTCAAGCAGTACCCACCCACCACTACCTGCTCTCTCACCCTGGTATTGGATCACTTGCATGTGCAAAATTTTTGAACACGTATGCAAATGATGAATAGTCTGGTACCTGCCTGTGCGTTACTTTAAAGTTTGTCTTTGTATGCGGTGTCTAGGGCAAAAACAGAATCAATTCGTCGCACCGTGAGTTACGAAAACAAGATTGGGGACTTCTTTAAGTTAAAATGTTACAATCTTATCCTTCCAATATGCAGTATCACATGTCATATTAATATGAGCAAATTGGAAAGGAAAGGAATATTTTTGAGAAGGCGTTCACCAAGTAAGCAATATATTTCCATTACTAGCCAATTGTGGTATCGAATCAGGATACAGGAAGAAAGCTTCCTATCCAGGGCTTACTATTGGAAACGAGGTTGGAAATAAAGTAAGCACTGGGGACGAGGTTGCATGTGTTTTGTACGAAGCTGGAAGCAGATTATTCAAGTCGGTAATTGGAATCGACGTACACTTATTAGGGCCGCAAATGCACAAATCGTTCCTTCATGTTAGGGCACACTTTCAGCACACTTGCAGCTGAGTTTCTTGTGTCTTGCATTATTCTAGCTTGTCTGCAATCATTTTGTTCATTTTGATTTCTTCTTCATTTCCGAGTATTTAAGATCTGTTGGGACATTCTTGAGTTCATGTGGTAACAAAACAATGTATTTTGTCAATTTTGTATACATGTATTTAAAATCTAAAGATTTCTTTGATTTTTTTTTCCGACATGAATTTATAGTAACATGTCCTGGGCATATACGAAGTTCAAACTTCAGTATTCGGTAATGTTGGATACTAATTCAGTAATCTTTCAGACTTTATTTCATGGTTTCCACGTTAATGAGACTGGCATGTTATAAGAAAAACTTGTCAGTTCCGAGTTTGATCCGTTTGATATTTTTAATGCCGTTAAGTACTTCACGCGAAAGCGAAGCGATGTTCATGTGTTCATGACGTCGACGATTGAAGTTTCATTGTGATGTTCGCGGTATTTACACGGTTGTGACGGTTTCGCGAAACCCAACTGTCGGGACCATTCTTTTAGTTCAGTTCTGCATGTTGCACTTTCAAAATCCAGGATATGAAAGCCCAATTCATAAGTTTCTTTTAGTACAAGAATCATTCATATCATTTGTGTACTTTTCAAGTTACGGAATTTTAAACACAACCACCGTTTTAAGTATCTGTCCACGGATCACAAAAACGGTGTGTGTGATTTGTTTTTGTTTTGCTGAAAGAACACTTACCTTTTTTTGTGATCCGTGGACAGAACTTTAAAACGGTTGTTGTGTTTAAAATTTGGTGACTTAAAAAGTACATGAGTGATTTGAATGATTCTTGTACTAAACGAAAGCTTATGAATTGGGCTTGCATATCCTAAATTTTGAAAGTTCTTCATGCAAAACTTCACGGTCCCGACATTTGGGTTTCGGTTTTTTTTACTCACCCTGTATGCAACAAACAAAAGAAAGAGGTTAACAGTATAAAGGGTGATATTTTTTTAAATTCTTTGCAGATGGAACAGTTCCAATGATTTATGCCCAATTAATCACAGAAAAATCGTCCTCTGCTGTCTAAGCTTATGACCCCCCCCCCCCAAAAAAAAAGCCTATAGGGTACACCTTTTATGTTCACAATTCATGAACATTTGCACACAATAATATTCATTTCACGCGGTCCTTTGAATTTTTTCCCCAGTTATTAAACAAGCATGATGATAACAAATGAGTGACTGTGTGGAGTTTGTGTTATCTTGTGTTTGTTTACTGTTATTTTCAAACTTATTCTAAAGGGGTTTTATTGGCCATATCGAATAATTGTTATCGTCGAACGAACAATCTGAATGGAGAAGTCTTTCGATTATGTTCTGCATCGGCTGCTTGTCAATTCACGTGCATTTTTTTTGTTACTTGAAGGCTCAAATGCAGCAATGAACTTTGCTGGTCTCGGGGGACCAGCCTTGTGTCGTCTAAACACACACACACACACAAAAGTCCACACTCATGGTAGGGGTCATGATTTTGAATCTGATCATCTTATAATGACGTCATTTATATAGAACTTTGGGGAATTCAGTTAGCTACATTTTGATACCCCGTTTGCTTCCAAAGACTATAAATTGTCTAAGACCGACAACGGTTTATAAAAAAAGCAGTTTGAAAAGTTGCAAATGTAAAGATTAAGCGAGGAGAAATTTCTTAGCGCATAACCACACATGCCCGTAATTGGATTCGACCGCATAGTGCCCAAAAACAAAGCGCGGGTAATTCAATTCGTTTTCCCCCTCCATGCAAGCACTAGATAGTGCGATCGGTATTCCCTGCCGTTCCGTTTGGGCAGTGTGATATTGTCATGCATTGACCACTCGCGTAGTCTTTTAATATGCATTTTTTCTAACTGCATCATTTTTCATAAACCGTTGTCAATGTTGGACGATTAACTGGCATTGGTAGCAAACGAGGTATCAAGTAGCTAACAACATTCCCCAAAGGTCTATGTAAATGACGTTATCATACGACGACCAGATTCAAAATGATGACCCCTCCAGTGAGTGTGGACTTTTTTGGGGCGGTGTTTATGACACTGGCTGACTTCTGTTATTTTGACTTTAGACGGTTTGAAAGCTAGTCAAGCGAGCCGGACATGTGCTGTCGTATAGGCCTAGACCAATCCGGGTACCCTATCACGGAGGCCCCCGGCAATGGCGAAAGCATTGTGCTTTAGCTATTTTTCAGTTAATTCGTCCCGGGGCAGTTGCTTTGTACAATATCGTGTACAGTATAGGTTTCTCCGTTGAAAGGGAGCCTTCTTGTTCTTGAGTGTACAGCTATTCGTCTATAAAGGATTGTCCCATCAACAACAAAATAGGCTCAATCCGGACCATTGTTTATAGACTATTCTGAACTTTATTCTCTTAACACTGTGACAGGCAGCCTGATTGGCAGCAAAATGTCACTCTGGATAAACCGCCAATATCTCTGATTAGGACTTTTCACATCTCACAGCTCCTGCACAATTTGAAGTTCACGACCGGCGGCAAGGGGCTTTTTTCTTCAGAAATTGATGAAAGTTACTGTGAATCCAAACACCTGTTAATTAATTGAACGTGATAGGGCAGCAATGTGTCAAAAGTACATTACGTCAGTAATTAAGCAAACGTGTATATATTAGGAGCTCAGTCAGTACTGACGCTCATTTGTTAAAATTGGTGATGCTTTCCGATTTTGGTGCGCGCAGCAGCAGGTTCTAGTGTTGTGAAGGGATAGTCTTGTGAAGGGATCACCTTATGAAAGGGATAGTCTTATTTCAGCATGAAGATTGTCATTCTTTCTGCCGTGTTTGTGGCTGTGGTCTCCGGCATGGCGCCGATGCACAGAGTACGGCCATCTCAGCGGATACCCGACAGCTACATCATCAGGTTTAAGGTAAGATATTTTGACTGGGGAAAAATGACTTTCCGTTAATGAACGATAAACACCCTCCTTACAATAGTCGCTTTAATACGGCGATGAAGCGATGGAGTGGGGGACGGGGGGATTTTTTTATGGGTACATGTATGTTGACCACCGACGTACTGGAGTAGCGGGCCACAGTGATGCCACGCCAAACTATGGGTATGCTCGAGTAGCTTCCCCGTGTATACACGGGGTTAACATTCGTGGAAGCCACAAAATGTGGCTAATTGGGTAGGCGTTACAATCACTGTGTGGACCTCCGAACAAAATAGGTCCACATAAACCATGTAGAGGAGACGACGTGTGGACTCCACACAGTGTTTCCCCATTCCTGGAAAACAGGTTTAGAGGCAATTTGGGGTTAGGGTTATCCGTGGCAAAATGAAGAGAAACACCAAAGGGGATCATAGAAAAAATATTGGGTTGAATTTTTTTTCACAGTTTGAGAAAAATGAGTTTTTTTCACTGGTTTTTCTTAACTACACGAAACCAGGGGAATGTCCACACTTGGTATGTAACGTAAGCATGGGTGAACGCAGCGGTGTATAATTTGTCTGGCATTCTGGGAAGATTAAGGTCAAAGGTTGTTGCGCGGCGGGAATTTTAACATATAAACACGACAGGCATACTGTCGTCTGTTCGCCAGGTAAAACTTGTGTTAAAGACCGTTTATAGTTAGGCCTAATATAAGTTGTTTCATTAGTAACTGCGTTGAAATGTACTAGTTGGTGATTTTGCTGCATGCACGTTTTCAATTACTTCACAGGAGTCTGCTGCCAGAGTGGACGTATTACGTAGAGTGGTGTCCTTTGCGTGGGGGCGTAATATCAAAATGGATGTGACCAAGGTGTTTTATCACGTTATGCCTGGCATAGCGGCCAAGATTCCGGACGACCGCATCGAGGAGGTAGGCCTATATGCCCATGACACCCAGGACTTAATTATCTCGTTCCAGACGGGCCCATTTTCATAAAAACCGATTGGTTCTTGAGTCTGGAGTGCTGAATGGTAACACATTTCAACCGATGAAAACGCACATGCTAATGAAAGATGCTTGATTCGGCTGACGTAATGCCGCTCCACCCGTATGATTATAGTCTAATGTCTTGTTTTGTTGTTACATTGTAAAAACTATGTTCAGATTTTAAACACTTTTTGTATGGCCACTTTTTCACATGTTTAGTCCCAGACGTGTAAGCCTATTTGTGCCATCAATGATACCAAGTTGTAAAAAGAAGTAAAGGTTACATTGTAATATTCGTCTTCGTATAGCTCGATTCCCTCGTACCCCCCCCCCCCCCTCGCCCTGCAAACAGGACGCTGGTCAGGGCTGACGTCATTTGAGCTCTCATTGGATAAATTTGCGTGACCTGTGACGTAGAACGCGTCACACAAACTGGCTTCCGGTGCCCATCATGCGAAGCGCGCGCTATAGCTGCATGCGAAGCCGAGGTCAATCTGTACTTCCTTCACAAGATTCTGTGAATCTCATTAGCCCTTGCCAGCGCCCTGTTTGCAGGGCGGGGCGTACGAGCGAAATAGCTCGACTCCATTTTGTGTGGTATCCAGAAGGAGAACTGGCCCCAAAATTGACCAAAAGTATGGTGCTCCACTGTGCCATCGGCGTCGCATTTTTCGCCAGAGCTTACTGTGCACTCGCACTTGTTATACAAGTGGCTGAAACAGCTAATAAAAACAAGAGTTTTGTTTCCATTTTCATCAAATCCATTTGTCAAGTCTGATTGTTATACTGTCGTTACTATGCCATATATGCGCTCTTTCGTCGTACCGGGTGGTTTTTGGCAGTATTGTATAGTTCTTTATGGCAAGGCCACATGTCCAGTCACCAGTACGACCAATAATTATAACGGAAAGCTTGTCGCATTTCATTTCAATATCTTGTGACTTGACTTATAGCACTGGAAGACTTGTGGTGGACTCGTGAGGAGCATTTGTGAGGACATGCGAAGTTGCGATTGACTCGAATCAATGTTGACTCCGATTAGTCCTGTAGCGCTGCATCACAAGTTGGATCCCAAAGTGCTTAGCAACTGATGTCTATCAGATAAAATCTGTCCTATACAAATAATCATGATTAGGCTCTCAACTTATCTATCGGAAATAAAGTATGAATTCGCGTCTCATTGTTCTAAATACCTTGATAAGTCAAACCCGAGACTTGGTCTACCAGTAGAAGGTGGCTGTATTTGACTTTATCAATAAATCGCTTAAATATCCCAAGCCCCTCACAAGCAGAAAATATTGGAGAACCAATATCTCTCCAAAATAGCAAACTCACACAATTCGGATGGCAACAAAACTGTATCGCACCATCCAAGACAAATCCACTGCAGCGTACTAGTTGCTATCATGGGGATCGGCGGATTGCTGTCAAGCCTTCCGCAATAATGGGCGTCGCAAAGGGGGGGGGGGGAGAAGGGGGCAGAAATTCCTTGGACCAATGGCCAAAAAAAACTATTCAAAGTTTGCAGCGACGACAGTACCTTTAACCTGTCTTAAGGCCAGAACCAATCACTCAACCTCGGACCAGCAACAGATGTGACTGCAGTGGCGGTTATAGGGGGGGGGGGGGGAGGGGGGGCCTAAGGGGGACTGTAGCCCCACAAAAATTTTGTCTAGCCTTCCCAAAAAAATTCCATAAGAAATGCACTAACAAAATTTTAAGAATGTGACGTACATGCGAACGGTCTTCACTTGAATAAATAGTCGTGAGAATGGTGCCTGGTCTAACATCTGAAAACGATTGCACCGTTGGCAAAATGTTTCTTCTATTATTATTAAAAATCCCCCAGATTCGTTCACTGGAAGAGGTGGATGAAATCTACGAGGACGGATTAGTCACGACTGCAGAAGCACAGAAGGGTGTTTCATGGGGACTAGATCGCCTCGACCAAAGGGATGGAATGGCGGCATTTGATGGCATCTACGACCCCAAAGGCAGTATCATATAAACATTTATTTTTAAAAATTAGTCTCTGAAATTTATGATATAATCATATTAATATAGGTTTTTCCGGCTATTTAAAAATTTTTATCATTCGAATTCACCGTTTCTAATATTCAAATTCGTCCATCAACATCGATTTAGTGCTCTCCAAATGTTTCAGTTCAAGCAAATTCAAACAATGAGCACACATTTTCGACCCGGATTATTCGATTTCGTCTCGTGTACGCCAAACCTTGTTATTCAGAAATCAAATTCGTCTAATTGATATGACGAATTCGATCTCTGAATGCTGCCATTCGGCAATAGCTTTGACAAATGTGATCAGTAGTGACGAATATTCTCGACCCAGTGACTAAAGAGGGTGACCAAACTTTGAAATTGAAAGGTAAATGACTACATTGGTTTTGTTAAAAGCGTGTAAAATTGTTCTTGGGCGAAATTGAATGTTAGAGTTAGTCAACTTGAATGAAAACTGTTTTAAAATAGCCGGGGAAACCTATACTGAATGTTGCCCGAAAAGTTCCCCTCGATACCGTATAGGGTCAGGGGCGCATCTGATATGAGAAAAATTAATAATGAATATTGGTCCTTTTTAATCCATTTCTTGTTCCGCAAAGGTGAAGTTGATCACACGGTGTACGCATACGTCCTCGACACGGGAATCAACCCGGATCACACTGACTTCGAGGGCCGGGCAACTCCCTGGTACGACGCCGTGGCAGACGGTAGGAACGGCATCGACTGCAACGGTCATGGCACTCACTGTGCGGGCATCCTCGGTAGCAAAACGTACGGCGTGGCCAAGGACACGCAGATCAGAATGGTTCGCGTGCTGGACTGCTGGGGAAAGGGCCAACACAGCACCTTATTGGCTGGTAAGAGCAAGGGAGGATCAGATGGGTGGCGGGGGGGGGGGGGGCGCCGGCAAACTGGGCGGGGGGAGGGCTCATTTGACGCTAGGGGTGCACTTTCCTCTATCTATACACTTTGGTCATATTTCACACATCCTTAGAGGGTGAGAGAATGAGTTGCCAAAGTTGTGTGACTCGTAACTCGAACCCGGACTCGAGTCACGATGACAAATAGGGCTTAACTCTGAATCAGACTCGGAATCGTCCCTGCAGACTCAGACTCGACCAGCGTGACTCGGGACTCGACCAAAATTTCCACAAACCACTTATTTTGCCAACAGTATATTTTGAAGACGATCCTTTTCTTTGCAAGCCATGCAGTTAATGCGGTGCAGAAGAAACGAACTGTACATTACACAGGGCGTGCGGCTGGCTCGTTTCCAATTTGTTGATGTTTGGGAAATCAAAGTTTATTCTGATATAAGGTGACTTAGACTCGGAATTGGGAAAGGATCGCAATCTTCAGTCGTTTGATTACCTATAAACATGACCTTTGGGGGGGGGGCATATTCGAGTCTGCTCGACCTGCCACCATACACCAGCGATGATAGACTTTACAAATATATTATGAACGCATGCGCATAGCCCATGTGCGAGGCGGAAGTGAAATTTAGAGCGTTGGTAGACCTAATGCATGGAAGAACGAAAATTCGGTGCAACTCTTTGAACAATTTTTGTTTCATTTTTTCCTGCATTATGTTCTGTGTGGATCAGGCATGGAATACATTGTGGCCAATGGCGACCAACCAGGAGTAGTGTCCATGTCACTGATATCGTATGGCAGTCGGGCGCTGGACGACGGAACACAGAAACTACTGGATAGTGGGTTCGCTGTGGCTGCTGCTGCGGGTAACAGGAACCGCAATGCGTGCTACTACTCCCCAGCTAGAGTCAAAGGCGTGAGTTGTGTTGTGATTGGACAGAAGTCGCTAGAGGGGGCTATAGGGTGTGACGCGGATACGTTGGTCTACGTGTGAAACTATACGAGTTGGTTACAACAACAAGGTCATGTACGAAAAACAATACCACGATGACAGCATACAAAATGTACCCGAGTGGCGAATTGTTGCTTTCGAGCAAACGTATGTTTTTTTGAATACAATTATACTTTTTAATTCCATGTTATGTTTTGCAAGATGGTGTGTTTTTATACCTTCCCAGCCCAAAGTGGTTGTTTTTGGAGGGGAAAGTATTACTAGTTTTCCCGCACTGAATGATCATACAATTTCGATCGAAATGAACTTCCGTTCTAACGTCGTTGGGTGTAACTTTAAATGCTAGTTTGGTAAATATTGTATTACCGGTAGGTATAGAAAAACAAATATAACGTTATTTCGGGTGGAGAGTCGCTAATAGCTCTTCCCCGGGTATACGAAGTTGAAAAACAAGTTTGACAACTTCCAATAACTCGTGGAGATGTTGACTATCCACCCTCCAAATCCTGTCATGTTTGTATATCTTCAAGATTCGTCATGTATTTTTTGTATTGCTAGATCATGACTGTGGGTGCGACCGATTTCTTCGATACACGGAACTCGGACTCGAACTACGGCAAATGCGTTGACATCTTCGCACCAGGCTCATACATCACAAGCCTAGGGCATGATTCCACGACTGCGACAGATACCAAGTCTGGTACTTCCATGGCCTGTCCGTTTGTTGCCGGTATGTTTAGTGCTAGAATTAGTTTCTATTGGTTTGTGTAAAGAACCCTATTCGACTGGCGAAGATTACAAAGTAGATTGGGATTCCATGTATTTCTCTTTCTACCAACGAAATGCGGCATTAAGAACCAATCGCCCTTGTTCATCAGTCTAAGATCATAAGATTGGGGAGTCATGTTCGAATACCGCCCGGGCCAAAATGTGGATTGGGCCCAACCACAAAACAAATTCACAGAACCCAAAGCCCGAGGGGATACTTGGCAATGTCGGTCAATCTTCAGAGGGGCTTGTTCATCAGTCTAAGATTATAAGATTGGGGAGTCAGGTTGACGTAGCGGTACTTTCCTCGCCTTCCACCGCTGTGACCCAGGTTCGAATCCCACCCGGGCCAATATGTGGCTTGGGTTTTCAGTCCCTACCTGATTCCGTGGGTTTTCCTCATAGTATTCCTCTGGGTTTTCCTCCCACCTCTAAAACTGTAATTTCTTCTCCTTGCCCTCTCTCTATGTTTCTTCAGGCTTTCGAGCTACAGTGCTTAGGGCACTTTTTAAGGAATTGTTGGTTCCATTACCAGAAAGAAAGAAATTAAATGAGGATCACTTGGCCTGAAGCTTAAAGTTGGTGTATACGTGCTTTTTGGGTTTGGCACCTTAAAAATAGATATTCAAATGGAGTTGATAAGGTTATGAGCTTTCCAATGAGACATTGCATACAAAAAAGTCATCCCATGACAAGTAATCAATGAATTAATGTCAACTTTTGAATTAAGAGCAGGACGTTCCTAATTCGTTCTGAATAGTGTGCGCAATTTCTAAATTAAAGCGCGCCATTTAAACCCATTTTTAAAAGTGTATAAACTTGGCTTGCAAAAACAAACAAGCAAATTTACTTATTACAGGACATTATATTCCTTTCAATTTCGTTCGGAAAAGAAATCAAAATTTGAAAATCAACTTTAAAGCTTAAAGGCATACCAAACAGAACTCTAATTGGTTCAAGTACAACCACAAGAAAGCTTCTGACAAAATCTCGATCTTTCTATGATCACTATTGACATATAGGCCTATGCGCCTTTAGCGTCTGCCCGGAGCTTCTTATGATGCATCTACAATATCATAGTCAGTAATGCCCTACTGATTTGTATCGCCTCAAACACACTTTTTTTCCTTACTCTTGCTGCATGTGTTTTAGCTAAACACGCGGAGCCAGCCGATTGTATCCTAAATGACCGAGTCATTAATTGACTGACAGAATATCTGCGCATAATACTGTTTAAAGGGCTTGTGACATGAATTTTATTTGGGAACATTATTTGTGCAACTTTCTATTCCTTCCTGCACTTCTTTTAACAATTAAAATGTTCCATGCTTTTCCTGACAAATGAGGGCGCTGTTGCTGTGATGTCACTTCAGGAAGGCCCTGCGCAGTTTAGGGGAGTTTCTGTTTAGACTGTGAACCCAAAATGTGATCTTGGAAAACATTTGTGAGAAAAGTTTGCCCATTGGCCTACTGTCGTGTACTGAAACAACTATGAATCACCAAAGAAAAGAAACATTATTACAGCGAACTATCCGAAATGCTGGCAAAGTTTGGGCTGAGATAGAGTTTTTTTTCCTGAAATGACATCAAATTTTTACTCATGAATATGCAAATTTGTATTAGCATAAATACCAAAACGGCAGCAAAGTGCCCTTAAAAAGGGCGAATTTAATATTGAAAATAAGGTTAAATGTAATACAAATTAAAATGCATTTTCAAAGATCGCATCAAACAAAATTACATTATACCAATTAAACTGATATCATGTTCTTGTTGTCATTCGACCAATTAACTGGATTCTTTTTGGTTTTTCTTCCCCGGAAGGTGCCGCTGCCTTACTTCTTGGGAAGGACCCCTCCCTGACACACGCAGAGGTCAAATCCAAGATCGTGGACATGTCTTCTAAGGACAAGATCACAGACGCTGGTGATCACTCTCCGAATCGATTACTGTATATCAACCTCAGCCAATAAAAAACCCAAATGGCCGTTAGATTTATCTTTAGGTCAGGAATCAATTTCTCCAATTTTATGTTAATATCGGTGGCTGTGTTTTAAATGCTCTTTGAGTTAATTGTTGATTGCTTGAAGACATCTCCGTCGTTTTGTGGGTTATATGTAGCTAAAGATATGATTAAATAATTAGACTATTGTATCATGCATGAAATGAATACAAAAGGTGCTTTTGAGAGCCGTTTTTCATGTGTTATCCATGATTCGGTTGGTTAGTAAAAACGTTATACTCGCGTGCGCACCACTGATTACTAGCGCCCATTGGATAAACAAGTTGTGCTAGCTTCCGGTTCCAATGGTTCCAATGCCACTTAATGGCCAGTGGGCGTGGCGTGAACTGAAGTGACGTCACACTAACCACTGGATAGGCCCGAAAGTGCAATTTGAGTAAAAGTCGTCGTTGGGGGCAGTAAACAAATCATAAGAAAAGCATTACGTCATAAACAGGACCCCTGGTGCAGCGTATAGTTCCGGCGAAACTTTTTGCAAATCACCCTGCGAAACTATAGATGCTTTTGTTTACAATAACTCTATGATATCGACAATGATACTGAGCGCCATTTTGTATGGGCGGCCATACACATGCTTCATAAATTCAACTTAAGTTGGCAACAGCTTTTACCCCCCCCCCCCCCACAATTCTCATTGACAAGTTCAGTAAGAGGGAGTTATCTTTATTGACGTTTTGCTGATACTGGTGTCTGTTGATTATTCAGTGTTTTCATAGTTACACAGCATTTTTTTATTGATAGTTTGTGGATTGATCTATCTATTATTGCCATAAATAATGTCCAACCGTAGTATTAAAATGTGATGAAATGAAATGAAATCACATCTTCATCGTCCATACAGCTTAGGCCTACATTTGTGTCATTGTATCTTCCCATACGAAGTGGCGTTCATTGTTTAACAACAAATGCTTATTTTACCATGTTTCATTTTCTGTTCAATTTTCAAGGGGGGAATCCGATGACTTGAGAAATTTTCATCTAAATATGATTACCCCTCAGTATTCATAAGATGAATTTGCATCAGGGTAATGCAACCCCTAAAGTAAAGTCATGAATCATGTCGCCTTTTTAAAAACCTCAAGAAGCTTTTGCTCCATTGCAAACAATTAACAAATTTAGGACCTAATTTCATCCAAATTTCACAGAAATACAATGTCGCAATCCTGATTACGGCTTCCACTTTTTTTTTTTACAAAGTTCATTACCCACAAAATGCTCTAATAGCAATGGAGGGCATACAAATCGTGATTTGGCCAGCGTAGGCAATTTTGAGCCTATTGACTGGCCTGCACTCTGAGGGCAGGGCCGCCCACTTTATGCCCCGAATTCCCTTTCACAAATGAAAAAGGGCAACAACATTCCGCCGGGAAATTCGATGTTCAGTTTCACTTTTATAACATCGACGTGTTATTAATTTGTCGAAAGCCATTTTTGCGTACCAGCAGAACGCTTCTCAGCGCATCGCTTTAATTCCACCGACCAAAGAACTGAGTCATGTAGCACGAAATAAGACGGAAAGAAGTGAACCCCCTCCTTTGTGTTGGTCATTGTGTTACCAGAATCTCTGGAATTCTTTTGAGAGTCATAACACCTTTTCAGAAGGACAAGTACCTATACTTGGTTGCAAAAAAGTAGGCCTAATAAACATTCAAAAGACAAGGGTAACCTTTTCGAGTTTTATTTTCTGTTTCTTGAAAGTTACAACAATACATCAAAAACCAACGTTAACCCTTCATTCGCATGGGTGAATGCATTATAATTTCGGTCTCATCTCGCAAAGACCTCGTAAAAGCAATATGGACATTCTGATGGACAAGAACCATGGGCATGCTGAAACATAAGCACGGTCGCGTTACCGATTAAACTGAGATCTGTGAGAGCTCGAGGAATTTAAAGATCATCACTGCCTTCTAAAGGGGATGTGAACGAACTAATGGCATAGCATTTACACGAAAAAAATGGCGTATTACTAGCGAGGAATTGGTGCTTTCAGGCGAACGTACTTTCATGTGTCACTTAAGTACCGGATTAGTTGTTTTAAAGTCATGCACTAAAATAGGCCTATTTAGTCCGGAGGACGATCCTATTTGTGATGAGTTTTTGGTTCCCCTACAAGGGTGTTTTGTACAGACTTGTCTCTAGACGTATATCTTGGAATGCAGAATATGGTACGGCATACGGCAAAAAGTGACTCAAAAATTATTTACCCTTGTCGATGACAAAAAACACCTTACCACTTGTCAAGAATAAAACAAATGAGCTCTATTCAATACGAAATCAATTTGAACGTATTTTGGATTAGTGGGTTAAAATCGATGAAAGATCGGTTGCTGACCGGAAAAAAGACAGTTACCAGAATCACGTTTTTTTTTGTTTTTTTTTGTGGGCGGGCTGCACGTTTTGAAATTGGCAGACATAGATAGTGTCTGTTTTTCTCTTCTTTGGTGTTTTTATAGGACAAACAATTGATACAGGAGAGATTATGGCGAGGGCGCGTACTGTGAGGTCAATGTGACGTCAGGTTCAACCATGGTTGATATGATCATCTTTCATTTACACATGGAATATTGCAGGTACCATTATATTGATTGTCCCTAAGCAAGCACTCACCAAAAAGCTAGATCAATAAATTCAAAGGCCAAGCAACAGAACTAATTTATGGAATTCTTGAAAAACACCTTTGTGTCCATTTTATCACCGCTAAGATTTTCTACTCAAATGAGGTGGGTTTTGAAACTAAGGTAAATTAAAATAGAGGAGTTTTAACCGAAGGGTTAACAGCTTAAATTAACAACGAGCACGTTTCACCGTTTTCCACTCAAGTCTGCAGTTTTTATAGAGTGTGTTGTCTCTTTGTCTTTGATAAAAAAAAATGCATGACTGACATCATTTGGCCAGATAAAAATTCATCGAATATAGGAATCGAGTGGATATGACCATACAGCGTTCAGATGGCATCACTAATGAATACAAAAAGTCAAAGTGAAAGTAAACGCTACATTGCATGATACCGCATGACGTTATATATACAGTTTACACAACATAATTATACACACTTGACAGGGTACCACTGTTACAACAAGTTGTTTAGGATTGACACCATTAAAGGCCTACGGTATATCTACATTCAAAAACTCATCGATTATAATGGCGAACTGACTACAGAGGTTGATACAGTTAAGGTTGAATAAATTCACATTTCAAAATATATGATGAAAATCAATGCATTGGTAATGTTTATATAAATTTTGTTCATTTTTAATATAAATTTTTAATATATTTTATGTATGTTATATACAGGATGGTGCCAAAAGAAGGAAACCCACTTTTGACAAAAATTCTAACCTACTAATGCCTACTTAACTTTGAACTTTTTTTGGTTTTTTTGTGAAGTATAGCTTAGCTCTTCAACCGTACGTGGTGAAAAATCTTTAAAAAAAATCGCAAGAATAGTGTTATTATGCTAATTTGAATACAAGTCACCAAAATCACTGGTCATTTTTCGTCACTTATGTTTAAAGATCAATATCTTAATTACCATTAAATTGAATCCTTATAATATGCTCAACAAGTGGGTGAAAATTGCTGACAAAAGTGGGGTTCCTTCTTTTCGCACCACCCTGTATAATTACATGGCCTAATTATATTCTGGGAAAGACTGTATACAGGGTGGGTCGAAAAGAAAGTGACCTGGACTTATGATTTTTGTCCTGAAAAAGCAATCAAATTTAATACACAAATGAAGTATATCTTAACCTTGCGCAGCGTTTACAAAAAAACTTTACAACTCGTCAACTGCTGCCCTCTGGGCAGCAGGTACTTTCCCGCACTACGCAAGACCCTATTCATAGCAATACAACAAAAAGCCACGTGCCAGACAGTGTCCAGACAGTTGCCAGACAGTGCGCTTGAAAGATAATTGACTGGCGGCTGTGGTATGCAGTTGTATGCAGTTATGAAGGGAGATGGCTCTGTCAAGTTACAGATCTTTGTTGATGTTTCAATGAGACTTGGCAGGAGGCCTGGTCGAAAGTTTGTTGACACGGCCTGGGTGAAGCCCTGGCTGCAAAGTTCATTGAACCAGCTTATTTGGCAAGGGTCGAATGAGGATTAGATGGATTATGATTAGATGGTTACCTGGGGCCCAAAGGGCAACAGGTCACTCTGCGCAGGGTTAAAATAACATTTTCTTCCACTCATCGGAAAATAACAGAATTACTGAAATTGATCCAGATGTTATGGGCCTATTTTACTAAAAGAACCTATTTTAATAGCTGTCCGTGGAATACCATTGGAACCTACTGAGCTCAATGAGAATTACAGATTACACACAAGCATTCAAATACAAATGAGATTTTAATCATCAGATTTTGTGTTTTAAAAATGAGATTAGTCAACTTCCCCCCCCCCCCTGAAATATTGGTGGTGAGTTTTGTCTGTTTTGTATGTTTACAGTTACTAGTAAATAACATGTGATTTATCCCTGCGTTATTTTTATGCAATAGAGCGAGCCACATACTAAAAAAAATCTAATCCGGTCACTCTCTTTTTGACTCACCCTGTTTACACGAAACATTCACACCGTGTTGAATTTTTAGTTCAATTCAAATACCGGGAGAAAATGAATATGAAACCACCTTAACGAAGTTCAATACTTCTTATTAATCGTTTATTTCGGACTATTTAAAATTAGGTAGGCCTAATTATGCAGATATTATTACGGATAACAAAATCTAGATGATAACAGACTGTTTTGTTTGATCCTTGATAACACTTTCACATCACACTCTAATAACAACGACACATGGTACACTTCCAGTGGCACATGTTGATTTTCGTACCATATTATTTCACAGTTCTGTCCTAAGATCTTATGTGCACAATTACTAGCATAAAACATTATCATCCATTTTAACCCAGTCCCTTATAATTATTTCTAGCTGCGCTGAATTACTGTTTGTACTACGTAATAACCAAACGTGAAATTGGGAATTATCATCACAATGTGAAAAATGATATTCACCAATGTGATTAACAACAGTAAAACGTCTACATTATTACATTAAAAAAGGAGTAAGGTTTACTTATGTTATGTGACATTGAGCTCTACATTGTATTCTATTGCTGAACATTTATTTCAACGTTGTTATGACACTAGAAATATTAAATCGTTATGTTAACATTTAAGCATACAAAATATAATACGAAGTAATTTTACACAACACCGTTATTAACATAATGAAAATATATACATAATCCACATAACAACACGGGGATAGGGTGAAGCGATCGCTTTTGTTCCCTGACCCGTTGGACACTTAAAGACTGACGGACAATTAAGTACGAACTAAGGACAATGACAGACAAACAGACAAACAGGAGTATCATAAGCTATTGTTGTATGTTTACAAAGTATCAACAGACTACGAATAAAATGTAAGAAGTTGTGTTTTAAATTTTTTGGTAAATGAAGATAGAGTTAAAGACGTTTTAAGAGGGATACTTAGACTATTCCAGAAACTCGTGCCACGTTGAACTATTCCATTTTTGAACACTGTCGTTCTATTGAAGCCAACATGAAGATTTTTCTTCGCGATACTCCTGGTTTTATAACAATGAACATTTGAAGTTAAAGTAAAACATGAGCTAAAACACAAAGGGAGCAAATTATTCATATATTTGTACATGAATTTACCGAGATTGAGACAATAAAGATCATTAAATTGCAATAATTTAAGATTGGCAAATAATGGTGTGGTATGATCTCGATAACCAGCATTGGAAATTATTCGAACAGCTCGTTTTTGTAAGATAAGAAGTTTATCACACGATGACTACCCACCCCAGATGATATTGGAATAGTTTAAGTATGGCAGAACAAGTGAATTATACAGAGTTTTAAAGATATTTTGGGGTAAGAAAAATCTCAGACGATTCATTATGCCAATAGTTTTAGATATTTTGCTGACCACGCCATCAACGTGGTTATTCCATGTTAGATTTCCATCAATAATAACACCTAGGAATTTAGTCTTGTTTACTTTTTTAAGGCTAATTCCATTTATGACTAAAGGAATCGTTTGAGTGTATTTCTTCTGTCTCGGGCAAAATACAATATAATGTGATTTAAGAACATTAATACACAGTTTGTTTGCTAGCAGCCAAGTGCTTATCTTTACAAGTTCACCATTAAGAATATTAACAGCTGTATCCACACTATTATGACTGTACATTAGACTTGTGTCGTCTGCAAATAAAGAAAATGACATAATGTCAGATGTATTACATATGTCGTTTATATAAATAAGAAATAAAAGAGGACCTAAGACAGAACCTTGTGGTACTCCGCAAGAAACTGATTGCTCTTTAGACATTATTGAATTAAATGATACAAATTGTTTTCTGTTAGACAGATAACTTTTAAACCAGTCTAAGGCTATTCCTCGTACACCACATTGTTTTAATTCATGAATGTTTTAATATTAGTCTTGAGTTGAGACTTGCACGTCCTGTAATCTTATGGAGGCCTCAGACGTCATGGTTTGAGCGCGACTTTCGGCAGAGGTACTACGCGTCACACTGCTTGAGATGTTGGAGCTATTCCGAGCTTTCTTGTTCTTCCTTCGCGACTTCATGCCCAGTTTGCCCCTCCATAGGTTCCGGATGCGGATGTTGCATCCGAAAGATATGAAGATGAAGACCCCCTGCAGCGAGTTCAGGATGATGAAGAGGTACCAAATGGCCTGATGGTCAATGAAGTTGCCAAGGCACCCGAAGATCCAGGTGAACCCCATAACACCAGATATCTGGTTGAAAAGATATAACGATACAACAGTGTTCAACTGTAAATGTAAACTGAAACAAAGGAATATTCAAGTTAGGATAGGGATATGCCAAGATCATGAAACATTATCCTTTAAAGGGCCCATGTAATGTACTTTTTATTTAATGTTTTTTAATTTTTTAATTGTCTTTGAAAATGCACTTTTGTGTCCCATTTAACCATATTTTTAATGAACATTTTGCCATTTCAAGGCCGTTTTGGTGTCTTTTTGCCTTTTATGCTCATGCAAATTTCCATAATCGTATTTTTATAGTTTTAATTTGTGAAAATTGTCTTGTTCTCATGATGAATAAATAAAATGAATGAAATGAATGGGATTAATGAATATTCATGAGCAAAAGTGTGATGTCATTTTGGGGCAGAAAGCTCGCTGTTACAGTTCCAGCATTACAATTTTCCAGAGTTTTTGATATTTTTTTGCTGTCTTAAATGTTCTTTGGTGATTCGTTGTTGTTTCAGTACATGACAGTATTCTCAGAAATATTTTCAATGAGCAAAATTTTGGTTCACAATTTGAAAAAAAAACAAACATAGTCACATCATTGCGCGATTTTAATAAATTTGTTGAACCATGGAACCGTGGTCAGAGTGTTTTTAGCGTGTGTTCTTTGCTAGCGCTTTTCTTCAAAATCATACAATGGATATACATGAAACTTTCACCAAATATGTCCAAAATACTAACCTATAACATATCTCATTTGCACTTGTTTTGATACTTGCTACATATGTAAAAATATTTTCTTTAATTTGCTTCATATGTAAAAACATTTTCTTTAATTTGGGTCCAGACCGGAATAGATGAGAAATTAGTTGGAAATAGATCAAACGTATTTTACTTATTATTTTCGTAACTAGGTCTCCTTGTTCGATCATGTCTGTTTTCACAATCGCGTACTTTTACTTGTGTGAGTACGAAAATGATAACGACGCAAATATACTAGCCTAACTCTGATGGATTCTAGATTTATTCAGGCTCGTTTGGATCACGTTTTAATACAACTCCTATCAACGATCATTTTAGATTTATTTGTTCCACGAGTCCACACGGAAGTTTCGGAAGTGAGATGTCAATTCTTGGCACGATATTTTAATTTCACGTTAATGGTATTTTTCAGTTTCCATAAAATTCCGAGGGTATTTTTTTTTTTTTTTAGGAAATCAGTATACCAAAACTGATTGCAAAAATTCGGACCTTTACACGTTAATTCCTTTTCCTTTTCGAGGGGCTCGAAGCGCCACAGGGGGTCAACTTCCAGGCTCTATACACGTTTTGTATGTACATTGTTGTTTGTGAGACGCTCTATCAAAGTAAAAAATATGCGGGCTAGTGAAAATGCCCACGGGCTAGTTAAGAGTCGTTTCAGTGGCCCGGCTGGCTAGTGAACAAAAAAGTTAAGTTCGAACCCTGAATTGGTAACATATGGAATTGGCGATATATACTCAAAGGGCGCTGAGGAAAATTGAACGAACCATTTTCCTCATCTTTTACACTTTATACTTAAAGCACACTGCACTGTGGGCTACTGGATGTATAACTTGGCACCCGTGATGTGCATGCCGGTGTCATAAACGATATAGGCCTACTTAATATGTGAGCGACATGATGGCACTTTTCGCATCACGAGTTTTTTGTTTATATTCCGTCCTAATGAAAATAGTAGCCTAATTGAAGAACAGACCGTCCGTAAATTGACAGCTTCAAATTAATATCTCTAAAAAGCTGTCAAGTTTCAACGATGGCATTCACCGAGGCGGCTCGACCTCGACTCTTCCATTACACAACCGTTAAAAGGCGACATGCAGCTAGCCTAGACTTGGTGCCAAGTCGGTAATTGATTTGCGTACGGTACCGGTTACTGGCTCCACGCACGCAAAATATCGCTGCAATGCGCGTGGTCTGGTTCCGAGACCAAATAATGCTGACTATTGATGTTCAATTACCGACTTGGCGAATACGGTTTCAATTTTGTATACAATATATGGGAGCATTTTGAATCGCTAGTGAATTCTATGCGAGCACTCTGATTGGTTCAGATTCCAGCGTGTATTCCAAGAGGCCACGGAAGATCATTCTTATTACTTCGAGGGTTTGTACTTTGTGTTGTGTAACATTTCAAAATTCATTATAGGGCATACACAATGATACATTTTGTTTCTATTATTGACCAAGCTGAGTGAATTGGTCGTTAAAACGTCACCAGATCTGCAAACATGTCCCTGACGACTGACGTATTGAGAAGAGCTCCCAATGTAACGGAATGCATGAGTTCTTTAGCATAGCGGTGCGCGATTGGATCTTACCGCAAAAATGCATTGCATTTCATATGTATTGCGCTGCTTGCATAACGGTGCGAGAACATAACCGTCAGGTCGTTATATGTCGCAACCCGGCCCATTACGTACTAGTCTTATACCAGACGCAGCGACGTAGTTCGACTGAAGTTCACGGACAAAATACGAAGAAATCTAACGACTTGTAGTCAAGTCTAGTGGCAGATCAACTCACCGTGATAATTTATCGTAACAAAGGCCGTTCCTAAGTGAACAAAGCCGGACACGGGGTACAGATGCTAGCGACTTGATGGCACTTTTCGCATCACGAGTTTTGTTTGTTTAATACTGCCGTCTTAATTTACATAGTAATTGAAGAAGAGTTCGTCCGTAAATTGACAGCTCCAAATTAATATAAGCTGTCAAGTTTGAATGATGACATTCACCGAGGCGGCACGACCGCGACTCTTCCATTACACAACCATTAACAGGCGACATGCAGCCTGCCGTCGACTGCACTGTATGATTAAGATTGGAGATGTGAATAATAAGACACACTACATTAGTCAGTGGGCTTGTGGTAGCCCACATGCATTATCGGGTACAATCTCTGAAACTCTCCGGATCACTTATTCAAAACCGCTTGATGCCATTTTTTCTGCCCCTTTTATGGGCGTGGCCATGCCTTTAAAAAGTAGGGGGCTTCGTGCGCAAAAAAAAAATGATTCAGATAATTTCACTTTTTTTTCTAGCATTTGGATAGCTCACCCAAAAAAATATTCCAGAATGTTGCCTCTTCGGGGCTGGGGCCACATTTAATAAAAGCGGGGGGCAAATGTCATTAACAGAAAATCGAGCTGTAAAGGATTTTTTTTGTTGTTGTTGTTTGTTTCCAGTTCAGTACAGTTAACCGGGTGGACAGAATGTTTACCTGTCAAATCATTGTGACATTTATGTTTTGATCTTTTATATTTTATCCTGAATACAACTCTGACCTCCCGTAACGGCCATTTTAAGCTTCAAAATGGCCGTAACTTACAGTTTATATTAAACTATTTGCACTTATTGGAAAAAAGTCTAGTCTTAAGACAGGTATCTGTCCATAGGTTCACAAGGTAAATCCAGATCTGGGTGGATTATACAAGATTTGTTTTATTTAGTACTTTTAAATATGGCATATTATTGAATATATATTATGTATCAAGTATATATATAATTATTACATAATTATTATTTTTTTCATAGAAATTCATTAAAAATAATGCTACTCCCCCCCCCCCCCCTTGCTCTGACACCCCCAAAAATGATACTGGTAATAATGTCCGCCTGTGCACAAAATACGGGCATACTATTTTGTAATAAAGTGTAAATCGTCGTAGTTTTGACAGCGCTCTCATTGAAACTATGGTACGAGCCCCCCCCCCCCCCCCCCCCCCCCCCCCAACACACACCTATTGATTTTCGGAGGCCAAGTGTCTAAAGGAAAAAAAAAACGTCTACATTTCCGATTTTTTGGCTGATGACCCCCCCCCCCCAAAAAAAAAAAAAAATCCGGGATCCGCCCCTGCACGTGGAGAAAATTTCCTATACAGTGCATAGAATTAAATTTGCGCTGCTAAATTGTATGCGGGTTGATGATTATCCATACAAGGTTATGAGCCCCACTAGTTTGCATTAAAGGCAACAGGCCAAAACTAGCTCCCGTTTATTCCACAGTAGGAATACGTAAACGTATGCTCTAATGAGAGCTACCTTTCGGGGTACTCACACGAAGAGAACAATGGTATCCCACAAGTCGGCCTTTGTAAAACGGTTCCCAAAATGTTCCAAAGAAGAGGGTTAAAGGGAGAACAATGCAAGTACCCCATCAACCCCATCCGTCTGTGTGTGGACACACATACCATTGAGTAATTGAGGACAGGAGTCAGATCGAGGACGTCCTCGATTAGAAAAGGTGTACAAAACCAATGGACACATTAAAATTGAATTGAGTTAAAAATGAAAGCTTAAATTGAGATGAACATAAATACAAAAATATCTACAAATTACAATACATGACCTCATATATCTTGCCTTTCCTTAAAATCTTCACAAAATACTTGATAGGTGCATTTCAAAAGGGAAAACTGTTCAACCCACCTTGAAATAAATCCACAGCTCTCCGAGCGTCTCCTGTGATTTGGATTTGTCCTGCCGAACCATCGCCGATGCTGCAAGCGATGCGTGCACGCTACGCACTGTCAAACCAAACAAGACTGCGTTAGCAATTAGGCTGCATATCATCGGTACTATAAAGGCACCAAGCACCGCATATTTGCCGATCACCCAGCAGGATTGCTCTCCACCATACTGAAACCCAACATGCTAACCGTCGACGAAGTGGATAACGAGGCACGTGGTGACAGCCAGAAGCGGTAAGCCCCATCCGTACAGGCAGTAAGTGAAGAAGACTTGCTTGTTAGGACGAGCAGCTTGTCTGGAAGTGAAGGTCCTCATGAGGTCAAAGGCTAAAACATTCATCCAAGTGAAGGTAGCTAACCATAGAAAGTGCAGCAAGACGGCCATACTGATGCAGAATGTTTGGTTCTCCGCCTTGTCCAATACGGTAAGGGTCAGAAGCTGAGCCAAGAACAGGGCACCAGTTAGACTCATGATGGCCCCACCAGGGACGTTCCTCAGAACTGGGAACACACAGTAGTTGGTGAGGGTTACCAAGAGAGCTACGACGGATAAACAGTAACCGATAAAGTTCACTAAAGTAAGTGGGTCTGAGAATGAAATGTAAGGTTCTTTTGGAGCCGAGAAGATACTGGAGCAGATGAGGATCCAACCATCGGGCAGGCGAGTTACCTGGTCTTGCAAAAACTTCCTCCCTTTGTACTCCAGCCCTGGTTCACCGTCTTCCGTGCTCACAGTCTTTGTTTCTCCAGCATGGGGTAGGCGGCACTCATCGTTCTCAAACGTTTGTCCGCATATAGATACCCTGGTGTCTTTAGCTGAGCCATTGAAGACTGCCATCTGATAGTTTAAGCTACGAAAGAAAGAAACTGAATTCGTTGCAACTCATTGGCGGTTCCATTGATAGTCCTGTTCTCTGATGTACCACATACCTCCACAAAATCAACCTGCTCAACTCCACATCTGACGACCCATTCCCTTGAGCTACCTTCCTCATATGGAGGCACGACCGTCAGGTCCAAGATTTCCTCGAAATCTGTGATATTAGTGACATATTCAGTGATCAGCTCTGTCATTTCTCCATCAAGTGCTTGCTGTTGGTGATCGATAAATGAAGAATAGAAAGGCCATGTCAGCTGAATGTTCTGCCAGCCGAGTGTGTTCAGGTAACATTGGGTAACCTCCATCACTGAAGAGTTTACTCTGTACGTTGGCAGTACGTGTAGTTGGTAGTGCTTGTTGTTGCACTTGATTTCATCCTGCAACTGGAGACTCGTGGATGCTTCGGGAGCCCACGGTTCAGGTACCCTACCTAAAAGCACTTCAAAATGGCCTGGCAAAACGTGCGAAACCTCGATCGGACAGTAATCCAAGGTAGAGATATTCACTCCGTTGCAGTATGCACAGTGTGGATTCTTGTACTTCAACCAACCAGATGTTTCGATAATAATTGCAGAGTATGACTGACATCCAAGAGCTATCTCTGGGTTCACATCATCCAAAGGACATAAACCGATCCCTACATCATACTCATCAATCCAGTAAAAACTAGAGTCAGTTAGCAGATATGAGCTCGCCAAGCCGTTACATTCGGCACAGTGTAGATTCTTGAAGAACATCCCTTCTTGGTATTTCATCGGACCTGGGTAGGAATTATTGGCACACTGCAGAGCCACTGCAGTGTCATTCCAACCTGGGCTACATCCGTCTACTATGACTGCCCGATCCCAATTGACCATTGTACAAGTGAATGAGCCGAATGACAGTGATGTGTTGTTGTCCGGGTCTTCTTGGAGAGAGCACCTTTCCTTGTAATCGTAGCAGCAGTCGCTACACAGGATACAGACCGCATCACATCCACACAGTTCGCCGTCAGCGGGACTTCCACAACGTCCAAGACACGTTTGTTTGGAACAGGGGAACACTGTCAGACCGTACATTGTTACACCTGAGTCAAGTAAAGAAAAACACAAATCTTCTTGGTTAAAAAATTACAAACACATATTTTTGGAATACGAGAATAAAACTACATGTTTTAGTATATTCCCATCAACAGACTCTTCCATTAGTTTATACCTCAAGCGTATATTTTCATGTTTGTTTCATCAGTATGTAAGGGCACTAAAAGGTAAAACCATATGAATGATTCAGAGCCATAGGAAGCAATTAGGAAGCATTTACACCCACCTGTGTCAATAGGATTCACGTTGAGACGTGTATTGGGTTTATAAGCAGCCTTCCCTGTTTGTAAGGCTTTGTCGGGATAATAGTTCACAATTTAGTTTCGCCCTTCACAGATGTATTTTTATAAACACTGCATACTCAGTGTTGGCCCTGAGTGATTGTGAAAGAAAAATCACTTGGGTTGACCTCCAACCCACAACCTCCTGCTTCCTTCTAGCGCAGACGTCTTACCACTCGACCGCCGAGCTTGCCGGGATCGGCTGACTGGTCCGAATCAGATATAGCAGCGCATGCCGCTATGAAACAATTCATAAGATGGAAAATGCGTCGGGATGATGGATATTCAAAAACGTCGGTGAATGGCAAAACCTAATTTTGAATTTACACCATCCAGACGCAATTCCATCTTATGAATCGAGATAATATTCCACTCACGCTAAACATTTTTTGTCATATCTTTTCTACCATCGCTTTGGACGTTTCAGCAAGTTAACATTGTATGCCTAGTCCATACCTGTTTCACATTCGACGTGAAGAAGTTCATATTGATGACGCTGGCAAGCGTTCTGGCCTCGTACCCATCGTACTTTACCAAGAGATGAACCCAAGAAAATTTCCCTCATAATCAGCTCCTCTCCGGTGCTGACGTAGCCAGGGGACTCTGAGTATGGGATCAGCTTTGAGACGTAAGCCCAGGGATACCCAATACTACGGCATGCTTGGTCAGCAACAACTCCCGCCCGGTATTCGTTGACAACTTGCAGACAAAGTGTTGCCCAAGTGGACCCATTGTATCTGGCTTCCACTATGCCCATGTATTGGGATCCGTTACTGGTATGGCCTAGACGATACTCAACGCTAGCGTCAGAAGGAAGTATATCATTTTCTTCGGAGGGAAAAATGAAAAGAAAAATAGCCATATACTGTCACCACCTTTCACGTCAATTATATTGAAATAATAAACCCCATTGAGCCCATGTATTATTTCAACGACGGAAATTTTGTCCCCTCTACCCTCAGTGCTCCTGAAAGAGAATTGCAATTTTACACAAAATTATGTGGAGCCGTACCTGTGTCCTGCAACAGTATGACTAAATTTGGTGCGTGCGTTAATGTACCCAAATCGTTATTTGACATTATTAATAAAGATGAACAAAATACACCGAGTCTAAAACATATGAGTGTTTCTTTGGGCAGGGCATGTAAGGCTGTTTTTCTTTGTCTTGGGCAGTTTTACTGACATATCCTAGGGATAGTTATACAAAGATTCTCCCATATACAAACACAGATGAACAATTAATGCACCCATTTTTTCACTAATTATGTCGCACCTGTCGCGCAGACTGCTCCGAGTAAGGTGATGTTCTTATCTGGGCAGAAATGCAGACTTAACTCATCCAGGCATTGAAAGAAGCCCCTTGATCCGTCATCAATCGGGCAAGCAGAGAAGGAACACAGTATCTTCTGGTTGTTGTTAACCGCTGGTTCTTGTGTCACCCCAACTGAGAATTGGTACCCAAGGTACTGGCAGACACTGTCGGAGTACATAAAGTTTGCCCCCCCTCGGGATGATAACAGCATCCACTCATCTCCCCCAACGTGAAGCTCCACTCTTCCCTCACTCTCCCGTCGACCTCCGACTAAACGGAGGTTCCCTATGGTCCGAACACAAACAAATTATTGAGTGGGGGAATTGTTGGTACTACTCTAGCCCTGCAGGTTTTGCGCAGGGAAAGTTCAAGGTTGAAGAGAACATGGATGGTGCAGTTAGTGAACGTATTCACAGGAAAAGGCCAGTAAAACGTCGCACTATATTTCGCTCTGGATACTAACTACAAGTCATGTCAGAAATCCAAATGATATCGTTTTAGGTCGAGAAGTTGGACAAAGCATTTTATAAAAAAAGAAGTTTTTGTGCTATTCTTTGGAGAACAATTTCGGGTGTCACAATTTTTACTCTCATGAACCGAGCTGTTTGGGTGCTATTCATGATTCCGGTCGCACATGTTCCTTTGAAAGAATTTTCTTTATGAAAACACGTGTGTATGTTCATCTGTTAGGTAAATTTATTGGCTATAGTTTTTTTTATGAAAAACCACTGTTATTGTTTAGATTAATCAAATTTACGCTGCTTTGTCAGTTTTCCTGAGAGTTTACTTGCGTGCAAACTTTACTGTAGCGTATGCTTCTACCGCTCGGGCCGCGCTACCAGATCCAACTACATGTACATACATACGTACATGTACAGTACTAGGCGAATATTTCTCCAGCCTAGAATGCAGGACAAAGCATCGTAGATTTCAAAATTTCCGGGGGCATGCCTGCACTCAAATACGACATTATGGACAGATAATTTCGGGGGAAATTAGTCCTCATCAGAGAAGGATATTGCGTTTTATAACACCTCACCCACAGATTCTGTGTCTTGATTGGCCGAGAGCGAGTCACATGTTACTTTCTAATTTTGCTATCTTTCTGTGCACGGCCAAAAGTACTATGCGCATAGTAACCAAAGTACTATACCATTAGCAACCAAAGTTCTATTTCCACTGCTCGGTATTTGTGTGCAAATGCATGTTGGTGTGCGCGTTGCGCGTTGTGCGTAGCGCGTATTATTCCAAAGAGAGCGCGCCGCAGACTTGGGTTCAAACATTTCGTGATGGGGTAGTTTTTTAAGAGAGAAATACATTTTCCACCAATTTTGTATTGAAATTGAAGTATATTTCAACTGTGTTCAGATTTAAATAATTTAAAATATTAAAATCAAGCAGAATCTGTGGGTGAAGTGTAATAAAACAAATATTGAATGCTTTATCTCGTGGTGAAGTAAAACTAGCCTCCCTCGGTGATCTATGGACCATTCTATTTTCCCTCGGCTTCGCCTCGGGAAAATAGAATGGTCCATGGATCACCTCGGGAGGCTAGTTTTACTACACCACTCGAAGCATTCAATATTTGTATAACGGCCGAAAATACGTACGTATAGCGCGTACGCGTTAGAAGTAAACAACTTTTTTTAAAACAGTTGTTTAAGAACAGTCAGACATTGGACTGGTTTCCTTTCAACCAGACCTTTAAAATATGATAAGTACACAAGCTCAACCTCCTGAGGACGGACAGAGCACACTGTCCGGAACGTCGAGTTCTACACTCAACCAACCGGTTCTTTTCAGAACCACACTTCAGTCAGTTGCCGTGTCACGCGTAGCTGCTCTATTTTCTCGTCCATACAACTGACCGCAACGCAAGGCCAGCGAACGATGGCCCGTAGAAAGGGCTTCCGAAAAAATTTGCAATTTTCATGGTAAACACAACCGATCCAAACAAACAAAGTTGTTTTAGGTAGATTAACACCAACTTAATACATCCATCAAGGTATTTTGTTCTCAAAAAACCGATTTCGATGCATCTTGACGATATTTTTTCAAGGACAAATCGACTAAAAATTAGGTCATGAAATTTCCGGGTTTTTTTCGAGAAGTGTCCCGAATGTTGAGGTAATTAAAGGAAAGAGTGAATCTTCATCTATAAAAACTCGTTAACGTGATTTCGATAATATTTTAAGATTCGATGTACCCCTAATATTTCCAACAACTTCCATTTTTCACAAACCAAAAAGATCGTCGCCATTATAAAGCATAGAGCGAGGAACCCCAAAAGGGTGTGACCTTGTGACCCATACGCCCACTGATTGGTCGAGCTCGAGTATGGGCCTGCTTAATATTCATGTCATTCATTGCACGTTCGCACGTGCTATTCACAATGTTTTCAGGCCTACGTACGTCAGCGTACTTCTGTTCGTTTACACGCGAACATGTGATTGAAAATCATGAAATCTCCCAAAAGTCTTCATTTTTCAACCGGCAATTTGGACCAAACATTAGAAGTCTCCTGCACGTGTTTCACATAAAAATGAAGTGTAAACTTTCCTCTATCTACTAAGCCTTGCCGTTTCTTTCGGCCTTTTTAAAGAATTGAATGTATACCTAAAAACTATCGGCCCTCGCTTTTGTGGATAAAAAAATATGATTTTGTTTGACAGGCCGTAACAACACTTTTTATTTGTCAAAAGCAGTTATTTTTTGTATCAAAATAAAGCACACGATTTCAACTGTTTACTTATTTAACCATACTGGCCAAACAGTGCATGTTTCCAGGCACTTTTTGTGTTTTTCTGTAGTCTCGAATAAATCTCGTAAAATCTCGCGTACGCTTTTGGGCCATGCGTGCTTGAGATCGGACCTCGGGACAAGAAACTGAGGTCAAACAGGGCTGTGTGCGTGACTGACTGGCTTCTTTCAAGAGAGATATCTATCTCCATGGTGTTACCCGCAAACTTTATGATTTATAATTAAACAATCTAACACAACGTTTTAGGTGGTTTCTGGACGATGTGACCCTTGAGCTTCTAGAATGCATTCGTGAGGAAAGTAACTCAGAGGTCATTCTTTTTATCGAGAGGATTGTTCATGGATAGCGTGCACTGTTTCTATTGGTAAGTTTCTTTCGCTTTTCATGAACAGGTCATACGGAATGATTCCACACGGTACCAGTACAATACAACTGAAGGTTTGCATGGTGAAGTCAGTAATAATAGAAATATTACACCGCGTGACAGAGACGTTGCACCGTGTGACATCAATTCTCTTGACGATGGGCAGAGAATACCGTCCGAAACGTTGGGTTTCCACCAGTTCGTCTTTGGAACAGACAAACTCGCATAAGGCCAAAAAAAGTCTCTGGTTTCTGGTATGCGCCAGTGTTGTAGGTCTCGAGACCGGTCTCGGTCTCGGTCTCGAGACCCCTTTTCGCCGGTCTCGGTCTCGGTCTCGGGAGCTGTGGTCTCGCTCTTGGTCTCGGTCTCGGTCCCTTTTGGTCTCGATATTTTTGCTGGTCTCGAGTCGAGACCAGCCAAAAAGTGAGGGGGGGGCGGATTCCGCCCCGGCCCTTTTAGGGTTAAGTAAAGAATCAGTTTAGGGCACATGTGACTGCAGTGTGATGCTAATGGACATGTCTCTCTTCACTTTCTAGTGAGGGAGGCATATTCCAATAACCATTGCTCCTCTTCTTATTTCTCGTTTTTATTGTGGGATGATCTGTTGAAACAAGCACTTTATAGCCATCCTTATTGATTCCAAATACAACTGAGATTTAAATCTTATGAATCAAGACTTAAACATTATTTTTACCGTCACATTTTGTATTTTGAATATGGGGAACAATTCAACTCTTTTTCCCTAGAAATATTGGTGATTTTTTTTCTATTTTCCTTTTCAATTTTTCCTTTATTCGTGGAGGCGGGAAAACGTTTTTTTCCCCATTATATTTATTTATGAATATTCATCAATTCGTAGACCGTTAAATTGGTATTAGTGGAGGACAGCTGAATTGTGTGATCTCTTTATTAAAATAGACACGACTTGGGAATAGAGTATGCAAATTACGTGAAATGTTCACAGTTACTACTTAATAACATGTTCTTTATCCCAATTATATTTTTTTACAATATGGAGCGTGCCATATTTTTTTATCATACGGTCACTTTCTTTTTGACTCGCCATGTATTCATCTTTTCATCTGTGATAAACACTATACTGCCAAGGTCACACAAAAATAGACTCTAATTGCCTGCCTCGTCTCCTTAAAATTATTATAGTTGCATTTCCTAATTGCCAATTGCATTTGCATGAGTCGAGAATGTCGTACTATTTACTCACTAAAATATTCAAGTAAATTGCCCGGCAAAGTAGCTGATGCGGGCGATACGATGGCACGGTACAAAACACAGAGAGGCGTGGGCACTGAGCCATGAATCCTGAAAGTGCATCTCGCCCACCACATTCAGTTTGTGACAGCGCCCTTCTATTGTGTCGGCCATATTCTCAAATATGCTAATGGCGATGGTGACGGCGGGCAGATTAACAGAAGATAGATCAGGCAAATATGGTTGATCAGTCTTCTATTGTATATGTAACGTTATTGACATTAAACAAAAATAAAGTGGCATTACATTTCAGCCTTAGCCAGGCCTTCTTCAGACGTAAATGACAGAGGAACAAGAAACAAACATGTAGGGTACCCACATACATGCAGGGTTGGAAGGAGAATCACAAAGAGGAATGGGGGGGGGGGGCAGACCAATCTATATCTGGCTACCATCTCTCAATTTTTTGGTCTACATGTACAAATCTATATTCCATGACTGAAATTTTAAAAAATAAATCAATTTTTTCTTGCTCCAAATTTTTTTCGAATCAGGTTTACAAGGAGGTCCAATGTAAAATTAAAGTTGCATTTAAATATCCATTTGTGGTCATTGCTGAAACCAAGGGGTGGCTGTGGAGTTGAGGGTCCGAGTTCCTATAACAGATGAAACATCCACCTTTAACCTTTTACTTTTGTCAAGTTTCAACATGTTCAAGTTTTGCAAAAACTAGTACAAATTGTCGTACTCCTGAGTTAGAGTTTCTTTATCAGACTTACACGTTATAGTAGTTAAACAATATTTAAAAAAAAAACCAAATTTAAAAAAGTGGCAAAAATATATGGAGTTCATCAAGTAAGGTTTTCCCTTTCTTTAAATTAAGTTGTTTCCAATTTTTTTTAATTGATTGTGACAATAACAAATTATGTTGTCATGTGGTAATGTATGGCATGAAGCAAACACGAAGAGCACTCGCATGACACAATTAAGTAGGTACAAGTGATTCCTAACTTTCAAACACTAATCTTCCTTCACATCCCCATGAACATCAACATCTCAAGGACAGACTGTTCAGCTGTAATTAGTGTCTTGTTGTTTATTTAGATTATTATTATTTATTATCCGCGGTCTCGGTCTCGGTCTCGGACCATTTCGGTCTCGGTTTCGGTCCGCCTTGAAGGGGCTGGTCTCGGTCTCGGTCTCGGTCTCGCAACTTCAGGTCTCGGTCTTGGTCTCGGTCTCGGACTATCCGGTCTCGACTATAATGCGCGTGAGTCGCCGTAGCCATGTGCGTCGGCAAAATGACAAAGCTTTTTTTTTCAGTGTAAGATGATGTCTCAAAACCGCAAAACTCACTGGTTTTGACTGGAATCCTGCTGCTGCAAAATTTAACGTGTTTTTAGATGGGGTTACGATCGAGTATAAGCTTTATGTGGCCTCTCTGGACTCCCATATGTTGCACTAAATTTAGTCTGTCGCCATTTGCAGTCATCAGCCGACATTTAAAAAAAAGCCGAGTTGCTGCACCACTTTTGGGGCAAGCTCCGTACTTTTTTGGGGGGGGGGGCCTAAGAGATTCATGTCACGCAGTGCAACCGCAAAGGGGGTTTTCTCAATAGTTTGGTAATTAGTGTTTTATTTACCTGTGAAGCAGGTGAGGCCTACATCGAACCTGTGATCGCACACCTCGTAATACGGAACCCATCCTAACATCAAGCAATCATCTAGAGTCATCATCTCCTGCAATTCGCCACATATCATCAGCTGGAACCAGATGGGACCGGTGGCCTTGCCAAACTCCCCGCTTGCAGTTGCCGACAGGAGGGCGGGGAAGCCGAGTTGACGGCACGCCACGCGGCCAATAAGGAATGGGTTCTCGTTGGAGCAGTAGGTTCCCCACGAGTCTTCTCCTGGTGGAAGGACCTCTACACGACCTTCGTTTGGGTAACGCCCGTCCGCAAGACGTAGCCCCATCACATCAGCTAATTAAAAAGAAAAGAAAAAAGAAATAACAAACCAGTTAGTTTAACTCGACGTTTCGAACAGTATGCTCTGCTCGTCACCAGGAGACTGCCGGACTCTTGCCGGTGTAATATTTTATGCTAATATATGCTAAGTCGTGGATCCGGTACACAACACTATACACAAATACGTATGCCACATTACATTCTTATACCATTTTTAATCCACTCTTTGTCTTGTCTAGCAAAACCTCATGCTATCAGGCTGTCCAGACTAACTGCTCTTTGTTATTAAAATCAGAAGCAGAAGCACAAGAGACAACAAAACAATAGGCAAGCTTTGAAGCAAAAAAAACTATTGGCATTATGCTGTTGGTTTCCTACCTAATCTCATAATAAGTTGGATTTCACTGCATTATATTGTGCGTATTTCGTTATCAGGGAGTGATTATTTAATTGTACCATTGTTCGATTGCATACTATTTTTGTGATACTCTAGTGACCCTACTTTTAACAGTATTTTTTATTGAGTGAATAAGGCAAGTACGGAAACTAGAAAACAGATTATATTTTTTATTTTTCATGTTTGGGTATGTGTAACCTAACATACGTATTACGTCTTTCCATCAAAAACTCTTTTGAATATTATAAAGATTTGAATATTATAAAGCTCTTGGTTTAGATTTATCAGAGTGTTGTTTTTCGTTTCAAAAAGCCATTTGTAATTGTTCCTCATTTGTGTTTATTTATTTATAGTTGATCACTTCAGCATCGAAGTTAGTTGAAGATATTGTGCTTCTCCGAGTTCGGTTTAGATCTGGATGAGAAAAAAAGCAGCTACATTTCCATATTGATGAAGTTATGTTGACTTAACGTTCAGTTGCATAGATTGGGTCCAATTTGCAACATGGGCGCTCGTTTTCCGAGGGCACTCAATGGTTTACTTTTTTTTCCCTTCAAAATAAACAAATCTCTGTTTTCTTCCCCAAAAGTTAAGCAGATGGCAAAAACGGGGCGGCAGGCCTCAATATAATGCCACTGATGGAATTTTGAGTCGAGTTGGATCACATATTTCTTTCTGTCACAGACAGTCCAAAATCTTTCAGATTATAGTTTGCATTAAAATGGTTCATAGCGGCTAATCTTGTCAGGATTTAATCTGTTGGGCTTGTTGTGCCTCTTATCAACTTTTAATTACCAGCAAGAAGACAATGTTATTCACAAGCTTAACAATTTATGTCTTGTAATTAAGAGATCTTAAGGTGTACATGTACACTCGACTAAACCCGGACTGTCAAATTTGGAATAAACAAACATAACAGCCTACCTGCAGAAACCGCCCCAAAACAGACACATCCAAGCATCGACACCGCCAAACCATACGCGAGATGTGCCGACTCCATGGTCGATTTATCAGGGCCGAGTGACATTGACTTCTCCCGGCCAGAGCTATAAAGTCACTTTTTACAGAGCATCCTATCGCTGTGACAAGAATGACTCAACATCAATCCATTCAACCGATCGTAAAATTGCAAAAACGGGGCGTCGATTTATTATAGACCAACCCGCTGGTTTTTATAATAATATAAAATTGTATGCGCGCATGCGTATAAGCGGGCCACGCAGCATGGAAGCGCGAACGTATTTTTTTCTTGCAAATTCTATTCGCTGTTGTAATGGGCAAAAGTCATAGGGAGCATCGATATGGGTCTGTATATAAGGGTGTGTTACGCCAGACAAAAGATACAAGAGTTAAAGGGATACTAGGTCCTAGAACAGCCCAATTTAGCTACAAAACGCGCTTTGAACAAAATGATGTTAATCTGAAAGAACATTTAAAAGAAGGATATAAACATCCACACAACTATCCTTTCAAAACTGGGCTATTTTGTGTTATTCCTGTATTATGCGTGCGTGAACGAATTTTGCGACCCCAACATTCGAGCTGTTTTGCTGTTTTGATGCTAGTTGTTATTTCATCCGTCAAGTGATTCGCCTTTTGCGGACGTGTAAGAAACCATATTTTGTGCGTTGGTGATTAGTCACCGCGCGCTGTTGGCGAGCACGGTACTGTGTATATATATACATATCGTACGTACATTGACTGAAAGTGAAAACGACGGGTACTCCATCGTGTCCGATGTAAACAACCGAGGGTTTTCTGGTTTTTTTTTTCTCGGGAACAGTATAAGACATTAGGTTGGTTTCCTTTGAACCAGATGTTTGACCGGTGAGAGGGGGCCAGTTTACCACGCAGACGATCGGCACGAGATCCACATGGCAGTTCAACTCCCTCTGCGCCCTCCAAGGCTTGAAGTATTCCAACGAGGGACAGAACATCAAGAGAAAAGTCATCACAAACGCATCGGTGTCTCCATACTTGATTGAAGGAGTGCGCAATGGACATGATGGCTCCCATTTCACTCTGCATAAGTTATCTGGGTTGTCCATACTTGCCGGTGAGGGCTTGGTGGGCCTGGGTGTACGGTTGACTGGCGTACAGGAATGACTTGGCAAGCCTCAATGCTCGGCCACCAAGTCTGTCGATCAGTATTCGGAACTTATACTGTTCGGAAAGATGGGGATGCACGTCAATAAGGTTCACCAAAGCTAGCTTGAGCAGGGCGACTTCTTTCTCCTTTCCATCAGAAAACTTTGGTAAGGTAGGTTTGGGGATCCGTATGACGATGCGACAAGGAGATCCATAACAGTTGGTGCTGGTGACGCTGTCAAGGAGGGTACGGAAACCATTGGGTATGGCAAGTGCGGAGGACAAGTCCTTGGATTAGGAACACCTTGTCTGGAAGTGACATCACTGGTTACCACTGATGCAGGTATGGTCGCACTCGCTGGGGCACCATGACAAACAGAGGTCGAAACACAGGGTAGTGTCTGCTGAATGTCCGGTGGTGAGGTCGAGGATGGGGCACCAGATGGAGTCAGATGACATACAGAGGAGGAAACACATGGGGGTGTTTGCTGAATGTCTGGGAGAGATGTCACAGGTGGAGCACTTGGATTACCACGACAAACAGAGGATGAAACACTTGTGGGTGTGTGCTGAATGTCTGGTTGTGGAGTTGAGGAGACACTATGTGGTGGTGACTGATTGTCTGTTACACATTAAAGAATGCGATGGAGTCTGGGTTACTTCGACGTGGTTCGCCACCTTGGTGGTGGCAACAGGAATTGATGGTGATGATATATCATTCATCATGGAGCTGATGGCTTCAGCCTCGAAGACTTCTTGTCGAGCAAGCCGTAGTCTGCGTTGGCGAAATAATTTTGAGGTGAGGGCCTCACGCTCTCGCAAGGCCTGTCGCTCTACTTCTTCGGCTTTAAGTCGGGCAGCGTGGGCTTGCTCATCGGCTTCAACTCGAGCTGAGTGGGCCTGCTCATCAAGTTTACGAAGCTATTCATCGGCGGTCTCATCTTCTTGGAGTTGACACTCCAGCTCGTTAAAACGAATTCTTCTTCGAGTGTTCGCTTCTTAGCTGCATCCTTATCACTAAGACTGGATAGGTTTGAGTAGTGGGAATTCGATGAGCTATGTTGGATGCAGGAGCGCTTATTTGAGGCAACAGACTCATCATGGTTCTCCTCGGCCAGAACATCATCGGCATGGTGTTCAGACATTGTGGTAAAAATCCACAGGTCGCTGGTTCAAAGGATCTGGTTCGAAGAACCTTGAAAGAAAGGGAAGGACAGGAGACTAGTGACGGGTCTATGATCAGGTGATTTAGTCTCCTTTAATTACTGATTGTTCACAAAATTACAATGACGAAGATATTAGCTGAGCTCGATAGGTGGATTGACTGATGAAGATGGAGTAACTGTATTGTAGGCTGTGTGATGGAGGCACTGGACTCCAGTACTGGAGGCCTTGGAAGCTGTGTTGGCCGTGAAGGCCGTTCTACAAGAAAACCAAATTAATACAACAATAATGAGGTGACATGAAAAACACATGATTGTAATAGTCTGAGATAATAATTTTCCCCAGTATCTACTAATTGATCTAACAAACTGAGAAATTAGATAAGAATATAAGCCCCAAATTACACTAAATTAACCAGCAATAATGATTTAATGCAAGGGCATAATCCTTAGTCAAAGATCAATACAATGTACGTACATGTTCTCATATAACAACGAATGATGCGTTTGATCGAATAACCAATTTATCGGAATGATTTCAGGAAGAATGTGAGTAAAATTGGAATCACGTTGGAATTTTCTAGATTTATAATCACGAGAGGGCGCTACACCAGTGTAATTCTCAGGCACTTTCGTACAGGGCCCCTGTTTAGTTTCAACCAAACTGCCTGGAGCCACTTCCGCGATTTGTAACATAAATGCACGTATGTATGTATTAATTATTCGACAATTGGATGGGATAACCTATGGCAGTAACTCAACTTGGTAGAAGATATGGAAGGAAATTTACAGTTTTAGTGGTGGGAGGAAAACCCCAGAATGATATTCTGGGGAAAACGTATGGAAACAAACAGGGACTGAAAACCCCGATCCACATAATGGCCCAGCCGGGATTCGAATGTGGGTCACAACCTACGCCAACCTGATGGGCTTTAGGACCATTTTAAGGGGTGATCATCTTCGGATGGAAATTTCTCCTAAAAGTCATCGTTAACCCCCAAAAAAAAATTGAAAAGAAAGTGAAAGATGACGAAATTAGCTTCAATTTGATGTGTGTCTGGAATACCTTGGAGAGTTGTGAGTATTTTTTCCTGAATTTTTGAAGTGGGGGCATTTATCATTGGGGTTTTTTTTACTGGCAGTTTATTTACTGGTCTGCAACCCTAGACGTTGTTTTGACAAGTCCGTGGGCGATATTGGATGGTCGTGATAGCGCCCTCTCGCGACGGGTCTCTTTGGCAGTTGGTTGGTGACAAAGAAGTTGCATGTAGGTCTATTGACTTATTGGACAAATTATGCTTTACTTTAAGGTACAAGAAATTTATTTTGTCGAGGCTACAAACATACAAAACATTAAGTCGAGGAGCTGTTGCAAATTGGGAAGTCCAAGTTGGACATAATGAAACAAAATGTGGCTGTTCAGAAAGACATCTTGGAGTGTCTTCAATCTCTGAAATTAACTTGGTTTTTATTTAACTCAGTACATCATTAAATTAGATTCAAACATCCAAATCTAAATTATACGAATAACTTAAATTCACGAATAAATCAAAGACATTAAACGGAGTTTGGGCTTCCGTATTAAACTGATATCTTCATCATGATGTTCTTATTATCATTCGACCAATTAACTCGATTCTTTTTGGTTCTTCTTTTCTCGAAGGTGCCGCTACCTTAATTCTTGGCAAGGAACCCTCTCTGACACACGCAGAGGTTAAATCCAAGATCGTGGACATGTCTTCCAAGGA